TACAGGGCAGCTGGAAAGAGCTTATACATTATACAAGACAACTGGACAGAGCTTAACATATTTTCAAGTTGAAGTGAGCCAGAAAAGACAACTGCACCTGGATAATTATGTGTACTATCAATACACCCTTTCAAGCTGATATACATTAACAGACTTTTAACATGCAGCAAGCAAATCAGCTTATTACTGATAAATTGCTTTGTGGGTTAAGCTTGTTTATTGTTTATCTTTGTAACATACAAGCAGGGCATAAAATTAAACTTAAAGTATAAGGCTCCATGTACCAACACAAGGCAAGTTATACGCTGGTCTGGCTCATTTCTTTTACCCTCTTTCATATATCTGATTTAAATAATGTTACATGTTTGAAAAACAACATGTTTGTAGCCTGCGCCACAGGCAAAACAAAACTCTGGTTAATCCATCTACAAAACAGCGCCAAAATCCTTGTCCCACCTGTGTACCAGGATTTGAGTACGTGCCGTGATTGGTCTGTTGAAAAAGACATTGATGATTTGCCAATCAGATTAAAAGGAAATGCAAAACACACTTCCCGTAACTTCATTGAGTCCATTGAGGGCCCAGAACAATGATCTTAGCGCTGCTTCACAGACCTTACTAACCAGGGTTAAATTATGTGTGTGACTCATGCTACATGTTTGTTGAAAGCCTTTAAAATGTAATTAGTTCTTGGTTTGTGTTGGTATGTTAATAATTAACACTATTTATTACATGTCCTTGTTAATAGCATGGCATTTAGATGTCGGATGTAATTATGGTGGAAGTCCAGTGATGCATCCATTTGCCTTCAGAGTTCATGCACACAAATTAGGTATGTTGAAATAAGATACCTGTTAATTAAATTTAACAAAATACTTACATTCTTATTGCAGTGTACCAAAAATTGAGCTTTGTTGTTATCCTTTAAAGTCACTTTACATTTTAATGAGACAGCTGCATTGAGGCACGTATGCAGCTGTTAAAGAGTGGCTGGACACCGATTCATTACTACCAACCCCTTCTCCAGCCAACTCTTCCATCTCTCACAGTTTACACATTACTGTATATCATTTTTTTTTATTGTAGTCTTACAAAAATGGGTACTTACAGTGCTTACTGACAATAAACAGATTACAGAAAGACAATACTTTGAACGGTGCTTAAAAACTTTAGAATCATGCCAACTGTTATGCAGTGCTCATTGCTTGATACATGTACGCGAAAAAAAAAAAATGAAACTCTGAAAAGATGATAGAAAAGTTCTCATGGTAATTGAGAATTCTTTCTATGTTTTGTACAAGTATGACAACAATAAACAATTAATTTAATATTAACCTGGTCATCAAAACTTTTTTTCAGACTAGCACAGGCTAGCTACAGCTTGCCCATGGGGAAAGTGTTTTTTGCACCCTGATGGAAAGGTGTCTTACCCCCCTAATTTCCCTTTCTATCCCCCCCCCACAACAACAACAATATTTGGGACAGCATGATAATAAACCTCTCTAATAATAAATTATCACCTTATTGTTTATTTTAGGGACAGTTATATCCGGCTACAAAGTGCGTGATGGGGTTTGGACACTGATTGGCAAAGGAGATCCACAACGACCCCAGGTAAACAATCCTACAGTACTTACAACATTTGAAAATAATTATACTGCTAAATTGTTGATGAATTTATTTGTAGATAACGTTTTTAGCCATCATTTTTTATGATATTCGCAGGCATTTTACCCAGTGAAGTCTGAAAAAGATCTGAGCATCCAAATGGGTGATACAATAGTAAGACACATTTTCTTGTATTTTAATTGTTCCAAATGAATATAAATCTAGTATGGCCAGCTCCCACCTTGTGGTCAACTATGTTTTAAGGACACCCCGCTAATTTGGCAGCAGCTAAGTCCCCAGGAAATATAAGTGTTGACTGAAAAAATATCTACCATTAGTAAAATCCCACTAGTGGTTTATTATTGCCCCCGCAGGGATTTCGCCCAGAGGCGAAATCCCGAGGAGGCACCCTAGTAACTCGCGCGGATATTAAGGATAGTACTTACAGTTCAAATATACAGACGGTATACTAGAAAAAATCTTGATTTGCTCGAACTGGGGCCACGAGGAATTGGTAGGTAATGATGACGTTTCTATTGTTTGCACCCGCAAGTACGAAATGGTTAGGATGACGTAAAGACAGAAAATCCCGAAGGGACCGCTCAGGTAGATTTTGTGACATTTATTGTGCAGTCATACTTCGATACTTTTTTGCGTTATGCAGTGACATTCTGTGGAGCAGTTGTTTTGAAAGTTATGGACCAAAAGACACTCGTTTAGCGCAGGGGAGGTTATAAGGTCTGTTTAAGTGTGTATATATAAACACTTGGAGAGTTTGCCAGACACGAGATCACAAATCTTTGATTTATACTGGAAACCTTGCCAGACATTCTTTCTCTCTCTTTGACCGGAATAAGACTCAGCCCCAAACAAGCAGGACGAGTGAACAACGGCTAGCTTATCACTAGCAGATTGATGGACATTTACAGAAATTCGCCGACAATCAATTTCATTCTGTGCTGACTTATTCCCTGCTCACAGATGTCCTTCCGTTATAAATTTTCAAATAAGACTAGAATGCGCTAGCGTGAATCGATCAAACGTCCTTCTAATTTCTAAGGCTTACTTTCCGGCAAATAAAATGAACTGAATGTAAAAAGGGAAAGAGAAATAGCGAAAAATTCAACTTCTAATTAAATCTTTTCTTATGGTTTAGGACAAACTATTCTCGAAACTGAGAATGTTTTGATCAAAGCTGTGTAAATCGAGCTGAAACTGTGCATGGAACCTTGCATTTCCTGTATTTATCTCACCTATTGTATGGAATATGTGTGAAAATCTTCATTATGAATCGGTATACTTCAAAGAGCTACACAACCAGCAAGAATACTATTGACCGACAACTGATACAGAACGGGGGCAGCTGTAGTGTCAACTATTACTAGTCAATACTGCATTCTGATTGGTTGAGCTATTACTAGGCTATATGTTATATTCCACTAGTAGTGAAAAGCGCCAGCTTTGAAAACCAAAGCAAAGGTGGCTGAATCGTGTTTTGCCAGCTAAAGTTGTTTTGTCTAGATATTTTTGACCAACTAGAGTTGAATTTTACCAAAACAATTATTCCTCTCGCCCTCATTGCCTCTGAGTCAATAGCCCATTCGGCCTTCGGTCTCATATGGGCTATTGACTCAGACGCCATTTGGGCTCGAATAATTGTTAATTATTCTCATTACACTCTTTTCAGCCCTGCTACCATTACAAAATTTGTTATTGTTCAAACGGTTGCTATAATAATATTAGTATAGTCTTATTATTGTAGACAGCGTGCAAAGAAAGTACCGGTAGTGTCCGATAGCCCGGGGCTAGTGGATTTTGCTATTGGGCTAGTGAATTCTGTTATTAACTTGCCCGACAGGCAAGTGAATTTTTTTGAGGAATTCAAATTACAGAAGAACTGTGAAATCAATCTGCTCGTCAAAACGTTTTTGGGGCTAGTTGAAATGATATTTGGGCTAGTAAATGTTAGCTTCAGCTTGCCCGAATGGCAAGCTGTAAAAATGACTTTCTTTGCACCCTGTATAGAGATCTGAAAGTGCCACATTGTTTGCTATTACCAGGTTCAAGGCACAACAAAATTTTTACTCAAAATGTTGTTCTTCTATGGTAACCAAAGCTTAGAGAACATTTCTTTTTGCACATTTACCAAATTATACAAGTGTAAGTAGGTGCAGTATGATCGTCCGGGTGATCGGAGAGTGTGACTGACAATCACCCGGACAATCATGTTCCGCCTACTTCTGAAATGACACCTGGGTTCAAACCTTTCACAGTTATACATAAGTGTTTTAGTGAGTGAGGTGAAAGCAACACAGGTGGACAAAGCTACATGCTTGTAAGTCGATTTAAATGTTCTTGAAACATAGCCAGTCTCAACGTCTTAATGATGCTGACAGTTTCAATAACTGTCAGCCATCTTTATCAAAACTTGAAAAACATTAAAAGTGTCAGAAGCCTTAAATAGGATTCTGAAGGTGTCATCAAAACTATCAGCATCATTAAGACATTAAGACTGGCTATGTTTTAAGAACATTTAAATCGACTTATTAACTTTACTAGCCTGATGAATTTCTTCAAGAAGCTACATGCTTGTGTTTTTAATGGTAATATTGGTACGGACAATGGGTAGTAGTCAAAGAATTTTCTATGACCTTTACAAAACTCTAGGAATACTTTGTTGTTTTCTGACAAATACGTGTTGAGCTCTGAAGAAATATCTTTGAACTGTTGTTTATGAAACATTTTTATGATTATAGGCTGCACGATGTACCTACAATTCAACACAGAAGAATGATATCACATATATTGGGTATGTTTTTAGTACTATCTGAAGAACAATTCAGAATCTGACTGATTATAAAAAAAAAAGGTATTGTGATACAGCTGTGCACACTTCTTTAATTTGTTTTGTAAAATCTATTTTAGGCTGAGATTGAGCAAATGCCTAAAACAATGGTTACAAGTAAAAGCAAACCTTTCCTCTAAAAATATGAAGTTGCACAAAGGCCAAAAAAAACATGTCCTATCCTTGCCTTTGGGGGAGGGGAGGTACAGGAGTAAGGGAAAGTCAGAGTGCAGGTCAAAACAATACAATGTATCACGAGTCTTGTCACTATCAAAATAATAATTATTGTTTTGCATGAAGGTGGAAGAGAAACTATATCTGTACTCATAACCTGAAGAATGTGACCTGTAAACTTTTAGCATGCTCATGTTGTAAAAAACTTCAGGTTAAAATGCTTTTATCTGTTTTGTCTTCTAACCTTAATTATTCATGACTTTTAATAATCATGAATGATAATCATAATTGTGAATTATTCATGAATATGACGCAGGGCGTGAATAGAGATCTTTGACTTGGGCACTATGTGCCATTGGGTGTGGAAAGGACTAATTATGATGATGATGATGACTAATAGTGATCTCACAAAGGACACCCACATGTAATAAGTTAGGTTTCTTGGAAACTGACCACCTACCCCTCCCCTAAATCAGCATTTTGCCCTAAGCAAGAAGTGAGTGTTAATGTTGACTTAGGGGAGGGGTACAGTGTAATTTAGGCAACAATAATTATTGTCAAGAGCACTTCTATTTTTGTGAGGATTACTTTAACTACAGCCATTTGCTCATCCTTCATACAATCTACATGTACTATGCAGTAGCCTGTTTATATCGATGGTCAATAGATTTTATTTTCTTTCAGAGCAACAATGGCAGATGAAATGTGTAATTTCTACATGATGTATTGGTATGACCCCAAAGAGAATGACATGGAAGGGAGCCCTGAGGAACGGTGTGGTTATGTCAATGAGAGGGGGCTCCAATTCCCAAATGACTCTGATGTTCGCCTTCCAGGGAGTGGGGAAAAAATGGAGCTGAAGCGAGACTTTGTAGAAGGTAGGCACTCAGAAATGCACTGATTACTTTTAGACATCGGTCTTTCCTCTTCTTTTCTTAAGATTCTGCTTTTCCTTGCTGTCGCTTTCATTTGAGACTGTTCAATCTTCTGATCTGACAAACTGCTGAATGTATAGCATCTCAAACGTTCCAGAAATGTGATGCAAAATTGTGCGCAGTGTTGAATGCCATTGGTGAATTCTGTTTGTGTTACTTTTTCCTCCCCAAAAAACTATTGTGTTACAAAATTAGGGTGAAATTCTATTTACCAAATTGTACAACATGGCCATGCAATCTCTGTCTGTCACAAAATCTGAGTAAACAAAATATTTTTTTGGTGTGAGTTACTTCCAGTTGTTCTTCCTTTTAAGTTTGCTGAAAAATGACATACTCTATTTGAATATTTATGTATGAGACAAAAAGACATTTCGGTGGTGAGGAACAAGATATGGATGTATACTGTATTTGAGAATGTCTGCACATTCACAATGCTTCAATGTGGAGCTAAGGAAAAAATTAGCAACACCACTGCGCATATTGATGCATTGTTCATCCTGTCTATTGCACCAGTCTGACTTTAAAATTTTCTTGGTCTTTGATCGCAGGCTCAGATGAAAGTGATCGCAAGTGAAAGGCGCGCGCGGCTGAAGAACTGACTATGGAATTAATGATAATTTAGTAATTTAGTACCTAAGACTCTTAAGTTAAAAATATATATTTATATTTTTTGAAGAAGTCATTGTAAGGAGTAATGTTATTTTCACCCTAATCTTTAAAATTGTCTTTTATGATGATTTTTTAAAAAGGATTGGACACTAAAGAAAGTGTTTTCGACACTAATTTGCACTGCAAATTTAATGTGTATGCTTTCTTTTTGAGAGCATTTTGTTCTCGGTTACCTTGTTTTACTGACTTTGCACAGAAGCTAAAATGGGAATCCAATATAAATTGTTTTCCAGAAGTAAAGATGTTATTTAAACTTATTAAAGCTTAAATGTTGAAATTTGTCAGTGGAAACTGTTTGCACTTTTTAGGAATAAATAAAATTTCTTTGCATTGATTCCTAGTCAACATGTTTTTATTAGAGCACAACACAAAACAATTAGCTACACTTTCTCCCAATTAACCGCGTTTACGGTGGATGAATTTTAATTGTTTTCCGGAGTAGAAATATCGTGCACTTTGTGAAGTTCAATGGCGACAAATGCTTGCCATTTTTCAGAGTATATTTTGAGGAAATAATTTTCGACTAACCTGAAGGCGAATGTACACTAGAGATAAACTTTGTCCGATGTCATAATAATACTGTCACAGGCCAGAGATTTTTGATAGCTTACAAAATGCAACTGAATTGTAAGCACGTCTTCTCTCGTTTCCAGAGGCTGCGATCCTCTTGGTCAGCACCAAATATCACAAACGTCCGTTGCCCGTTCCACTGGACAAGGGCAACGAAGGCTCTGAGGACGAGCTTGAGACTCAGTTCTTGTAAATCACCCTCATTCCCAGTCTTCCTCGGCGAGTTCGGATGTGACGTCAACTTAATACGTCAGCCATAAACCTTGACGGGTCGCGCTCGATATTCCTAACGATATTCCAAGCTTCGTTCGCCCACTCGCATAACGCGAATTGGCCTTGGGACAAAGCTGGAAGACAATAAATGAGACGCTTCTTCCGTAATGTGACACAGGATCGCTCCGGTGGCAGCGAATTATCCTAGACTAAGAGTTGTCCCTCATTAGACTTTCCTCAGGGTTAAAAGAGCAAGCTAAATACGTGAGCGCGCGTGGGCTTGCGTGAATCAGTTATCCGTAAAGAAAATAGGGGGAATCACTCGTAGTTGAGGATCATCCCGTCCTGTCCCAACACTCCTGCCAACACTAGGCCATTCTGCTTAATTTCCTGTACTTAAAGAGATCAATTCTTTGCTCTCCCTTCTCTAAAACCATAGTCCACTAATAAATGCTGCACCATGGCTAGTCATACCTCTTCTGTACCTATGTGTCAACGTTAGTTCTTGAGTGAAGGCGATTGCAAGTATTTTTCGTGTCTAAGGGGAATAGGCATGGTGACGAGCGATTGGGTTGAAGGGGTTGTGAAGAAATTGTAAATGCAATTTGGCCATTTTGAGTTTCCACGAACGACTGGGTCTGTGTGGTGGCGAATTGGATCATGGGACTGATTTTGAGGGACGAATTTGGACCCATTTTCCAACGCAACTTAGTAATAGCCAATGAAAGAAGCAATAGTGTGCCAAAAACAGCCCCATTGTGCAGTTCTGCTCGACACCTACCCAGTGCGCGAGCAACCTCAAAATATCCAAGGATTAGTGAAGTTGAAGGCGAGTTGTTGTGCGGGGTTGTTATTTTGGTCCCTTTAGTCTTTGCATCCTTTCTCGACTAATACTCTGGCTAATGTTTTTCCTTCTTATCTACAAAACTGTCAAACGTGCCTTTGCGATTGGCATAGTGGACCTCGTACGTATTCTCCGTAGCCCAAAGCGTAACGGAACTAATCCGCAATCGACTCTAAAGCGCGGGAAGACAACAAAAACGTAAAATAACACAAAATTATACTTAAAACAATCCAAGGGAAGGTAAATACGTTGGTGGATTATCCTCGATTAGCCCATGATGTTAATTGGTTATCGCGGTTGGCATACTGCTGAGGGTAGGGTAAACCTGTCATGGACTGGCATCCCCTCTCGGGGGAGAAACCGGGATAAGCTCCCTTGGAACGAGGTTGCGTCATCCTCTTCTATCGACACACGGTTCGCACAGTCTTGAAAAGTCCTTAAATTTCTGTGCAAGTCCTTGAATTTTCTTGAACTTGGAATGTTGTGGCCTGGAAGTGTTTTCAGGGCTTTTTGGTTGTCCAAGACAATATAAGTCATAGCACAGAGAAGTTAATGGTGATTTGCATAAAGCGTTTTTTTGTTTTACGTAAGAATTAATTATCAATTTAAGACACGTGAAATGAAAAATGTAGAGACGTTGGTGAAGTAAACAATTCAAGTCTTAAACTCCTGTTAGAATGGACTAGGATTGTGCATTTTTGTGCAATCTATGACTTAAATTCCTCATAGGTGGTCCTTGAAAACAAATGTAATGTAGTCCTTGAAGGTCCTTAAAAAATGGTTGCAATTTTTTGTATGAACCCTGCGACAACACTGACAACGATAATCTTGTACCGTTCCTCCTTTCTGCACCGAATCAGTATCGCTAACGATTTTTAATCCTCCCCTCATCTCAAAATTAGCCTTAAAAAAGGCATAAAAGCTAATCGGGGGTGGGGAGGAAGGAAGTGACACCGTCGTAAAAGGGGAGGCTTAGGCTCCCCTGCTACCCCTCCCCTACACCTGCGACGTAAGCTAGTGACAATGAAAATGCCCAGGCTCACCATAAGTGCAAAATGTATTTATAAATTTGTTGCTTACATATGCTACCAGAATAAGCCAGCGTTTTTGCCCCCCACCCCCGTCACAAAGTGTGTCTGCATTTTTCAAAGTCGTCTGTGTGCTATTTTAGGATGTGAGCCATCCTGCGATGATGAAGAGTCCGTATTCCTTGATGAAGACACGGCGGAGTGGCCTGGAAATAATCCAGCAAATGTGAAGCTTGGTCAGGTTACCGCAGTTGACACTGATGCGGACGGGAATGTTGTTATATTTCATCGAGGATCCAGGAGATGGCAGGCCGAGTGAGTAGAAAAACTAGTCGCTATTGAATGACCTTTCCACTCCCGGGAATGATTACAGATATTTATATATATAATAAACACATTTAGCCAAAGCTAAAAGCGAAGCTCTCGAAGGATGCTTTGGGAAATGTCCTCCTCAATTAATTATACTTTGGCCGTAAGCAGAGAGCAAACTGAATTCTACCTTAAAAAATTGACCTGCACCCGTGATCAACTGACAACTGGTCAGTGGATAACTTTGAAAATTGCATCACTTCCATGAGTTGTATACCTGAGCCCGCGATTCAGTCCTGTGACACTTGTCAGCGAAGCTTTTATGACAGCTGCCTTCTCTTCTCCCCTCATTCAATAAGACAAAAGGAGACTCTGCTCGCAGGATGCCTTAAATAATGAAAAACAAATGATGAAGTCTTTATTGAAAATAACACCTACACACATATGTGTGAGTTAACAATAATAGCAGAATTAAATATACTGAAACATAAGATGTAATTTGAAAATCTAAATACAATTAAAAAGACATCTGTTGATAAAACATAGCTTGAACCTTTCAGTCCTAACAAGCGGCAAAACGTTATCGTGGCCCCTCTCTCGTAGTTTCCGCCTACGCTTCATAGGAGAAGATCATTTAAATAACACCGCGCGAAAGTACTGATTTATTCAAAAGAGTTTTCATTTTTCACAAAATTCAGCTGGTCAAAAGTCAGGCCTTTATTTTCGGCCTTTATAATAAAACAGAAACCAGCAAACATCAGAAAACTAACACAACAACTAGCAAATAAACGGAGGAGCAAATAAAAAGTCAAACGAACACTAAAGATTTGCTATAATACTCTGAACGAAAGCATAATTTAATAAAATGTCTGTGTATGTGTGTGTTTGTTGTCAGTTCTTTTAATGATCGTGATGTATTCAACCATCAAGATCAGCCAATTCCCGAAGCCACTGTACTGAAGCTGGATCCAAAAACTGGAGAAGTTAAAAAAAGCTGGGGAGAGAATATGTAAGTATATCCCGTATTGAATCAAAAAAGAAAGAAAATGGAAAATGTGGCGAGAAATAACAGTACTGCATGACAGTGCAGTTTCAAGAAAATAAAAATCACGTGATGCTGTTTTTTTTCGTACCCAGGTTCTTTATGCCTCACGGGCTTACCATCGATCACGAGGGTAACACGTGGTTAACAGATGTAGCCTTGCATCAGGTCGGTGTTTCTTTTTACTCGTTGGTTTTTGTAGGACAAAGTGAAGTCCTGAAAGTTGCATATTAGTTTGCTTGGTCCTAATTTTTTTTCTGTTTCTCTCTCTTGTTAGTCAACAATTAGAAAGCGAACTAGAGATTTCGAATGGCACATAATTAGCGAGTGGAGAGACCCGCCCTTCGCTTGTAGTTACTTTAGTCTCCGTGTGTTACGCTAATATATATAGTACAGTGGAACCCACCGTTAGACCATAAATCCTGGTTCGTGCGTAATAAGGAGATGGTAGTGTAAACGGGGTGGTCGTTTGGCGGGGTTCCACTGTCCAACGATTTTGCAAACGGAACTATTTGCACTCTAAGAAGACACTCTTGGATACTAGGAAACATTTTTCAATCTAGTAAAAACATCCATGCTTAGTGAATGCAAATTTTGTTTACAAAGAATTACTCTGCATTATTCTTATGTTTACAAACACTGCTGCAAATGGGAATATATATTAAATCATATCTTAAAGTCGGAACTGCATTATTGATAGAAACCTAGCTAGAGTTAGCCTTTCTGTGTGTTTCATCATGACCAAGCCTTGCTTTGGAATTGTCTTACGAAATTACAACGATTGGTGAATTCCCTTTGTATTTTAAGTTGAGAGGAATAATCTCCAACAGAAAGAGGAAAATGCAAAGAATTTGTCCACAGACGGCGATTGGTGATCAAATCTGCAAATGCATATGGACAACCGATATTTCATTTTAAACAAGGGAGATATTTTTTTTGTTGGTAACAGGTTTTCAAGGTCTCCCCTGGAGAAACCAAACCATCCCTAACTCTCGGAGTCAGGTTTGAACCAGGGAAAGACGCAGATCATTTTTGTAAACCTACGGATGTTGCTGTTGATTCCAAAGGAGTCTTCTATGTTTCTGACGGGTAAATTGTTATTTTTGTTCCTTTTTTAAATTTAGCTTTTTGAAAACAAACGGACGAGTTCGAGAGACATTTCACTATTTCCCAATCTCAACCCCAGGGTCTTCTCGTTTTCCAATATAGCGGCGGCAGTGAAAACGAGAAGACCCTGGGGATGAGGTTGCCTATTTCCTTTGTGGCCCGCGGAGAAGGACCTGCACGCAGGTTAGATCGAGATTCGGCGAGAATCCAAGTGTCTCTCTCGTTTAGATCTCCGTCTGCTTAAATTTTCCTTATAATTTATGCATCACTATTTTTTTTCTTCCCTTCCGTCTCGTTTTCCCCAGTTTTTACTTCTCCTCTTTCTTTCCTGTAGTTACTGTAATAGTCGGGTAATGAAGTTTTCACCAGACGGCAAAGAAAGCATACAAATGGGTAGGTTAACAACTTTTTAAAATAGCGTTTAATGTTTGGATTGTCTTCACTTTGGACGGGGGTAGAGAGGGTGGGGATGGCCATTGTTGCCCAGCAATGAAATTACTTTCTTGGGCCAGGCTCCTATCCCGAGGGTTGGTACTCTCTTCAAAGTCCCAATTTTCGAAAGTCTAGCTTACTTGCTCTCTGGCCCTTATTGCTGGTTTTCAGTGTCACGCCATTCAAAATAGATCAAAATCAAAATCAAAATCTGGGAATTGAAAGGAGGTAAATATGCAAACACCCTCGCCAAGATTCAGGTCAGCGGAATATTTCGAAGAAACGTTTTACCCAAATTTATAGAGATTTGTATGGAGACGCCATGCTGGTGCTCATCCGGATGAGCTCCAACATGACGGACGGAAACCAACAGAAACATCTGTTACCGAGTTTTGCTTCAAAAGCGTGAATTTATTCTTCGAAGAACTCATAAACATTAAAGTAATACTTTTTCTAATACATGAACTGTTTAGATAGGTAAATTCCCTGAAATAAGTCTTTTTTTTAACCTACAAGACAGCTCCCTTAGCCGTCATATAAATGCCGCGTCACGCAAAACTTAGAAATTAAAGCGTACTCTATCACAAAACCAAGAACCCATTTGAAGCGAAAATTTTATGAAAATGAGTTTTCAGCTACTCTAATACATCATGAAAGTAAAATCTCGGTAGGGTCGATAGTTTCGTAGTATTAATTTTAGTGACGTCATGTGAAAACCAGCAATATGTACTGTATAGTCTTATAAAATTTCATCAAGCAAATCAAATCAATCGTGCAGGCAATATCCTGCTTATAATTAGGACAGACTCGCACGAAATTACATACTCTGTTTAGGACAGACTTGCGCAAAACTATATAGCCGGTTTAAGACAGAGAGGTAAAAAACCATACCCTGTCCAGCGGCACATTCTCTTATAGGCCGTATCACGGAATTCCTCCCCCCACCTTGATAGAACTGATCATCCCTGCCATATCATTAATCAAGAGCTGTGTTAATTTATTACTCTGTTATCAATGATGATGCATTTTTCTGCGCTTTGTTTTTTTTTAAGCATCAAACGCCTTCCGGATTCCCCACAGTCTTTCTTTGGACGAGGCAAACGGACGGCTTTATGTCGCTGATCGGGAGAACAGTCGAGTTCTGGCACTTGACGCCGGAAGTGGTAGTCTTTTACGTGAAGTAAAAGACTTCGGAGAGCGAGTTTTCGCAGTGCATTATCACGCCAAACGTGGTATGTTAGAATTATATTAGAATGCCATTACCTGGAGCGTGCAGCTTCTTTACTATGCCTGCGTATCGTGTTTTCACGGTTTATTTTGAGACACGTTTTATGGATTACTGCTTGCCAAAGTGTGCTGCTTGATTGCTTGATATGCGGCTAGTGTGAAGGGCGGCAAAATTTACATCTGGTGTAAAACGCGCGAAAGCGTTCAACTATGTCAGGCGCGGTAAAGCTCGTTTACCATTTACAAAAAGACTCCGGAAAATATGGTTTGAAAGAAAATGAAACACGACTTTTTGGTCGTTCCAGCGGAAAATTTCCGGCAGCAACGCACATCTGGAAAGGCAGTCCTGTTTTACTGGACGAATTGTTCCAAACGAAAATTCTTGTTCCATTTCTTCAAAGCCATAGTGAGATTTTCTCAGTAGTAAGCAGTGCGCACACGTGAACCAGCGTCATTTTGGCGGGAAACCGTGATAGCCGTCGTCATCCTACTACGGTGAGACTAGATTCAGGCCCTCGCGGCCTTTTTCCGTAAAATTGAACTGATTTGTACAAACGGTAAACGCGTTTCCGGACGAAATTTACCAGTCCTGAATTTTCGTTACCGTTAGCCCAAACGGTGAACCGAATGGTTTGCCCATGTAAATGGTAAACGACCAAAATCTCTACCGATTCCGAAGTTTAGAGCAGCGTTCAAAACGTTCATTTCCAGTCCTTTGATATTTTTAAGATATCGTTACCAAGCCAGTTGAAACTTTGTTCGCCTTCAATAAAATGTGTACTGTGGTGTGTTTAATTTCAAAATGTACGATTATTCTTTAGGTGGAGTGCTTCATGTGGTAAATGGCCCGCTGTCATACTACTCTAGAGCCCAGGGCTTCACATTCAGTCTGAAGAGTGACTCTGTGGTACAGAAATGGAGCCCAGCTTTGGTAAGAATTCATTAAACAGGTTATAATCACAGAGTAGCCCTGATGGATACAATGGGTACTATCTTGAGAAATTCTTGCCGGTGAGGGTTTCAATTCTTTTTTCCTTGCGAGAATTCTGGCTATAAATTGATTTGTAACACCGACAAGGTACTTCTTCAAGTGAATCAGTCAGGAAGGAAAGCAAAAAGGTACCATTTTTAACAGACCGTGCAGCCGGAAACAACTTAAAATCGTTGGTTTTGCACACAGTGATAGACGTAACTGGTCGGTCCATTATACTCCTTTCAGTAACTTCTAACTTTATTGTTGCAAAGACATCTCTTTAGTTTTGTCCATATTTCGTGACAGTTTTCCTTGTAAACTGGTTCCAACTTCTTGTGCGACATTCTTACTTTTGCTTGATTTTGTGTCATTGATCAGCAAAAAGTAAGTGACCGCAGCAATCCCCTTGGCACTAGTCGTTATTTTTTTAAATCTTAGAATTCAATTGCTAGTTTTAAAGTGTGGAAAACAGATTTAGTCTAGATCCTCCTTTAAAAAGTAAAAACGATTTTAAAGTACATTTTGGAATAAAATATGCTTTTTTTCTTTTTTTTTTAAATTTAATCTTTTATGATCTTTTCACGACTATTTCTTTCTTCTTCAGGGTTTTTCAGAGCCTCACGATGTGACGTCAGATTCCCATGGTGCTTCAGTGTTTGTCGCTGATATAGGAAGTAACACAGTCTGGAAGTTTAAGAGACGAGTTCAAAAGATAGTTTAAATGTGTTTATCATCTAAATTTATTTTGATTAATTTATTGCTAAAACAGATTCTTTTCATCAACTTATTCATATAAAAAGACAATTATAATGCACACAACAGTTAAATGTTAATTATGCTTGTCAATGATCGTCAATGACCAAATGTGGTATTTAGAAATGAACAGTCCACTTTCCAATTAAAAATTACCGCTGAATACAAACTTTGACGTCACATTCATACAGATTAGTCTCGACATAAAGTAAAATATTCACAAATTCCGACAAGTAAGTGTTTGAAATTTGAAAATACACGATAGACAGAGTAATAAACAGGTCTTCTTCTCGTTGGAATTTGTAAATATTTTCACCTCAGATGGAGGCTAAGCTTGTAAAAAATGCGTCTTCTATTCTTTTATCCACGGCTTATAGCGAACTCGAAATTGGACTACTAAACTCGACGGTGCAATGTAACAATAATGTAATAATGTAACAAAAATTTGTGACCACACGTGAAATTCAAAACGTTGCTAACAGCGAGCCGTTGAAACGGCTGGACAAGCGGCGTTTAAAAAGCCTGCTGATAACCGCTAAAAGGCCTGAACAAATGAATTCCTTATTTTTATTTTATCGGGAAAATAGCTACAATTGTAATTCATTTTGTTCTAATATATGTTTCCAACTTTACTTATGTGTCGGAAAGAGGACTGAAAAAAAACGAAACAAAGCACTTAATATGTTTTAAGTTAAATTTCAGTAATAATATATTTTTTTGTTTCGAACGTACATGCTTTCTTTCTCACAGAGACAGAAAGCAAAATATATTCCTGAATATAAAGGTATTAAATGTACAAGACTCCTAATAACGATCATGAATACAATGTGGTTGATAATCTAAGATTTAATACGTAATGTAACTTAACGTGACGCGACCAATTATTTTTGTTGGCATACCTTCCAAATCCTGACCTTAGATTTTTTGAAACCTCGCAGAACCGAAGGCAAGAACCCAAAGTATACGTAGCGTAGAGCGTTTTTAGAGAAACCGCGAACAAGGGCTGAATTTCCATTCATTCAAAGCTCAATCGATGTGTAATCCTTGTGTTATAATGGAATTTCAATAAAGACCAAGCTGATTACATATAAGTGGTTTAAAGGTAAAAGGTATTACTACAAAAATATTGGTTCGAGTCACGTTATTAAAACAGAGGGCCATACCATTGTATGGTTAATGAAAGTACTAGCTAGATCTGTGTATTTCTAATCAGCGATAAGCATTTTCGGTTTTCTTCGCGGATAGCAAGCCCTGACAGGACCTCTGCAAGGCACGGGCTAGCACTAATTCAGCTGATTTAGCAAATGAACGGGAACGACAGTTGACAACGGCGCGCGCAAATCGAACAACTGGGTTGACCAATGGTGGAATGGCAAACTGGGTACCGGAAGTCGAGTTTAGTCCTTACTCCGCGCTTCCCCGTCGTCAAATGACGTTCCCGTTCTGTTGCTAAATCAGGCTAATATACCAAAGGTGTATCAGTAAAACCCCGAAAAACGAACCCCTACACGGTCGAACTTCAGGATCAATTTAGGTTTCTGGGAAACTGCCCACCTTACCCCTCCCCTAAGCCAACATTTTGCCCTAAGTGAGAAGTAAGTGATAATGTTGACTTAAGGGAGGGGTGGGTGGTCAGTTTCCTAGAATCCTAAATATTAGACGACCACCCAAAATGGGAGGAGTCAGTGGTCGCTTGCGATAATCGAACCCTCTCTAGAAGGGGTACGGTCAAAATGGCTGGTTATTGGCCTTGTTTTGCTTTGTATTGTTCTTCCATTTTTATCGCCCGCAACTTCGTGTTGGTCCACGAAAAGCGCACAAGTGCACTTGGTTAATATTCAGCCACCTTGACCTCACGCGTGGGGAAAAACTCATATATACAATGACTAGTAATTAAGTTTCTTGATTACTACTTGTTGCAAATCTTTACATTTGCTTTAACTGTCACATGCATGGCACCAAATACTTTCGTCAATGATAAATAAACTAACAAGTATGCAGAAAACATTGCCATTGGAGTCTGCTTAATTATTCCCATGGCGTTTGTTTAAAGTTTTAATGAAACCTGGTTGTGATTTAGTTTCAGTTTAGTTACAGTCGAACCTCCACTAACGGCCACCTCTCTACAACAGCCACTTTTTTTTGGCGAACAGTCCATACATTGACTCTTGTTTAAACCTCTCTACAACAGCCATTTTCTTCTTTCCTCGAAGTGGCCGTTGTGGAGAGGTTTGACTGTGCACTAAAACCTTAAAAGTCACGTTATGATCTGCGGTAGAATCTTTGCCATTACGACATATCTTGAGGAACAAAAACTGTTCCACTAATCAAATCCCCACCCCCCCCCCCCCCTCCCCCCTTCCCAATGTTGGTTGTTACCACATGTAACTTGACCAGCGGTGCAGCACTAGCGGAGGAAGAAAGGTTTTCCCAGCGGTCGGGGACACTGAGCGACTCTGTTGTACCCATGCAGCGGCATTCTTACAGAGCAGTTTATTTTTAGATCGATTTTCCCGCGAATTTTGTGTATCATAAAAGTCTTCCAGATCAGGCAGCAAAAATTGTAGACTAGAAAATAGTATTTATGATGTTTTAGTAGCATCTACTCATCATTGTACTATACATGTACTAAATATGGATACGCACACATATGGGAAGGTACTTCCATTTTCGTGGTAAAAAAAAACACTCCAAAATTATTCTAAAACCAAACTGATCTGTGTAAACGCATGGGTTAAAAATGGGAGTTATGGACACCTGGGGTAATTGCCATTTACATGGAAAAGCCGAAAATCCCGGATGGAAAATCAAATGGTACCAGGAGCCGAGTAATCGGCTCCTGATGGTACGCCCTGTAATAAAGAAGATCCGTCACAAAGGCTTAAAAAGCAACCGGTTTATTCATGGCTGCCGAACACTCAAGTCACAACATTCTTTGCTCCCGCTCTCACTTTTAACTAACCCAGATCTAAGTAATAGTAAACCGCTGTTTACACGCCCCATTCCGTTTGGGAAGCTTCAGGAAATACCGTAAAATTCCGAAAATAAGCCCAGGGGCTTATATTTTTCAAAGGCCCTTTTTGAGGGGCTTATGGACGGAGGGGCATATATTCGGAGGGGCTTATGGACGGAGGGAAGTTTGCGTTATAAAATCGTTTGGGCTAGCTTGCAGTGGAAAGGAAATTTACCATTTTTGCTTTGTTTTACTTTGTATTCTAGGGCAAATTTCACGTACAAGCCTTCCGGGGGTTTACATTCGGAGGAGCGATTTAACGGAGGGTTTTTTGCATTACTGTTTTGGGGGGCTTATATTTGGAGGGGCTTATTTTCGGAATTTTACGGTATGGGCTGTGATTTCAGAAGATGATATCGCAATTTTTTTTGCTCTTTTGAGTATATATTTAGACATACTTTGTAGCGGGACATTCTCCCTGCTTCTAAAATTTTTTAGTTTTATTTTTAAGATTTTCATCTGGGTGGTTTTTGAAAATGGTAAGCAGCCCTGGTTTTCCCCATTTTTACACCATTGTGTTAGAGACTAGGAAGGTTGTTTTCAAGTTTAACCCAAGTGCCTTTACTAATTTTGACGCTCTGAGTTTTAACTGATCTTTACTGATTTAAAAAATGTCAATACGAATAGGGTTTCAATACTTTATTTTCAATTAAGAAGTTATTTTACTAAAAAATTCTTTACATATACACGCCTAAAACGGCGTCTGTAGTTATGAAAATAGTTGATTATTATTTCTGGCGGAAGACACCATTCGTCATTGAATTGTGAAATGAACACAAGGGAAAATGAAAGCAAAGAAGAAGTCCCTCATATTCACAGATTTTGAAACTAGCAGTCTCCTACACAAACATCATTTCATTCATGTATTAGGTGTCGACGCAATCTTTTAATTTCAACGGCTTCGAAAGGAGACTGCTTTAAATCATGAAAATAGCCTATTGCCTATGTTAAAGTATGACCTTCAGCTTAAGGTAGCAAATGTTTATAATTTTTAAAGGTTATTCATGGAATGACATGGAAAAATAGTCTTACGTAGACTGTTGGTTACGTTGCTTAGCAACCTAACTACTCCTTTAATGTGCACAAACACAAACTGGATCACCAAGTGAGACCATGTCAAATTATTCTGTACAACGGTTCTAAAACGGTTACGCAAATTTATTGGAAATCACGAGAAAGTTTTTACGTAAGAACGCAGGATTGGTTGTGAACATTGTTTTCGGACACCAGTATGGCGGACCAGGTAACGTCATGTGAAAACGCTCTGTTGCAGAACAGAACCCAGGCCAATCGTGAATTCTATGTAAGCGTTTTGCGCATGAAAGCACATGTATCAGTGTATTGCTCATTGATTAGCTTTTGACTCAAAAACAGCTCCATAACTAACTTTAAGTTTATATTGTGAGCGCAAAACTTCTAACGAAGTCGACGTCATAGGCTAGGCTCCGGTAGAACTTGACTCTTAACACATGATTTCTACCTATTCAAATTAGCTAGAAATAATTGAATAATTTTTTGCTACTGCAAACAAACATTGATTTTCAATGCCTTAAAAATGCACGAAAGAAGCTCAATGACAAACGATCAAAAACAAGATCAAAAGTATTCTCTTTGAAGTTGTTTAAGGAATACAGTTATTTGTGAAGACGCAAAAGACTCCTTATGGCTCGTGTTTTTTAATTTTAAAATAATATCGTCAGTCTATGCCACTGATACTAGTATTTTAAAGGAAATAAAGGGAGATGTAAAGAATCAACCATAAGAGGACACAGAAAAAATCTGAGCCCCAGATGGGATTCGAACCGATTCGTCAGTATTCAGCAATTAGGAAAGTATGTTTTTCGACAATTTTCTTGGAATGATCGAGGTATCTACCGGAGCATAGCTTTAGTTTATCTATAATACTACACAACTAAAATCTGGCGAGTAAGTACACACCAGTAGTCATTTATGAATACATTCTATTCTTGGTTTGCAACCACGTGACAAGGCAGCCATGCTGGGGGTCAAAACAATAGAATTTTTCTCTAAGAATTTACATGAAAATGGAGTTTAGTTCCCAGGGGAGAGTAATGCTTTGATTCTTAACCACCTACATTGCCTCCCTGACGTTTCGTGCAAACCAGCAATAGTCAAGTAAAATATATGAGATCGTAATTAGATGACTAGATTTAACCCCTACAGTCCCAGAGTCGAAATATGGAAGAGTCTAGGTTAAACTTTGGAGTCTGTGGTCCCAGTCCTTGGGTTTGGCCATTCAATCCGAACCTATCCAGGAGTACTAAAACCGGAGATTGTTTAACCCTTCACTCCTAGATAATGTAATGCGAGATAATTCATCACGCTAATTTTTAAATCTGTGGATGAAATCCTCTCGTGTTTCCATTCAAATGAAACCTCTTTGGTAGGACTTTTGCACTGTGCTATTTACTTTATAGGATTTTACAAAAGAAAATATGAATCTTTTCCTTGGCCTCTATTAGGAATGAAAGGGTTATAAGCTAAACAAGATACTGAAAATTTTGACTCTGTGGAGCAAATTTTGTGGTGTGGTAATTCAATTAAAAACTTTCGATATATATATATTCATTGACCCAGGGATTAATGTGCGCACTCGTGTGGAATTCGTTGATGTTTGCTTAGTTGGGATGCCTGTGTAAATGTTTTGCCGCATTTTTCACAGAGGAATGGCCTTTCACCCGTGTGAGTACGAATGTGATTGTTCAGCGTTGTCGCTCCAGCAAATGTGCGCGAGCAATAACCGCATTTAAATGGCTTATCGCTAGCGTGAGTGACAACATGCGTGCGTAGTTCGTTGGGGAAAGAAAACGACTCTGAACAGTAATTGCACTTGTATGGCCTTCTTGGAATGTGCGGACACACGTGGACCTGGAGCATGTTTTTCTGAGCAAATGACTGGTTACATTGACCGCATTTCATCAAGCTCATCTCGCTGCTCTCCGGCGACAGCTTGAATCTTTTATTGTCGTCGCAATCTTCAACCAGAATGCGCTCTTCCTTTAAAGCAATAACAGGATCCGAAATGTGCCGAGTTCTCTCAGCGCGGACTGAACTGTCGCCCGAGGGAGGCCTGATGTTCGAAACAACAGGACTAGGAATCTTCTGGTGCCATGAAATGTGATTGTTATTGGGTATCATGTCACGTGATACAGGTGACTTCCGGGACGTTTTCTTGGAAGGAGTGTGCGAGGTAACTGCTGGCTGAGTGGAGACGGGCGTGGAAAATTTTGGTGCTTCGTTTGATTTGTCTGTTGGTTGAATTTGGCCTTGAGCTGCTAACACCTCTTGCAGGAGTCTGGTACCTAGAAGATGGGGGAAAACGTTTTCGATATCAGCTCGAGAGGGTAAGATATCTCTTGGTTTAAAAATGCAATGTAAATGAAAAGTACCACGTGTAACAAACTGGGCACAGATATGCCCACTCAGAGGGGATGGGTACGAATAGGGCTTACAGGTTCCATACGAAATGCGGCCCCTACTCACCCCCACTTCCACGAAGAATAGCCGTAAGGGGTTGTCACTGCGAGATATTGTTATGCCCCTGGAGGCTCTTTTACGTCCCTCAAGGCTCAGATCAGTGCCTGATGTATATGAAACAATTAAGCTGACCGATTCTTCATTCTAACACCGCGAATTCCTTTCTATATATAACAAAAAAAGGTCAAGGCAAGGGGTCCTTATTTTACGTTAGCAGCTCGAAATGGTCATCGTCTGGGACCAACAAACCTGAGGCCAACGAATTTGTGCGGCGCGCTCGTTATACCCCCTCTTCCCATCAGCGCTCCGTATGAAAGATATCAGTTTAAAGCTCCCAACACGGAAAGGAATAAAAGGTGTGGTAAGAGGAGGCAAGGATTGAGGTTACATCTGGGAATCGATCTGCGACCTTTTGCACAGAAAGCCGCACATTAACCAACTAAGCCGGGAGAGAAAATATCATATTTTTGTGCAAAGCTCTATCTATCATCTGTGAAAAATGAGCCTGTAATTGAGGTAGATGGGTTCAAGGGGTGTTCTTTTGTTGCTTTGTATTTACCAATCAAGTTTGCAACCTTGAAGCAGTGGACATTCTCACAACAAGTGAACTAGTAACAATCACTACATATAGTTTCTGAAAACAATGCTTTGAATTACCTAAACTAAGTTGCTTCGTCACTGTTTTGACATACCGTTGGGATCTACTAGCGCCATATCTTGCACTTCCAGCGGTATTCCCATATCCTGAGGATATTTTTCATCATACCATACGAGAAGTTCAGCCCCCACGGAAATCTCCCTGAACGCCCTGTAGTAAATGTTACCGCAGTATTGGAATGAGAAAAGGTTTTGTTCTTCTCTGTAGCGCGCGCAGCGGATGAAGCGCATCCAGCTCGATGTATTTTCGTCACTCGCGTCGAGGTAGTGAGAAAGTTTGCCATCTTGATAAATCTTTAAGGAAAGGGTGCAAATATATAAATAATATATTACCGTTAAGAAAGTTAATACGACATAAATTCTAACCCTTTCTTTCATAGATCGAGTCCTGATGGTGAGATGATTTTTCATACTAACTTTTACATATGTGGACGAAATCCTACGATGCTAACCTTCTAGTGAAACATCTTTGGTAGTGTCTTAGCGTAGTACTATTTATTTTTTAGGATGTTACAAAAAAAAAAATGTGTAAGTTTCAATGGTGACTGTTAAACCATCCCCCGTTTTCTCCGTTTAGCATCGTCCGACCGAGCCAAATTTTGGGCATTTTCAAAGGAAAAAAAACGACATAGTTAAACCTTTTTACCTTAATCAATTCTTTTAATCTGAAAAATGACCATTCTAACAGAATTTCCAGGCATAGAAGGTTCGGTAGAGTATCTCCTTTTTGCTTTTTACCATAATGACATCGACCATCATATTTTCATTAATTTCCGCCATATTGAGTTTGTGTGGATCAGTCGTGACCTTGTCTTGTTGTTTCCAGGTTCCACGACAATGATGCTGGGGTTTCAGGCCTCCTATTCACCGATTTTTTGTGATTTTGTTCTCTTTTTTTAAGGTTTGTTCTTTCATCCGACCAACCGACCGGAAAATCAGGAGACGCATTTGACGCTAAACGAAAAAGACAAAGGGAGGGATGGCCATTGGAGTGAAGGGTTAAGACACGGGTGCAACAAAGCACTATTAAGAAGGAGTTGTTCCAGTCGTTCATAATTTGCAAAAAAAGATCTGAGAATACACGCAAGTCAACATGAGTTATTTGGAATGAAATATTAATTGAAAACCGTTGATTATGGAGTATTCATGCCTTGGAGATGGTATTGCAGGCAGGATTGTTTCCCCCGGGCTGTTTCGCCTTGTACCAGAGAGTGATCTAAATGACTATATCTCAATTTGCACAAGCCCCTCGTGATAATGCACTCGGTAAATCAATATCGCCATCTACACAAAGCTACTTTTAACCCTTTCCCTCCGGAGTGAAAGATGGAGAGTTGAAAGGTCGTTCTAACTTTTCAGTCTGCAGTTAAGATGTGTAGTGTGGCGTGAGTTCAGATTGAGTACCATCACATGTTATTACTTGTTTTTTCGGCATTCGACAAATGAAATTTGGAAATTTGGTCAAATTTTGACTTTGGCAACTTTTGGGAGTTAAACGGTTAATGCCAAATATTTATCAAACGACAGAACGTTCTAGTGTACCTCCCACATGTATGACGTATCAGTGTTGGGTTTGACGTCATCACATTTGACATGTTTTCCCTCATACGGACCAATCCATGTGCCCACGGGAATATGCTGCTTGGCGCAGACTCCGCATCCCGCTCCAGGAATGCTCGATACACACAACTGCACTTCCTCCGGAAATGAAGCTATGGCGTAACTAAACTTGACTGGCTGTTTCTGTCCAGGTATCACCAGTTTTCTTGTCAGTGCTTTGTGAGCTGGGCAGTCGCCTTGTTTGGAGCGGCAAGCTTCACAATCTAAAAACAAACTCAACGGTTACGGGTCGTTGAAATTCTAGCCTTCGTAGCTCACGGCTTTGTTGGGGAAGGGCAATCGGACGGGAGCACGAACGAGCGCCGAAGCCGCGAGGAGAATGAGGCGCAAAACCCGCTCATTTGAGGTTACATTTGTTCGCACACGCCCTCGCCATTTCGCAGATCATTTGCTCGCATGCGAGGCACAACCGCCACCTACGCAGGCCGTTGGAATTCGGTCTGAAATTCTGTCTATCAGAAGGATCTTTGGAGAACATTTTGATGGAGGTTCCTTCACGTTAGCAAGGGAGATGGGAACTTCCCCCACCCCCCACCCGTTATCTTGGGAGTCAATCACAACTCCAGGGCCTTTTATTTACAAAAGTGGGAAATGTCCGTTGAGACCAAAAAGAAGCAAAAACAAAAACGTGTCAGAAACGTGAGCAAAGCTGGGGTGACGGCAGTAAAGTACGTAATGTCAATAAATCAAGTAGTCTTTCACGCTTATTTAAACGTTGCTCCCCATGCACCCTCCTGAAAAATTCAGAAAATACTTCCGTCGAAACACAAGAACAGGAAAAAGTGATATGTATTTATTAAGTATGAAAAACATTCCAAGACATACTTAGAGTCTGAATAATAAATGTTGTCTGTAAAGCTAACCTTGATAATAAGTAATAATACTTTTAACGGAATTAATCTTTGGCATACTACCAGGAATGTATTAAACCCTCATTAAACCCGCTTTATTTGGTTCAAAACAGACGTAGTTGGCTTTACAGTTTCGTAATTCAATCCAAAGCTTTGTAATTAAAGCCAGGGCCAAGGTCCACTAAGAGAAAAAACATTTCACTCCCACCGACCTGAAAAAGGGTGTGGCCTCGAAGACCCCAGCCCCCAGTCCTCCCCCCCCCGTCTTCCCCCCAAATCAAGGATGGAGAAATGGCACGGTTTGGCTTTCGCACCGCTTCCTTGATTTCGGGGGAAAGGCGGTCTGCTTTTCCATTTTATTCTGTCGACGATTGTAGCTTAGCTAACCGATATAAAATGAGACTTTACAGTTGTAAAATACTTAACACCCTCTGTTTGATAAGTATTGCAGTATTTCCTCCCTTAGCACTGGTTATAATATTCGGACTAGACTGCTTGAAGTCCACATTTTCTCTTAAACTCCGTCTAGTTCTTATCTCATCCAGCGCGCTTGCAAATAACGACGATTGAGCTTAGGTTTCGCGTGCAGTAACTTTGCAAAGAAAAATAAGAGACTGCTCGCAGTCTATATTCGGACTGATCAGCGATGTTTTTTACAGATCTAACATAAAAATTAACAAGATCATCAGGCTTCGCAGAGGCTTTCGGTTGTCAGTCTTTCTAAATTTTCTGTTACCAGGTGACTGTCTTACACTTTCACACGAATTACTTTGCAAAACACGAAAACCTGTTACCCTTAAGGTTTCTATTAATTATGACTTGGAATACATTGGATTCACTTAAAAACCAGCCCCCCCCCCCTTCATTTCCTCGTTATTTTATTGATTTATCCTTTTGACCGGGGGTCCTCCCTTTAAAAGGATGAAAAGGGGGTTAAGTTCCACCCCTTTCTTTATTTATCAAAGAGTTATTTTTATCAAGACGTTTGAAAGGAGTCATTCTGGTTTAATTCTACTATGCGGGGCAGAGGTGCTACTCTTTCAGTCAAAATGGTCCACAAAAATGAATTGATTTAAACCCACCCTTGGTTTTGAAATGAACTTTCTCTGGCGCGCTCTCCTCTCTCTGTCCACCACTGGCAGAGAGAGCAAATTATACTCCTCAAACTGTTCAAGTAGCAAATGGTCTCTAATTATCTTCAAACCTAAAAGAGATTTCTCTTCTCGCTACTTTTCTATTGGGTTCAACGCTTGGTGGGTCCGTACAACCTTGAACTAACGCTTCTCATTTTAAAGAAGGATAGATTTTTTTTTTTATGTGTAAATCAAAACACTTCCATATCAAAGACGCCGCCAAAATAGCGATGACCAAAGTGTTGTAACATAAACTTTGCGCAACACGTAATCAGAAAGTCTCAAGAACCTACAAACAAAGGGCTAATTCATTTGTGTTCCAGTTATAATGTCTGGGTTATAGCTCCTCCCCCTAATTAAAGTCTAAAGAATGTTGAATTTTCTTCGATGACAAAACAAATGCACTGTAAGTTCCGTAAACCGGAAATATCGTGACCTGAAGAAGTCTTGTGGCTTCTGTGGCGGTTTTTTTAATGCATTGGGTGGGTGGGCCCACCAAGAAAACACTTTCACTGAAAGTGCAGCAAATCTTTCATCGTAGCCTTCCTGAAAAGTGAGGAAAAGGGCCTTGGATAGGTAATTTGAAATGTCACTGGTTACATTTTTTGCATATTTCAGATATGATGATACTAAACAACTTACAGGAAGTGATTAATTGTTTTAACACCCTCGGGCACAAAGATTTTTTTATTAGGAAAAAAAAGATTTTTTTTTTCGGTATTTGTGACAGTGAATGTCTAAGACAAGATTTAACGTCAAATCTCTAATTAGGAACATAAACCAATGTTGACATTGGAATTTCCAATTCTTTAATACAGCCCTATGGGCTGTTTATATTTGATACAGTCCTATACTATACTAAACAACACTAGGGGGTCTTCCTTGAAGTCCTTCATGAAAACACAAAGTTCACTTCCTTTTGCTTGTGAAGCCGGAAAATTGGTTTTAAAAACACGGAGGATCATATCATTCCCCATCACAAACATGCGTACCCCCTGGACTTCAAAAGTCACTACACATTTGTTTGTTTTTAACGAGCTATTATCATTATTATTTTTTTGTTATTTTTTTAAGCTGACAACAAAACATTTAAGCTTTCTTTTTCAGCCTTTTTATCTGTTTTTCGAAGGATTGTTAACGTCTAGAAATTGAGAAAAGGTCTTAATATGGCGGCTGTACATATGTTTCAAACCTAAAATCAATTAACGTAACGGTACAAATTAAGTTACCGCAAACATATTGTTTATATAACTCTGTGTTACGGATCAAGAGTGCAAATATTGTAGTTAGAGCCAGCATTCAGTGACTTACTCAAAACTTCTTTTTGTGTATCCTTTCCATCGTTTTGGCTTGCTTTTCTTTGTCCTTTGAATACCTCAATATCGATGAGTTGCGGTTCATTATGTCTGTACAAACAATTGTACAAGTCGTCATAGGTAAACGTAAATCGCCTGTGACTGGTGTTTGCATTGGTGTGGTAAGATGGCGTACTTTTGGCGGGAAACTGACTGCTGAACACAACGCCATTTCGCGCCATTTCTGCTGCAATCACAAACAAGCAAAACCGCATTTTAAAGTTGTCTCAGTCATTTTTCTGAAATCATGTAGAATCTGTCTTCTAGAGCCCTATTTTTTCGACACAGATGTTCTCAGAGGGTAACCAATGAATTATACCATCTTTATCTAAGTAGGCAGCAATTTTCACGACCCCCTCTATCTGAATTTTTTGGATCCGACCTTGAAAAATTCAATACAATCAAACACATACTTGTCTGTAACGGGATGAAGAAACAGCGAATCTCTAGTCCAGGTCTTACCTTGACGTAGTTAAAATATCTTTGAGAAAGTCTAATTCACTTAGTAAACAGACTAATGTTGTTAACTGCATATACTATGGCAAATGTGTTTTTACTGGGGATCTACCACCAGTTTAGTGATCCAGTTTGGAAGGACGCTTGACTGTTGACTGATCACATCAATCAGGTTTCATCGAACCGAAAACACGATCAGTTACGGTTAGGAGAAAAAACATTGGTTTGAAAAGGAAAAATAATAATTCAAGGAACCGACGCCGCTTTTTGCACCCCCGCTCAGAAGAATCCAATATCACATTGCGGTCGCATTATGACTATTAAGACGTGTTCCGGGCTTTCCACCTCGTGGAAATCTGAGTAAACGATAAAGCTGTATTTGTTGGATGACAGCGACCGCCTCTAGCTTCGCGCCACAGATCTGGTATGTAGCCCGGGGTATGTAGTACTGCCTTATTACGAAAATAGCGGTTTAAAAACCGACCAGAGCTTAAAACAACACCCGGGACAAATCACAAGACAAATGAGAAGTCAGCTCATTCACGCCGAACTGTAAAAGCTGCAGTTGTGTTTTCATGGTAATTGAGTTCAATTCGTATTTTTACCGCGTTGTATTAAAATAGAACGCAGTAAACGGGAATGTTTGAATCATTATGTAATTCTGTGAATCCTCATTATCAATTGTGTAATATATTTTTTGAATGGGCATTAAAATTTCTATTAGCTTCTCATAAGAACCATTTGGTTCTTTTCAAAAACACCTTCATCTTTTCTTTTCTGGACAAGCTAGACGATGTGGCAATTTCCCCGAATTCCCCTAGAATCTACTTCGCCTAGACGGCAAACTTAAACGATAAGTTTCACATTTTCCTTTAAATATATCTTTGTCTGGCGGTTTTGGAATGTAATAAACAAATCAGTATCAGATGGAACAGCGTTTAAACATAGCCAAACCACACTTGACGTTAAGCAAGAACGTCCTGTCATAAAAACAGTTTTATTTCCTGTTTATTGATAATCTGGTGTATGTTATTATTCTTCGTGTACCAATCTGCATGTTTCTTTCAGTGGTAAAAGTCAGTAAACACAATTTACTGAGGGAAACTGAGTTGCTTTCTTTCAGACTCGATGTACGAAGAAAAGAGTAGCCATTTCAGTCACAAATGAAAACTTATTTTATAGTCAGATCCTCTTTGTAGTCACGTGTTAGGCGAATGGAAACGGTCTGAACTGACGAAACATTAAACGTAACAAGTTTTGGCATTTGAATCAACGAGAATCAACGAGATAACTTTAAGAACTTCCTGTTTCATGTGATTAGGGGGTATTTAACAAAGCACCGGTATTCATGTTGCAGAGAGATATGAAATTTCTGCCCTCGGCAGATACAGATTTGTTGTCTTTTCTCAATTCATTTTCCGGGACGCATGTATGGCATTTAAATACAATAACTAAAAATAATCGTTAAATAAGGAAGATAAATTTACAAGGAAGTCTTCCACTTTTACTCTTTTCTTTCTTTTCTTTTCCTGGACATATTTCCGATTAATTTATCAATTAAACGTCATTTTATAACATCCTATGTTTTTCGTTAGTCTCACGCGACTTTCGTGGAGCGCCCCTCCGTGTCGGAAACTTCAAAGAAAGAATAGAAGCTTAAAAAAATATTTCTTAAGACAACCTCATGGTTGCCAAAGTGCATTCCCCTTGTGAATAGTCAACGCCAGATTAATTCCCAAATGACAATCTGGCGGATTCTGAAAGAATGGCCTTCACTGAAAAACAGGAATAATTTCCTACAAAAAGAAGTTAAAACGCTAATCTGGCATACCTTTGACCGATAGAGGGTACGAGAAGGAATGCGATTTGAATGGGATACGTTCTGTCCCACCCTGAAGGTGCTGATGAATGGGCCACGGCTCGGTAAAAAGAGTCTTTCCAATAACTGTTTACAGTACAAACCTTTCACGTGATAGCCACTCAAAAATAGCAAAAAAATGCGAGTAATGTTGCAATTTTGTACGAATTTTTTTCTTGTAAAACCTTTGACAGATTGATACCTTACCTTCTGGAAAAAAGAAATAATTACATTTCCATTTTTTTCCGGGAATATAGAACAAATGCAGTTATCGCAATGGTAAAAGTTTTAGAAAATGAATAATCACTTAAAGGAGGGGTATTTTCATATTTTAATCCCTCTTTTAGTTGTTCTTGAGAATGTGTCTGTTCGTATATGGCTTTTTTAAAAGTGGCTACAACTTTGTGCTGCTGTCAAGGTTAAAAAATATTGATTCTTCTCGGTTCAATGAATTTAAGAATGCGTTGCTATAAATGGTAAGTGGCGAAGTGATTGTTAAAATAATTAAAATTGCACGGAAGTTGGCTGAATCCGAGCAGAGTTAGAAAACTTTGGATGGTGCTTTGGTGGACTTTCGCATATATGCGGGGATCAACTTCCTTCAAAATCTAGCAGTTGAAGCTTCTTTTGGTTAAACAATTTACTCCCCCAAGTTCATGATCTACCCAAACAGAAGGACACAAACAAGTGTACAGCAGTTAAATAGCCTCAGGTTTAGCTTACTTTCATTAAATTAATTGTTAATAGTAGTCTCGCTAAATTTCTTTTCAAAAGGCATAAAATAGTCCAAGAAAAACAAACGAAAAAGAGCGACCCTTTCCGGCCGTCCCGCGAAATCTAGCCCGCCCGATAGTGTCTAGCTTTAGTTATGCAAGTCTGCGATGGAATTAAATCAAATTTGCTCACGCAAATACATAGTTCTCTTACCAAAATTCGTTGACGGCTCGGCTATGCGTTTTTCTTATCCAAAATACAAGCCTTGAAATGCCCCAGGTTGTTATTTTCTATTCTTTGTAAGTCTGCCGTGTTTGGGTGATACCTTTGGAAATGGAAATCCACCCCTAATTTTATCTCCTTACCTGCCGAAACCTGATAGAGTGTAACAAAGGATTCTAAGAAGCAGCATGTGTTTTTTTTTAAAGTAGCGTTTTTCTTTTAGAAATTCAAGGATGTGTCAATCATTTTAAAAAGCACGTCAAAAGTTTTTGACAGGTTCCAATTCATTGAAATAACATAAAATATGATATGTTGTTAAATTCCTCAAATGCCTCAGACCCACGTTTGAAAATAACGTAGTTTAATTGATATGAAATAAGAGTCTCGGCAAAGTTTGAAAGGCCTTTAAAGGCAATGATTTGTTCCAGGATTTAACCCAACAAAGGAATGTCAAAGGAAGAGATGTCGTCTCGCTAACTGCGTGATTGCGTGCTAAAACGAACTACATACTGTTCCCTATCAATACATTAAACGTGAAAAATCAAGCCATAGCTAGAAATCGATAACCTCAAAATCTTTTACTATTTGACTGTCGCATTCTTAATTAGATTTTACGATATAACCCGATATTATTATGATAAGATAAGAATTCCTAAGCGCAGACCTAAAACATCGCCCGCGCAAATGCCACACCGTGCCTCTGAGGGTCTCAGACAAAACTGATAAAAAACCAACAACCAGTATTTCCGCTGATAAGGTTTTTTCCGTCTGGATTATTGAAGTTTATCTATTGTGACATCTACTTCATTCAACAAACAAAATGTTACAGGATTATCTGCAATTTCTTTTGCACTATAATTTGTTAAAACACGTGTAAAGAACTGGTTGTTCGATATATGCTTACCTATTATAACTGTCCGCTCGAAACGTGAGGCCTTGTATACACAAAAATAGCGTTAACTCCTCAATGTACGTCACGAGGGAGTTGCGCATGATAAGACTCAAAATGTGAAAGGACGCGACGCTATGGGGCAAAAAACAGTGAGGGAGGGGACCGACGGGAGCGGATGGTTCGTATGTTTCAGCGCTGCCCAGTGGTATCTTGTCACGTACGTACGTCTTATCGGAAATCAATCAAATCAAATGGGCAGCACAAGCAAGGACACTGTCGCTATTATTTTGTCGAGATAATTCAGGGGCTGCAGGAACCCATAATTAACAGAAGAACAGCAGGGATTAACCGGTAGGTTTCTGTCTGTATTAAAACTCTTACTCCGGCAGCCGGTGCTAGATTCAAGTCGATTCGGAACGGTTCCGCTAAATGGAAGGACTACATGATCCTACATGTATTCGAAAGGCCACGTAGTAATGTAATTTTTCTCAAAGTCCTTTTATTTATTTATTTCTCTGTTTAGTCCAAAGGGCCATTTTAGAGGCCCTCATAGATCTGATAGGGTAAAATTCCGACAAGCGACATGGCCGTGAAACGGCGTCTGAAGGGAAATAAAATGGTGACAAGCTGATACAAAGATGGGTTGAAACTCTGACAGCAACGAAGACAAGCGCAAAAACAATAATAAAATGCCCACAGGACATGGCTTCCTCCCCAATTAGTGAAACGACGGGTTTCGAAATTCAGACTAGGGACATGCCTACGCACCCTAAGAGAGCCTCATTTTAAAGTCCTTAGATTTTTCTTGTCGATTGGGTCGGGGATAGAGGAACTTACCGCTGAGACCATAGTTAGTAGAGGAGAAAGGGTAGAAAAGGGGGCAAACATCAAAGACAAAAAAGTTGAAAACAACGGTGCTGTAGTTTATGTTGGAAGCTCCCTGACAGTGCACAATCCTTTTTTTTTTGTTCACAAATTGTGACTGAATAGATTAATGCGACGTTTCTATTGGTCAGTAAGTTCAAAATGATAGGAATGCTATTGAACGTTGTGCACGGTCAGGTCCAAAAAAGCTAACAAAAACATATAACAACGGAGTCTAACGGGTTTCATAACCATTTCGGCACTTAACTATGCTGAGGCTAAGAAGGGTCAACGTAGGGCAAGTCTAGTAGCGTCTTCCTGTTCCGGTGGGGAAGTACTATATGGCCTATATAGTGAGGTTCTGTCCGAAAGGAGTACCTTTGACATTCGTGATGAGTTAAAGAAAATGAAAACTGGTAGAGAAATTTGTCATTTATTTATTTATTTTCAAAAAGAAGCCTTTTCAAAATGTTTCGAACCGACGAACCTTATGGCCATATACTTTCAAAGTTAGTAACGAACGCTACATAGTTTGGCAAGAATACTTACTGTTACTGCCAAAACCAACAATGAAGATTTGAGCACTAGATGTGTGAAAGGGTGGGTATATGAAGGGTGTACCTTTTCCGTCAAAAATGGTATATAACAGTGTAAAAAGTTAAAAAGTGGGGCCAACCCTTCCCGTATAAAGCGTCGTTGAGCAATCCCTGGTTTTTGTTTTGTGGTCTTCTCGTTAGAGCATTCAATGAAGGGCACCCTGATTCCTGCCCTGGCACCCACCAGACTCCCGTTTCTGCACGCGTATTCAACCCTTTTATTCCCCAAAAAAGTTAAAAAGTCAAAATTAAACACAAGTTTGAAACTTTAATTTGAAAAAGCTCTGAAAAGACAACTAGCAACAGCTAGTAACGTGTAAAAGTGCTACTAAAGACGTTTCATTCGAATGGTCACACTATAATAGTTCACCTAGAGTTCATCCACAGACTAACTCAAATTCAAAACTTAGAACCACTTGGACTCTATTATTAACTCTCATTAACTCGGAGAGGGAAAGGGTCGGTTATTTAAACGACGTTTCATAGTAACTTAGGCCGCGGTTTAAGAAACCATTAGACCTTCAGATCTCTTTCTTATATAGTGGGTTAATGTAAGTGAATCAGTGCGTTTCCAGTGTACGCCATATGCTTTATTGAAATTGTTTACGTAGCCTTCGTAGCAGGCGCTTGGAAGTAGTGGGCACAAGAAAAACCTCTCGCGTGTCTCCCTCGCGCGCGCTTGTTCTCTCTCTCGCCCACTACTTCCAAGCGACTGCTACGCAGGCTATTGTTTACGATAAATGATGTATAGATAAAAAGCACTGGGAAAACTGAAAAATGGCTTAGAACTGCAAAATGGCTTTTTTAAGCACGGCTAAACTACTTGCCCAACGGGTTTACTACTAGAGGTGACCGAAAGATGCAGGTTTGTTTTAAAAATATGTAAATTGGAAGAAAAGCGTGTGATACTCTTTTGTGGGACGTACAATCGCGAAAGTCCACGAATACATACCCTGGGTTCCAGAGGATATTTTTCTCTTATCGCTATTAGGTATTTTGAGAACGGACCTCTGGAGTCAGGGTACTTGATACAAGTTTCACTGGAGTAGGAAAACTGAGGGGGCATGAGTCACACTTAGGGGCGAACGGGGCACCAATGTTCCTGTTTTCATGTTTTGACACTCCCTTCGTTAGCGGAAAAACTCCTTAATCCTTTTTGAGTGCAACTGGCATATTTACTTTTGCCAAAATTTCATTGAGATTTGAGGTACAGGGAAATGCTTTATGGAAGTCCTAGCCTAAAGCGGACGTCCTGTGTTGCGGGAACACGAGAAAACATCCAAGCATATTGTGGAGTTTCCGCTGAAAGGCAAGCTTCGCTGTCTGTGTTCTTAAAAAGGGATAAATAACCGAAGCTCTGATTCACCGTCACGTATTTTTAGAATTTTTTCTGATGATAATTTACTGGGGACACATGAGTTGTTTTGAAGAGGGCATGACGTTGGACCATAACCAAAGGCTCCCTGTGAAACCACACATTACAACAATACTGTTTTGCGAAGGTGTCCAGACGTTTTCCAAGGCCCTAATGCTCAAGGGGGATATGAAGTGACCAGGATGCTCGTCAAAAAAATGAAAATTAAACCCTGAGACCAACCAATGAGGGTGTACTGAGCCCTAAAGGAGAAACTAAAAAAGATCGACATTACAGTATTTTTTGCAAATTTCTTTATGCACGTCACAGCCCTAAGCGATACCTGAATGCGCAAATTGACTTTCCATCCCAAACACTCCAAGTGAGACCAAAATCTGCAATTTACACCCCTAGGCGAGACGATGAGGACTAGCATCCGCGTGACTTTTTTGTAGGAGTCCCACCCATGCAGGGTTTTAATGATACCGTGTGGCACGAAATTTTTGAGGGAGTTTATTTTTGCGGATTGGTGATTTTTTGTGTTTTGCGGGAACTAATTTTTTCGATTAGGACAAATTGGTTTTCCTTGCTGGGAATTAATTTTTGAGATTTTCTGAAAGTGCCCACTACGGTGTGCCTACCCTATGTAATCATGTAAACCAGTATTTCGTTGTATACCACTTTGTTTCTGAACGGAAGACACAAGTTGTAATTGAACAGACACGATTTCTTAGTACTGTAATTTTTGTATAGTGAACTGATTTAAATTAGAGAATATTCACTCTGGAGTAAATTTTTTTGGGAAAAATGTTCGCGGTAATTTTCATTTGAAGCAACTTTTTTTTTGCGGATCGCTGGAAAAATCGAAAAAATTGGAAGCCGCAAAAATTTCATGCCACACGGTAGCTGAAATTTGCCAAAATTGTTTCAGGACAGAATTATCAAGGCTTTTTTTGTTTTGTTCTATTGTTGTTGTTGTTGTTAATCGATAGCTGGGATTTGAGATCTAAGAAAATTAACTGATAGTTGAGAAATGGGCTAAAATTTCAAATGACTCAAGAAATAACGAAAATTTTACTGACAAACTTCGAAACTCTTGGTTTGTAACTGGCAGGAGTACCACCTGTTAAAGTAAAATTCAAGAAAGAAATCTCAGTGCCTATTTTTTTTTTGAAAAAAAAATTCAAATTCAACGTTTTCTGTTAATTATGCTTCTCTGTTATATCAGGTGCGTGTGTGAAACTCAGTTTACTGACAAATTGCTTTCAAACAGTTCAGCCTGGTATAAGATCATTACCAGGGCTAAAAGTACGTACAATTCGATGATCATATGAAGATATATAGTTTGTTTGCCATAGAATTCATTTAGCTTCAATACACTTCTTTGAAGTTATTCTTGCAAGTCCTTAGTGGAGCCCTGCTTTAAATAATAGAGTTTAACTTTTGATCTTGAATATCCGTGACTGGGCAAAGGTCATTCGCATGGAATACGGCATCTTGTTTCTGAGCACGTTTCTAAAATCTTGCAGCAATACAATAGATATCTATCTGTCAGGATATATATTATTTCGACCCAGCGATCGACTGATCCGGCTTAACTTCGGCAATCCGGCTGAAGCTGAAAGACATTTGTCATATTTGTTCTGACTTGTCTCATGACAAATATGACAAATGGCAAATATGGCACTGAAATACCTCTCACAGACCGGTAGCGAATACTTGGCCCTTCTAGCTTGGAGTGGATCCATAAATGTCTAACAACAAAAAAAAGGCAAGTCCTGTCCTACAGGAAAAAAATGTATTGCACTAAAACGTTGTAAACTGTTGAATCTTGTTTTTAAGAAATGAAATAGCTTTAGATCTTCCTTAGCTGTTGCAAACTTGAACAAACATGGTTTTAGATGGATAAGATCAGAGGCGAAGTACCCTCAAGAGCCGCGGTTCAGTCAAAAATCGGCGACTTTTACTTCAGAAGGAACAAAATTTTTTAACATTGCACACAGTCCTTCGGTAGGAAAAATCTCAGCTCGCGGCAATAGTTGCTAACAAAAATCTCTGGTTTGTTGGGTTGCGATTTTGTCTCAGGGGTTCTACGTCACTTGTTCCTTAGTCCTAAAATAGTCTATGGAATCATAGTAGATAGCGATCTGATATATTCTTTAATCACCATGGCGACGCCGGGAAAAGAGACAGGCGCGGTCACAAGGCAGTTTAATAAGTGGACCCGCGACAAGACAAAGACCTTATCGTTTCTATTGTTAGTAATCTGACAATCTTTGTCTGCTCATCACGAAAAAATAAAAAAAAGAAACTTCCATGCTGGACGAGTCATAAAACGGCGGGGTTAAGAAGCTGTTAAATATTGTCAGTGAATTTATCATCATCTTTATTCCTCTCCCCCTGAACACTGACGTCACGTACGAACGTTTTTACCTACCGGCCGACTTACGTGAGCATAACTCATTTGCAATGCATGACTTCCAATCACAAGAATGCGCAATAAACAAAGTGGCAGAAAGGCCAAAAGCATTAATTTCAACTCACTAAAGCGACGCGACGCTAAACTGTGAGTGCGAGCGTTGCTCGTGGAAAGCAAAGGAAGTCGAAAGTGTCTTCTAAACGTGACTTTGTTCTTTAATTCTGCAGGAAAGGGTCTCACTGCCACCAACCCGACAGGATAGGTAAGCACAATGAGTTACTTGACTAAAAGAATTTGAATTTTAAGTCACGCATCAAAGTCGTAAACTGTCTTCTTCTACATGATATTGCTTTGAAACGCTCATTTGTTTGGAAACGTTCATTTGTTTGCTCGCATTGAAGGGACTTCTGTTTCTTCTAATTTAACCATGAGGTCTACACTTTTTTGATTAGCGACTTGTTGAGTTGCGTTTCTCTGTTTACACCTGGAATGGTTATATTTACAAAGGTTTTATCGCTTTCCAGACTGTTCAGTATTGTTTGTTGTTAAGTAGAAATTTGCGTACTTGCCTCGATAACAAAGCTTTTGAAAATGATCGCGCGCCATTTCAGTTACGACTTCTCATGAAAAGTAATAAAATAGACAATTTCTTTTTGACGTTTTTCTTCAGCTCAAGATTAACTGGCATGACACTTTTATTAAAATATTGTTTGTTGGGCAGAAGAGTGATCAAAATTAGACTTAAATTTGCGACTCCAAGGGAGGCCAAAAAGCGGCACGTCTTCTGTCGCGCCTGTTTTTCCGTTCGAATCTGTAAAATCTTGCGTGGGTGCTTAGAGAAAAAAATTAAAACAACTCAATCTTTCTTACGTTATTTTATTACTTTTGAGATTCCAACGCCTACGATGCAGGGGAGGTGTTAGGGTATTTTGCAACATTCGGGCCAAATGACGTATTTATTGCTCAATAAATTTACATATTAATCTTTGAGCCGTTTAATTGATATTCGCGTTGTTAACCTGAAAATATCGACTTTGTAGTTCAACCACAGATTTTAGCCTGAACACAATCAAGAACAACGGGTTTAAAAAATAGAAAAAGAAAACAAACAGCTAACTTTAAAAATGAAAAACTGTGAATCAATTGGGAAAGATGGAGTACTTTTATCTTCAAACGCCAGCTGCTTTAAATTAATTTTTTCTATTTAACTTATACTTTTTATGCATATATCATGTTTATTACATGGACCAAACTTGTTAGACCCCAAAACAAATTAAACAGGATATGATTATGATCAAGATGGGTTAGAGAACTTTAAAAAGTACGTCCCAGTACTAGACAAGGTAGAAAAATATGACAAAGTGCTCGTAGAGATCCTCAAAGGTTCCCTGTTTTATACAACCTAGAAACATATTTATATTTATAGAATTATCTATTTTTAAAAGCACGTGTGCCCGGCGGGCTTTTCCAGAGTAACGGACTCTATTGAAGACAAAAATCCCGACAGAATTTGTGGTGTTGGAAAAGAATGGAAGGTCTTAAAAAGCCTTAAAGCGTACAATATCTTTAGAATATTTTATCCTAAACGCGCTTTTTTGTCCTACAACTATTATGAACACATGGCAATTAAGTGTGTTGTAGTAAAATTCTCGCAATTAGGTGCTCTTATTTTGTGGCGGGAGAATGAAGGAGCTATAGCGTAAATTTATATTTAGTCTATACGTATAAAATGTTCTCGGCAAACTGTATCTTTCATAAACAGCAAAACGTTTACATAGTCTTTTCTTGTTTTTTACCTTGTGAAACTGTGCCATAGGTAACTCAAAGTTTCAAAATTGACGGTTTTTGCAGAGGAAAAAAATAGAATATATATGAAAAATTATAATTATTTTCATGTATATTATTCACGAGCAACCTCAAATGTCTGGTAATTACATGGGCTAACCTCGTATGAAGCTATCTGTTTTTGAAGAAGTGAGTGTTTTTTTTTTTTGAAGAAGTGTTTACAAAAGGTCGTAATTTTTCGAGTCTTTGCGAGACTGGTATGAAAAAAAAAACCGGCTCGCGCTCACGTGTTTGCAACGAGGTGAATATTGGTATACCTTTACACTGGTCCGCCGGGTTGTTTCTTTCTATTACTTCAATGCTCGTACGGCATAACGGTATATATTAAGCTTAAAGTATGGTTTCTGGTGTGCCAGCTTATTTGAACAGCAAAGTTTGAATACAATGGGCTCAAAAATAGACCAATAGTAAGAAAGGCCTATCATTTTTTAAACTACTTAAAAAAGAGTCTGTTCATTTTGGATCTGTTACTATATCACTACCTCTAGTGTATTGAGCCTTACGAAATCATCCCTGTGAAAACTACGCCCTCCGTTGGACACTGGGAAATGTTGAGATGACAGCGTTCCGACCAAACGGGGCTCTTGGAAACATTTACAATCATGTTTATTTCATTTCGGTCTACTTTGAGCAACTCGCATGACAATGAAGTAAACATTAGCATATTTATCAAAGAATTCTTCAACAAACAGTTAAATTGACAGAAAGTGAGCTTGGTTCATTAAAATACCACTTACCAAGGGGATTATTCATAGTTTTCAACATTTTAATTTTTTGCCTAAAAATACGGAAAAAATTAAAAAATCTACTTGTCAACCAATCTGACGTCAGTGAAGCAATAATTGAATGTTTCGTATTCTTCAGTTTCTCTTAGAAACACGCCTAGGTTCAGTAAATTAGTGTCGAGACCACAGCACTCCTGTGATAAATAAAACAACTTGGATCATTTGTGGATAGCAGTACCTCGATAAGAAATTCCCCATTTTTAATGTTTTCAGTTAAGACAAAAAAAATCGGAGGAACTTTTTAAATTAATTTTCAAAACAATTTTTGTCTTACTCGATCTTCTTTGCAACCTGCCGGAACTTTTTTTTTTTGAAAGCCGTAGCAACCAGTTTGTACTTCTTGGTTGCTTAACTTACCCAGAAGACCGAAAATGAATTGTAATTTCTCAGGTTTTTTTTTATGAAAGCCTTTCATGGATGGATTTATATCACCGTCCTTCCCACCCTTATCTGAAAATGTGTTAAAATTTCACAGATCTGTCTTCTAGAGCCCTAAGTTTTGTATAGCATTGCCCTCAAAGTTCTTTAACCATTAAATAAATATTATTCAAATGGCTGGCAATGCTCCCGGCCTCCTCTCTCTGAATTTTCTGGATCCTAACCCTTGCCTTTAACGGAAACTGCAAGCAGAAAAACCATGAACTTATGCAAAATGAATAAGCACCAGTGAAAAATATAACATCAAGGGGTATCCATCGTGACAAATATGAAAAGAAAATATTTGTTTCACTTTGACAACATTTGGAAATGTGTAGAATTATAATTGGCATTAATTAGGTAAAGAATTTTCAGTGCCAATAAAGTATTTTAATACAACCTTGAAAAACATATTGTCTATTGTCGATATGACAGAATCGAAAGTGAAATTTCACAATAATTTTTGCTTTGTGTTTTTGACACGTTTTCTCTAAACTGTTAACAAATTACTCATGTACGAATGCACCTGTGCAATTAACTCTCACACTGAAGACCTGTATCACTTATCTTCCCGTGCAAACGAAAAGAGCGGACTCTATCGATGGCTATTGAAAGCGTTTCACTTTTCGCCATCAATATTGAACTTGCTCTCCAGTTGCTCTATAACCCATTTGTGCATGAAATTCGGCGTGATGTAAGAGAGCTTAAGCATCCCGTTTACGGCAAACGTGAGATTCAAGTTGACAAATTTTCAAAATGAGAAATGAGCAGATGAAAACAGCTCAAAACAATTGTTATGGATAAAATTGGCGTGAATCTACCGATTTTCGTGTAGTCATAATGAACAGTAAACGATAAGATGGAAAACTTGGTCACGTGATACAAATTCACGTTTGCCGTTCGGCAGTAAACGCAATGCTTAATCTCTCTGCTCTTTAAAATGCCAATTTAAAGCTACAAGCTCAGTTTTCTCTACCTACAATTTCTTTTCACCATTTTAGCTGTAGACATTGAGAGGAAACGATGACCAACAGAAGAACTTATACCCATTATTCTCCACCCTCCACGCCGTTTTCGTTCACACATGACATGTTGCTGACTTATTTGTACAGAAGAAATGAATCAAATGGCCCAAGTGCGCTGAGAAAAACAGGAGACAAGTCTGTAAAAAGAGGTAACAGTAGAACTATCTTTAAGCCGTCTCCTTTCCTTAGAGAGGTAAATTTATAGCCTGTGTAGTATGCGCTTTAGACTGGGAACAAGGTAAGCGGTCCACGCGAGGGACGTGAGGAGAAGAACACGTTCGAGCTTGATTTGTGCCCTGTATTTCTCATGTAGTTGCTACAGAGGCCAGTACAGACGTAACCCTTTTAACCCTAATATCAAAATTCAGATTCTCATTTGTTATCCATATACGTTTTCTATAGAAGTACTCGGGATAAGCTGTAAAAATATCAATTAAATTCATCTCGTGTGATCATTTCCTTAATTCTTGTCACCGTTCGGTTATATAAGGCGGGAGAAGTTTGATGCTGATCACCCTTAGGGCTTAAAGGCCTAACAGCTCACCTGTTACGGTCAAATCTCGTAAATACGGACACTAAAGGGACCATAGAAAGTGTCCGTATTAACGGGGGTTATGTTATTAAAGCCAAAAAACACCTTTAATTAAAACAAAAAACCTAAAGAAATAAAAGAGGACATAGACATCGTCAAGAAAAACATTTCTAGCCTTAAAAAGCCGTCATTCCGCGGACTAAGTCCACGAAAGACCCCCAAAACGCTCATCTGTACATTTCTTAATCAAAACTGTGCGGTCTCTTCATAACTCGTTTGATGCCAAAATAGTTTGAAATTGATGTCTACAAATCATCGTATGTGGTGTACTGTAGCGTTGAGAACATCGACACGCTGTCAATTGAGGGCTTTTTACCCTCAGAAAGGAAAAGTCTATTACAGCAAGAAGCACATAATGAAGTGTCCTCATTAGCGAGGTTGACTTTCTATGAGAATCTGTTGATTGGGCAAGAAACTAGTGTCCGTTGTACGTATAAACGAGTGTCCGTATTAAGTTCGTTGAATTTAGAGAAAACGTATGGGCTTTTCCAGGGACAAATAAAACTGTCCGTAATAAGGAGCTTTCTGTATTAAGTGGGTGTCCCGTAAAGCGCGGTTCGACTGTACAGTCAACTCCCTTTATAGCGGACACTGTAGGGACCTTAAGTTAGTGTCCTCTGTAGCGAGAGTCCGTAATAGCGGGAGTTTATTTCAGTCAAATGTCTGTAATTTATTTTTGCCCGGAATTTATCTGCTGTCCGTATTATTGAGGTGTCCGTTATAGCGGGGTGTCCCGTAAAGCAGGGTTCGACTGTATGTTCGAAACAAAAGGGGGACAGTTCTTTTTCTGATGGTTTCATTCAAAGACTCAAAAGATAATAACCGTGTCATACAAAGGAAACAGCTAGCGTGAAGGAGAAGGGTGATAAACTCGAAATTCAGACACTCCAAGTCAAAGACCTTAACCATGTCACCAGCTGGAATTCTTTCTCAGCCGACTCAAGAGAGAATGTAGCTCATTCCCTCTTGGTAGACTTGGTAGAAGTCAATTCCAGAAAAGAGGCAAGGGAGCTGGTTTACGACTATCTGAAAGCTTGGAACAACCTTAGCATGTTACAATGATTTTTTGTTTAAATTCTTAGTCCCCTGCAGTTAAGAAAAATATCGACACTGGTGCCTGTCCAACCTGACCCCTAAGAGTTATTTTAAGGGATGGTAGGCACCGCCCCTCGTCCCTGGGACTTTTCAGCCCGGGAACGAGGTTAGTATCTCTTATCCCTCAAAATGATTCCTAAAACACTTCTTTTAACAGGTTTAATTTCGTCCTCCTTAAATGCCTCGGAAAAGGCTGAGAATAGGCTTAGCAACGCCGAGAAATCCTGTCCAGATGAATTAGAGCTTTGTCCCTCACTCACGTCGTGTTTGACGTACGGAGTACGCACTAAACAGGTTATACCGGAGGGAACGTGGATGGGCCCGTATCAAGGAACAATTGTGACGCCTAATGACGTTACAGGCGATATGGATACGTCATATATGTGGGAGGTAAGATACGCACAACTTGTTTGTTATTGTGTACAAGTTTTTATTATTAACTATAATCACATCCAGGAGAGCGCTTACTAGCATCTTTTTACTCGTGCTATGAGGATGTAACTGTACGTGTGCCGATAACAGTACTTGAGTATTGATCTCGGATATCAATATCATGCTGCACAAAAGTCGGCTTTTGAAAGCATCAACAAATGGTATATCAAATGCTGTCCTTGCGAATGCATTGTAACTTGAAAGCTGCATTGGCTGAGTGGTTAGGACACAGATTACTTCCTTTGAAATCCAGGGATCAATTGTTTACGGACTTTACGTTTTATGCCAATGACCCTATGGGAACCCATCATGTATTATTTAGTATCTCCAGCATTCATGCACAACCTCGTTCGGAGGGTGAGGCAACAGTTCCAACACGAGATCTTGACACGTAGGGCAATTGAAAATAGCTCCGCCCGAAATGACCCTATTCTAGTTTGATGTCCATTTCTTGAATGTCGTCACAACTTTTCTTGGCCCTCCTTGATGGAATTTCATTAGCTAGAAGCAGCGGTACAGGCCGGTTTTACTCCGAATATAGGGAAGCTTTTAGTTTTTGAGCGCGGCTGCCGACAAAATAAAACTCGAAACGTTAATGAAAACAGTGCGCCTATAATACCTTTCATGTCCTGTCAAGTTACCGAGACTGCAGGGCAGCACCTATAAGGACTAGTAATGAGATCATCTCGCCTCCTGCTCATAATAGTCAGTTTACTCAACAGGACGGCAAAACGCTTGTAGCTAATAAAAAATTTAAGAGTGCAACCACTACTTTTTTTTCTTTTCCTCTTTCCATTTCTCCTTTCCTTTCCCTTTGCCAGTGAGTGTGATCTTTGAGCTTATCGGGCGCAAAAAACCTGCCTTTAGCCCCTTTTCTTTCAAAAGGCTGTAAATTTCGCCGGGTATGATCAGATTTTTGCTTTACTTTTGTAGATTTATGAAAACGACAAATTACTGCATTACATTGACGGCAATGACGAAAATAATTCCAGTTGGATGCGTTTTATTTGCTGTGCGCGACACAGGGGTGAACAGAATCTTTACGCTTTTCAATACAACAAAGAAATTTACTACAGAGCATTCGCCACCATCCCTGCTGGAGAAGAACTTTTGGTGTGGTACGAAGATACTTATCCACAATACATGGGAATACCTCTGAATATTACAGACATTGGCAGGCAACTGGATCACAGTGCAAGTAAGGGATCTAGCAAGTGTACAAAGCACTTATTTCTATAGCCTGTTTTTAGTTTAACTATTTTAATTAAATATCGATATGTGAAGCAAAAAAAATTAGGGATACACTCGCTGTTAGCATTCGCATGACTGTATTTCTTCCGGAAAATATGTCCGTCGTTCTTCACAAAGAGCCTACGTGATACGCTCCCTTTCCCACCGATCGGAACACCGTAAAGATGCTTCGTCACGATGTTAAGTATTATTTTAAAACCCTTAATTAATATGATGGTTCAGTTTTATTTAAAATTGCCCTAATACTATATGTTAACTATATGTGTATGACTTTGGTTTCTGATGGCCAGGATGGAAACGGATTGCAAATTGAAAGAAAAAACCTCACTATGAAATAGCCCCCAGGCCTTTCCGAGGAAAACGCAATGATAAATTCGCCCTATGTAAGGCAATCCAGAGTCCGTAAAGGGAGGAACATTTGCTTGTGGAATCCGGAATCCGGGATATTTTTCTTGTGGAATCCAGGATCATGAGCTTTGGAATCTGGAATACAGCTCAAGGAATCCCGAATCCCACTGATTCTGCGAGCAAAAATTTATTGGATTTCGGATTCCGGATTACCTTACACGGGGCGACTCAAAGGAAATTAATAACAGACCAGTATCGTCCCCAGTCGTCTCCAAGTTGTTTCTACTTATTAATTATTTACTAGGGAAGCGCTCGGGAGAGCCCGTTCTAGTCTTCCACCCCAAATACTAATAATGAGAGACGACTGGGGACGAGTCAGTACCAGTATGAAGTTTCTGTTCTTCCATATTCACCCCTTAATTACTACAGTCAACTCTCGCCTTGCGGACACCCCGCTATAACGGACACCTCGATAATACGGACAGCAGATAAATTCCGGGCAAAAATAAATTACAGACATTTGACTGAAATAAACTCCCGCTATTACGGACTCTCGCTACAGAGGACACTAACTTAAGGTCCCTACAGTGTCCGCTATAAAGGGAGTTGACTGTATATGCAATGGATATAGGACTAGACGTCTTTGATTTTTTGTTGTTTCTTTCCTCAGATTGTCCTCATCATCCTGATGCAGTCTCTGGAGTTGATTCGGCTCAACATTTCAATTCAGATTGCAATTGGCGAAATCAGGAGGCACCTAGATTACCTCAAAAACCTGTTGCTTCAGACAGTTCGAACTCAACAGTTTTCGCGCCACCTTTGAGGCCTGTTCACTACCGCACTCCTACCTTTTTCACCTCTGATGAGTATCAAATTGCGCATGTGCGAAGGGAAAAGACTTTTAATTTGAGGGATCAGTATGGACAGCTAGTGCCAACCTCTAGGCGGAGAGCTATTGTGATTCAAAAGACTGACGATGCACCGGATCCATTTTGCGTATTAACTAGGGAGAAGTAAAGACCACAGCTTACAACCTCGCCCCCGAAAGAGCAATGGGAACGAGGTTGCATCGCATACTACTACGCTAAAGGACACGGGGCAAACATATAACGGAGGAATACCGGATCTTCTTTGTGATTTTTCAACGGAATTGCGCAAACTGAAAGGATTTTCTTAGGTTCTCTTCTTTTGAAAGGCAAGAGCCCCCACCCTTGCCCGAGCGCCCACTTTTCAGTTATGAGGCAGATCTAGCTAAGACAACGTAACGCCAAAGAGAACGCTAAATTGCGCGAAAAAAGACTGAACACGACTTCCGTTTCCTGACTCGTCCCCAGTCATCACCCATTATTAGTATTTGGCGTAGAAGACTAGAACGGGCTCTTTCTGACTGAGGAGAGACAAGTTGGAGATGACTGGGGACGAGACAGTTCCGTTTCTCAAATTGCCGCTCTGCCAAAGGCCAATTAGGATTTTAGATCGGCGCACGCCGTCGTAACGTTGTCTTTGCTAAATCTACTCATTGCCTGATTCTCAGCGTGCTAGGCTGAAGACTATTTATTAGATTCATCCTTCGCGGCAAAAAAACTATCATTCCGCTATAGAGCAGAGTATGTACTTGGAAATGGTGGATAATAGCTACTGAGTGTACCTCGCAGTGTAAAGCGAAGACAGTTGAACTGGTAGAAAAAAACTTGGAAGTAAGGATAAAAAAAGAGTTTTTATGTAGAAGATCAAACACCATTTCTAACCAGAGCGAACAGTGCGGGAAAGAAATCTAGACTGAAAGTCTGACGCGGTAATGAGATACTTTTTAGTAGCCGAAGGTTTAGGGAACCTCGTTCCCAGTGTGACAGGGTCTCTTGCCCACGCTTCAGGGAAAGGGAAGAAGAGCTAGAGACCTTGGGGCCTGGGGGCGAGAATGAGTTAAGGGATCCTGTGTTAAGTCCATAGAATTTTCGTAAAGCTATCAAAACTCGAGCTCTATCGCAAACAACATAGTCTTACAGGCAACAACAACTTTACATCCACTTTTTAGTTTGTAATATCTTGACAACAGTACCGGCTTTCGAGTAAAGGCAGCGGTGGCACAAGTTTATAACTTAGCGACAAAGTGTAGCGCAAAAATGCATGTTTCTTTACGATCTCGTTTCCAGAGCATTTCCTTAGAATGAGATTGCTTTTATAGTAATCTACAACCCTTATAGTTGGGTGGCAGGTTTAGGGGTAAGAGGATTTTGCAGGAATAATCTTTCTGTACATTCATTTCGTTGTAAATATAGTTATATAACTTTTCTTTGTTGTTACTGTGTGAACTGACGGGTATTTTTTTGTGAACATGAAATGTCAAAAGCGCCTCGTCCAGTATTTGGTGTTTTTGAGGGGTGTGATTACAGCCTAAACGACAATGCGCAAAAACCGCTAAACATGCGCACTAGAACCACCGATTATGTTCCCGCCAAACTGGCCATTCTTCCTCATTATTCGCTAGCCAATCAGCGGTTTTTGCACTCTCTCATTCTGATTGGTGAGCATCAGTTTCGCCTGGGCATACTTGGTTAACTTACGTCATGTTCTTTTTTTAAACTAAAACGAAGTGCCTTCGCATCAATTGAATTCAAAAATTATGGACACATTTTGTTTTATTTAATGCTGCAGTATTTAGGCAGTGAGATGGTTTCCTGCCGTCTGTTGCTACGAATGATAAGGATGGACATAGATTTTAAAAACTTGAAAAAATTGGTCCAGCTGTTGTGTATGGGTAAAGGCAAAGTCATGGAAGGTCGAAATATTCTCCAGCGTTTCAACTTGTTCAAGAAATCATATAGTCATTAGTTGGGGGTTGACCGCATTTTAACATCATAATATTTTGTCTTGCAATATTTTTTAAAATGATATTCAGTTTTCTTTTTGAATTTTGATTCCTGACACCATTGAATAGTTTACGCGATTCACACCTATAACTGATGATTGCTCGGCACGCCGCGAAGCCACCCAAAGGTTTCCTTGATCAGATTTCGATTGTAGTTTTATTAAAATCTTCTTGAACAGCCTGAGACCGCCTAATACTGAGGAAAGAGGATCGAGGAAGAGGAAACACGTGAGTGTTTAAACAGCGCAAAGAATCTTGGGAAGCGCAAAAAGAAAAATAGCGACTGGTAGTTATTCTAATCGTATAAAGGGCAACTTGCGCAATTAATGCCCCTTTTTTTCGTAGGTGTGGGGAGGTGAGAGTGCGGATGACCTGAGATCGCCTAAGAGACCGTTTTTTGGACGTTACCCGCTTAGGTGGGGTAGCCTGCCTGTCCATATAGTCTCTTATTTGAATTTGACCACGTTAACACGATAGGTGGGGTGACACCTCTCCTACCTGGGCCCCCAACCTCCATGTGAACAGGCCCTAATTCTGAGGAGAGATCGGACACGTGATTGCACGGTATCATGGGAAGCGGAGAAAGAAAATAGCGACTTGTAGATATTCTTATCACATGGAGGCAAATTACCTAGAAGCAGTCGTGCTCTTTTAGGTTTCGGCACCTTTCATCCATGTAGCGAACATTTTTATGGTGTTACGTACTCCGACCTCTACTCCCGATCTGGTATGAAAATATATTTTACAACAACTGAGCGATTTCTCGCGCGCTGATTGGTCGAGAGCTGCATGTAGTTGACAAGAGTACAGACCATAGAAATAAGGTGATATCGCGCAATTTGATTTTCTCTTTCATGTCCGCGCGATTTTTCATAAAACTTCAACGGAAATGAACGTTACAAATTGTAGATGTTATTGTAAAAACCTAATCGACAACAATTTTCCATGGTCTATACCATTTTTTACAACAACTGAGGGATTTCTGCGCGATGATTGGTCGACAGCTATGCTCGATAAGAGTGTATATAATGATGTGAATATTACGCGCGCTGTGATTGGTCGTTGCTCATGTTCCATCAGAGTACAGATACATGGATAACGTCAAGGGAAACTCGTTTTCTTTGTTTTGCTCAATTGAAAATGTTGAAGGCCTCGAAAAAGTTTAGCAGGAGTTATTTACAAAGAAGGAAAATGAAGAAACGGAGACAAAAAGAGTTCTTGACAACTTGATTATGCTTAAACTGCAAGAAATCTCTACAACAGTTGCGGTCGTGTGTCATCGTTAAAAGAGGCTTGCTGATTTGGAAAATGTTTTTGTCATTACTGAACAGACGCACGGTAACATGGAATCTATTTGTTAAACAGACCATGGAAATGAGGTGATGGTGGCGCAATTTGTTTTTCTCCTTCTCGAGAGCGATTTTCCGAGAAACTTCAGCAGAAATGAAAGTCAAAACTGTCAATGTTATTATAAAAAACAAATCTATAACAATTTTTCGTGGTCTGTACTTTCGTCGACCATAGAAACTTGAGTTTTGAACATTTTGACGTCATATTTATGGTGGATAAGAGTAAAGACCATAAAAAATTGTTGCGGAAAACTGAAAAACTGGAGATATAGAAAAATGGAAATACTGACTGCTTTTTCGGTCTACAACTGGGCACGAAACAGATGATTACCCACTCTTAATTCCATCGATAATAATACAGATCTAAGACTTTCCAGGAAAAAATACAATGCAGGATTGTTGGTACATTTTGGAAAAAGAACTTAGTTGCCTTAATTTGGCTTCTAAGAATGTGCCCATTTAAGTTGATAAAATTTTTGTGGTAAAATTTTTATCCCGAGCCCAAGCCATTGTAACTATATCCGGGGTTTATGCAGAAGAAAGCGGGATGTATTCAATAAATTAAGAAAGCCAGATGAACATTGTGCCTCTAAATAGATTAAGTTCTCCTTCTCTCTTAGCCATTGCAGTCAGATATAAAAGTTATTAAAGTGGCGTTTATCAACAATCTATCTAGGGAAAATTCCTGTGCATATACACAGGTCCTAGCTAACGTTTGAACATTTAGCATCGCGATTGGTATAATCTGTCTTTAGACATTCACCTGGTACTCTCTGGTGCCTTGCTAAATGGCTAGCTTGTGAAAATGTCTTGTTACATTTGTCACAATTGAAGGGTTTTTCACCCGTGTGTGTGCGTATGTGATTGTTTAACGTTGTCGCACCCGAAAAAGCGCGAGAACAGAAACCACATTTGTACAGCTTGTCATTAGTATGCAAATCCACGTGACTTCTCAGCGCAGATGGAGTAGCGAATGAAAGAGTACATTGTCCACACTGATAGGGTTTCTCAGGAGCCTTGGAGCACTCATGCATTTGAAGCGACACCCGCTGTGTAAATGTTTTTAAGCACTGCCGGCATCGCCACATACCGAATTCCTCTGATGGTATCCCAGATGCATCAATTCGCTCAGCGTTGAAGTGGTTTATTCTTTGAAGAGGAGGAGTCTTCGGTAAATACGGATGTAGAGTTGGCATTGTCCGCTCAAAGTTATGCTCCTGCTTGAATGCTGGTCCTTCACTTGTGCGCGGAGACACTTGTTGGTCATCTGGAAAAGTCATGGTATGGTTTTTATTTAGCGTTCTATAATATCAGGTAACTCTACAAAATAAAAGCTTAAGTTTCAAAAACCACGTTTTTACAGTTCTTTTTTTGCACACCAGTCATCAGGCTTTTAACCTCTTTTTTGAGTTAGAAAAGGTATTTTTCGCCACGATCATTGGCCTAATCTTAAGCTGTGGCTTTATAACTATGGTAGTTCATCAATTTTGGGCTCGTCACTTTGGAAAACCTATGTAAGACACTTCAGTTCGTTAAAAAGAAAAAATAATGCGCTTAGAAGTTTTTTCTTCCCAAAAACTACACCATTACACTTCAAACTTCAAAATGTTCAATAAGCCTTTTCACTTGCACAGTTGTCAAAGCTTGCCATGAGGTGCTGTTGTGATGATGACGACGATAGTAATGACGATGATGATGAAGTTTGGCAGTGCTTATGACAATAGCATTCTGGTGGGATGACGTTGATGTGATCCTCATTTCACTCTCCCCTCATGTCTCTTATCTACAACATACCGTCACTATAGTGTAAGTGCTTTCTTGGAATAAGTGGTGGAACGGATGAATACTCACTTTTAGTAAATGGTGGTCTCGACACCTCCGATGCGAACATCGCTCTCTGAGAAAGTGCCGTGCCATTTGGAGCAAAAGAATCTCTCATTTCAGTCATGCCATCCTGAGGTTTCAGTTGCTGTTTGTTTGATGACTGTCCCTGTGTAGAACTACTTTTTAAGCTTTCACCGCTTAATTGATCAGTTGTTGGTATTAAGTCGCTCTTCCTTGTTTGCATTTGATACATATTTTTGTTCGAGAATAGTGAGGACCCTGAAGTGGATGTCCTTATCAAGTGCTTGTCATTTGCACTAGGTGGAATCAAAAGCATCTCAGTTCCTTTGTTCCCTTCGCGTAAGGGGCCTGTAAATCCACTTCCACCTCTTATAGGTGTTGAACTAAAATGCTCCCTGCCAAATGAACTTCCCATACTACCTATTGGGCGAGTAAAGCGAGGTTTCACAGCGTGTGTCAAAGGAGCTCTGAAGCTTCCTGTATGTGGATTGTTCCTGGAATCCCTGGCACCGTATTGTTTAGGATCTTGATTGGACGAATTTACTTGTGTAGATGACGAGCTTATCTTTGGAGAACCTCGTGGATTTAAAGACGTCACTAAAAGGAAAATAGCAAGAGAAAAGGAAACTTCATGGAACTATGTACATTGGACTTAATTTGGTACTTTCGCCGTGGCAGAGTTATAGTCCACGCACGCGGGGGGCAAAGATTCATGTAACTGTTGAGTCTCATTTTTGTATCAGTACGTACGGAGACAAATACTTTAAGTGTGACCACTTTAATAAAAAGTGCTCAGCAGTTTTTTCGTTTAGTACTTTTTAGGACGACGTACAACATAGCCTGAGGAAACGGCTGACATTTCGAGACGCCACCACTGGATACCCCGCGAAATGGTATCTGAGAAAGGAGCTGATAAATTCTGTCTTTCATCCAGATCTGGGTGATGCTTCTGATTGTATGAAGCAAATTTTCAACCAATCAGAAGCACTACCCAGATCTGGGTAGTGATGTGTCATCAGTATGGAATTTCTGCGCTCGTTCCTCAGAAGTGATCTTTCGGGGAAACCAGTGGAGGTGTCGCGACAGGTCAGCTGTTTTGTTAGGCTAAGTACAGCATGACTCTAAATTCTGAGATAGTGATAATTCAGCTTCCTACCAGATTCTCTGTAGAATTCATAATCCTGCATTCCCAAAGGAATTCCGAGGAACTGAGGGTATTTATCATCGTACCACACCAACAGCTCTCTACCCGGTGGGATTTCCTTGAATGCGCGGTAAAAGATGTTCCCGCAATATTGGAACGCATAAAGGTTTTGTTCCTTTGGGTGACGCGCACAGCGAATGAAGCGCATCCAACTCGAGTTTTCTTCATCACTTCCATCTAGAAAATGACTTAGTTTGCCGTCTTTGAAGATCTACAAGAACAAAGGCAACAACTGAGTTAAGTAATGACCAGGTTCCAATCTTGGATGTCGCGTTTATGTTTGAAATAGAATTTGCTTTTTCTAAGTATTTTATCATCAGACTCAGCAGCTACAACTAATTTGAATAGCATAATAAACCGCTCATTAAAAAAATGTGATTTGTAAATAGCATTACAGCATACAAACCGTTCTTAAAAAGCACCATTGAAGTACTGTTCACACTAATTCGTTTGTTTGAATACGAAACTAAAAAAGCTTGAAGGCTGTTTCCAGACTCAAAAGCTAGCCTACCTGAAACACCATTATTGAAATTTAGAACACATCTGGCATTTTTAGTTGATTAACGACATTACATGAATTGGGCCACAGAGACAACGGGTTTTTTTTATGAGATCTGTTGAGATGAAGTGGGCTATAAGGTCTGTAAATCTGCATCAGTGTACTTTAGAATAAGTTGCAGACTTGCGGAGAAACGGTGTTAGATTTATAAAATCCGTCCATTCTTGAGTTAATCTTCCTGCATTAGTTTTGACTAGGGAATGAAAGGTACAGTTTTTGCCTGTTAAATTAAATTAAGGGAGCAGTGTGAGGTGAAATCCAACCGAAAGGAAGCGTATGTTTCGAAGAAATCACCAAGAGAGAATATACCTCTCTTGAAATCTGAGTGGTGCAAATTACTGTACTGGTACTGGTGCAGAAAACGGTTTTAAAATAGCGTATTCTGGGCCAGGAACGTGTGGAAAGATGTGCTATGCGTAGGTTCTTTCGAGGCATCTGAGAAATCAAAACTCCAACAAAACCTACCTCCCAAAGGTAAGAAGAATCTATGTCTGGCGTGTTGTGCTGAGGAGGAATTCGTCTGCCCTCATACGGACCAATCCACGTTCCCAAGGGAATGTGCTCTTTGGCACATACACCGTAGATTGCCCCTGGGAGACTTGATAAACAGAGCTGCACTTCATCGGGAAATGATCTTATAGCGTTTGTAAGCGGAGGTTCCTCCTTGCCAGAGGTAAGCTTCTGCTTCTTTGAAGTGGAAGGTTCTGAATTCAACAGTAAAGAAGTAAAAGACAAGAGATGGTTCGGTTTTCACTGATTGCCAAATTTGGTGCTATCTCCTGAGTTCCAAAATCAACCGCGTTCCCAGCTTCCTCTCCTACTCGCTCCTTTCTCTCTAGCTTCGGAGGACGAGTAGTAGAAGATCCTGGGAATGAAGTTGCTGCAAACCCTTCTCAGGCTGCAGAGGAGCTGCCTCCACGGTTTTTTCAACTTTTGACATGGACCAGTTAGGGAAAATCTGTCGACACCACTGAAAACAGCCTCATAAAATTAATAAACGTGCTAAGTTTGAAAGTGATACGTCTTTAGTGTGACGATATAGGTCCGCAAAGTTGCGAAAAGTTACAGACTGTTGTTTACAGACTCTGTTCCCCCTAAAGTTTGTGCCCCCCCCCCCCCCAAAAACACCTCCGAAAAATCTCATGTCTTTGGAAATATTGTTTTTTTTTTTATTATAACATCCTCTAATCCACTCGCACTCTTTCTATAATTACACTCTCCATTGCTAATTACATTTGTTGTTAATGTTTTGGTGTGACCCTAAACGTCTCCAAACTTGCGAAAAATTTCATACTGTTTTTTCCACCCCCCTTCCCCCCCAAAGTTTTTCCCCCCCCCCCCCCCATACAAACGTCTTAAAAATTTCATGACTTTGAGGAGTATATCTTTGTTAATTTTCAACAAATCCCTTTCAAACTTGGCAATTTTACTAATTTGAAGGCTCTCTTTCCAGTGGAGTCGATGGATTTTCCCTAACTTGTCCATGCCAAAAGTTGAAATTAAAAAAACATGGAAGGGTGTATTACACCACGAGCCATAGTTATGACCTCTTGATTATACTAAATAGCGATTGGTGAAGTCGCAGGGGCACCCAACGTCAATTTTCGGAAAATATCTGTTCGGAAGACGATTTGAGATCTAGAATTTTCGGAACATTTGTTGTATAATTTCTTGCGTGCTTGCCTCTCCTAGGATTTTCGAACATCTAAAAAATGGTATAATTGCCCATTTTTAACGGATTTTTACCCTAAAAAGGTCACCTAGAATTTTCGGGAGCCTTTTTTCGGGCTGAAATTTTCGAAAAGGTAAGTTTTGATCCCTATAATTTTCGGAAAAATACTTTCAGCTAAGAAATCCGAACAGATGAAAAAGTTTTAGGGGATAAAAATATGCCTATATCTACCTTTTAAATACTAAAATACATTCAACAATGCTATGTTTAAGTGGTTTTGAACTATATTCTCGTTGGGTGCCCCTGAAGTCGTTAATTGCAAACTAGCCGCTGGCGTTGTTAAATTCCGTCTTCCTAGTGGGGTTATCAGAGTGCCGACTAACCTGCCCGAGGGAGGCTAAAATTTTCAGTACCGCTGTTTTGGCTGTAACTGTTAGATTGAAACTTATGAACGCTTCTTGAAAAATATTTACGCTGAAATAAGGTAAGGAGGCGTAGAACATTAAATTAAGGTCATAACCTTATAAGCCAAAATAAACCCTTTAGAATGCCGGACTAATTATTATCTTAGGCAGCGTCTACGAAAGGAAACGAAAACTTTCGGTCCTTCAGAATCCTTGCAACACACCTTTTTCTAAGTGTTCTTTCCGCTCTCTGCTGAGGGTACTGACAGCTATTAAAGAGTTTTAGTAAAACTCTTAAAAAGCTGTCAGATTTCTTGGTAGAGGGCCAAGTTGTTTAAGTGGGTAATCCGCTAAGATGATATTGATAATTGGCAAGTCAAATGTATTGTACTTATAAATTTGCTGAAACGTCATGATAATTCCTTGAAAATTGTAAACAACTGAGAAAGCGGAAATTTTGAGAACAATCAGGTTGTAAATAATGAATACGTAATACAAAGAGAACAAGAGAACAATAATCATGGCTATTGATTCTACACCGCGCTAATTCTTGTCTATTCATTGCAAGGATTGATTTGATTTCGCAGCAACTTGTGCAAAGAAAACAAAAATAACTTATGATGTGTGGAAAGATGTGTGGAAGATTGGACGGAGTCTAGGATTAATACGAGCGATGGAAAGTTTGAAGTGCTCCTTAACCGATACTGTATTTGCGCAATGAAAGAAGTCTTATGCTTCACGTATTGTTCAACTTTTTGTTCAAATTCCTTGTGAGCCTTCCTTTTCACTCCTTTTTAAATTGCCTGGGTAGATTTTATGTCTCTAGTTGAACTCCTTCTTAACAAAGTAGGTCACTGTCTAAGTTTTCGCTTAAGATGTTTAACTAAACGTTTGCTCTTCTGGAAACGATAAAATATCCTGGTGCATTGTACAGCTCATTAAATTATTACCTTGATGATTTTCAGCATTTCTTTTCAGCTTGTTCACATCAATAACCCTAACTTTCCTGTTTCCGTACAAGAAGAAATTGAGTGTTTCCTCGTCAAAGAGGCGGTATCCCTTTGTAGCACTGCTGCTCTCGTGTCTATGGCCTGACTTATTTTCCATGTAGCTGTGTAAAGTACCCTGAAAAAGAATGCAAGTGTTTTTTCATCAAAGAACTGAGGTTGCTGCTATACGGTGTATTTAATCAAATTCCGTGCGAAGTAATAATAATAATAATAATAATAATAATAATAATAATAATAATAATAATAATAATAATAATAATAATAATAATAATAAAGCGAGATAGAAACGATACTTTAGAGCAGGCAAGCTTTGACTTGTGTAAGTGCATGTAATATCGGCATCCACTTTACCTTCGTAGAACTAACAACAGATGGATAATCAATCGATAATTCAATTTGTACTTCCATTTTTGGCTACCCGCTTGTCAAAACCCATCTAAACTAAAACACAAATAAACTTGGTCTAATTCAGGCCAGGGACGATTTGGAAACAGCTAAAACTCTGAACTCTTAGAAGTTTCTAGGGGATCAAATGAAGACCTACTTGCTTGCTACCACCAAACAGAGTATTTAATTTAGTTTTAAAATTATACAGACAGGCCATCATCTAGCCTACTACAAAACCTATTTTTTAGGGCACCGTGGAGAAGCCTGAGAAGTTAGAAGGATTTGGAGCAGCCAGAGTGATAGATGGGCGCAGAGTATGTCAGAAAAAGAACGGGCATGGATTTTGGTTTCCTGAGAGTGGCAGGGAACCGAGACGCAAAGTGCTGCAGTATAAAGGCGCGGAGCAGGAACAACCGAGCCGCAACATCTCGGTTACGTGCTGAAAATAATACTTTTCGCAATTTCTCTAGTTCTAACTGTAAATCGCTTTATGTTTAGCTCATTCAGTGAGCTTGAGTCAGTTTTAAGCTTAAACAGTACTACCAAAGATTTCTATCGTTGGACCAAGTTGTAAATCACTGGCGGGCACTTATAACCGTAACCACTAAAATGGATTATACTAATGTCAACAGGTCTCCTACTCATAAAAAAACGAGTCATTCTCTTGCCAGATTAGCTATGCTATCAACTGTCGTAAAACTCACAATTTTATCTATAAATTCAGCAAATTAATGGGTCTTAACATGAATTAAGTTCAATTAAATTCTTACATTAACAGAATTAAAGGTCTGTAAAAAGAATTTCACTTTTATGAATACCCGTTATTATAGAGGATTTTTTTTTTTTAAGTAAAAGACATTATGTAATAAATTTTTGGGCTTTCTGTCTCTTTTGTGAACGGATTTTACGATCAACCACCGCACAATCGGTAGCCAGACATCGAAGGAGTAAAAATTTTTCCTCCTTCGAGTAAAGATTTTAAATGTTGGAATAGTTCCCGTTCCGGCAAATAAAAGGTTAAACCAGTGTCAGACAAAAGAGGTGTAACAGGAAAAATAATCTCTTTATTCCCTCTACGTTGCAGAAAGTAGCACATTTTAGGCGTGGATTAAGTTGTTGTTATAGGCTCAAATCGTCATGAGTATCGGAAGCTGAAACGGGAAACAAAGATCACGTCTGTCTAGATGCAAAGTGAAAAAAAAATAAGCGTGCAAGATTTTTGTTCTATGTTGCTTTGCCAATATTTCTATTCTAGCCACACGCATAAATTTGTTGAAATTTTTAGATAGCACAAAGATGATCCATTCTGCAAAGAGTTATTTCCAAAGACAAACCATTTGACAGTTTTGTCCAGTTAAGATTGCATTTATTTTTTCTCCAGAGTAATTCGATGACTCACAGTCGAACTCTAAATCTTTCGTGTTGTTTTCCTTTTACCATATCGTATAATCACTAGTCAGGTTAGTATTACTTTCTTGACTGCTTAGTCATTACTCTTCAGTATATTATTATACCAACTTACCAATGGCGGGCAATCCTCTATGTTTAATTTTATAGTTCCACGTTGAGCATGAACGCGATTCGACAGTAGACGTTTTCTTGGCTGTGAAAAACTCCAGATACTCTCTTATTTCATTTTTACACACAGGACATAAAAAGTATTATGCAGCACTCAAAGGTTATGAATAGTTATGCCGAAACCCATTGTCCAAAATTCCGCATTCCAGAGCAGTCCACGTGACCTATGATGGCGGTGTCTGAAGTAAAACAGCAGTCGGCATGTTTACTACTTCACTGTGTCAGATATACAACAAATTTTGCAACGAAAGATGAAAAAAATCAGCTTTTGACCACTTTGAAATACATTAGTGACATTTTTGATCGAATACTTTAAAAGGAGCCTTCGCGAGATGACGAGGCAAGATGACCCATAGCATGACGAAGCTCCACTTAAGAATATGCAAAATAGATCCAATTACGTGAAAGCAAGTATTAGTTCTCCACCAAAATATAGTTGATGAACTCACCGGTAGAGGAATACAAGACATACATCTGTTTGTTTACTTGGAAACTTAGTTACCCTGTGGATTTTTGGGCCAGTATTGCAAGCCAGATACTCGTGGTGCTAATTATAGTTTAAACGAGAAAGTGACAGTTGCTTTCGGAAGATGAGTTTTTCTCCATTGGATGATATCTGTCCGGCTGCAGAAACTCGGATAAATATAAGTTTTATTATCATTCAGTCTTAAAAAGGCTTAATCCATGTCTTAAAAATACAAGAAATAAAAACAAAAACAAAAACGAGACACATGTGTATGTCGCGCAGCAATGGCCCCCTCCCCCTCCACCCTTCACTAGATACATATTACAAATACGAAAAAGTGTTGTTATCACTGAAGAAAATGGCGCAATTCAGCTCTGCGCTTACTCGTAAGGGAAACGGAAAACGTCAAAACCTGAAAATCAATATAGGAAAAGGAAACATATATCCCCAGTGGAGGAGGTATATAGCGGCAAGGCCGGTATTTGTTTTCATTGACAATGTATGCGGAACTTTGAACTCCCAAGAAAGCATCCGATTTAATTCGCACTATAGAAATGATTGTTTTACCGTATATTATTGCTCTCCCAGCCATTATCTCATTAAAAATGTCAGCACCCAGCCGCAACACGGAAAAATATCTTCTAGAAATCCTAAAATAGCTTTCGGGGTTTTGTGATTAGTCACGAAAACGAGTCAACTTTCGCTGGGGTTTATAAAGGAACCAAAAACCTCCAAAGTTTTAATTTCACGTCTTAAAAACAAGCACAGGGATACATGATCAATATGAATAAGGGCAATATCCACAGACCCTCCTCACCCCCGATAGAAACACACTGCTTCCCCGCTTTACACATAAGCCCCCCTTTTTGATTATAAAGGTATGCCCCCCCCCCAAAAAAAAAGGCACCAATTCAGTTTTGTAGCCGTCTTGTTCTGACGAAAATGATAGGATGTAATAACAACTTTGGATAGAGAGTGATGTTTGCATCCCCAGCCCACCCCTCTCCCAACATCATCTTTGGAGAGTTCTCTCCCCCGAAAATTTGTTTGACATTCTAGTTCAGTTTAAAACCGAGAAAAATGTTGCAAATACCATTAAAAAAAATAAAATCTTAAGATCATATCGGTCAGTATATACTGCGTCATGGATTTTGACAGTTCCATATGAAAGCTAGTAACAACGGTGAAGTTTATCGGCACGGACGTCCGCCTTAAATCACTTTGTATTCAGCAGTCAATACTAAATGATTGAGAGGAAACACTTTTATACAGGTTCTTATAGAACGAGTTCCAGTAGGCAAGGGATGTCGTTTAAATCATTGTTACAAGCTATTGATTCTTAGATTAACACGATCAACATATGGTAAGGAAAGTGCCAGTTTGAGACTCCAAAATAAAGTGCTTCTTTTTTTTAAAGTGGAGAGATGGTCCTTATCAATGAAATTTAATTAGTCAATTCCTTATTACGTAAGCTAATATTTCTAGATCATGACAAGTTCTTTATTGATGATTCACGACTTGACATATTCTCCTCTCCAAGGTGAGCAAAATGACAATGATTATAGCGTACTTTTCATGTAAATTCTACAGAGTTTAATTAAAGGTGTACCTGTTCAAATAGGTTTAGCTCAACAGAAGCGACCAATTCCTTTTCTTTTCACGTGACTCGTGTCTCGCCTTCATATGCTGTTAAATACAAGTAAATTTAGGATTTGGGCTTCTACTACTGGTTTGACTGTGAAAAGTGCTATAGAAAAGCAGTGGCAAATTCAGAACTTTAAGTTAATGGCGCCCGTTCATCCAGAGTCCCAAGATAAGGGGGGGCCCCGCCTCGAAATATCTCCTCTTGGCCTTACAGGCCTCAATTTAGCGCTAAAATAAGGGGGGCCAGCCTCCCGCCCCTCCCCTAGTACAGACTTTCCACTGGTGAGTGCTTTCAGTTTGAGCTCACGAATAGTTATAATTGAGCCTCGCTGTTTCATAGACTGCGAACGTTTAGTTTAAAAGTAGTAGTACTGTTCATAAGCTTAATTTTTTGATGAATGTACTCAGCTAGGATATCAATCAAACTCCATGGACAATGGTATTCAAAGAGTTTAAATAACTGAGAAAATGTTACACTTATTATTGTGACAAGAATATGTATTATTCAATCGTGCATCTTGAGTTCTAAAACCTTGTGGCGTTTAATTTCGTTTCAAATGAAATCAGCGGCAGTGGTCCGTTTATTGATACAATGTTTGTCACTTCATGCCGCTGTAAGCCTTAGGCAAAGACAGAAACTCAGCGAAAGAAGTTTACACTGTGCATCATTACCAACTCTTGGTGAATGACTTATCGAATTTTTGGGGGACTGCAAGAATTGTAAACTGACAATATTACGGGTCTAGTTGATATGAGAAGTAACGGGGAACCAAAAGAGGTAGAAAGCGTGAAAACAGATTATATAATTGACGCCAAACTCTTCTAGATGAAGAATTTCAACATCAGGATAAATTATTCCTTTTGTTATCTTTCATGAACTTTCTTTGCAATTTAGATGCGTTTCATGTATCACATATCTGGGAAGTCATCTGCACATGCGCGAGAAAATGGCGGGAAAGTGCATCAGTTAAGTCAAGGAACGAGTAGACGTTTTCTGATATAGTAATTGAAGCTATATATATTTTTTAATTTTGTTATACCAAAATATAAAAGGTATTGAAGTTGTAAAATTCAATTCTTTTGTTTTTTAAGTCTCAATGTTGAATGAAACTAATAGAAAGACGCGTTACATGGTCATTTACACAGTATTTTTGATAATTTAACATCTATAATAAAATCTTATTAAGATTCTCCCTTCTGTAGGGAGATATGTAAAGCAAAAAAAATGCGACTTGACGGAGATAAATATTTCTTAGAAGACGCAAATTAAATGAATTTCGATCTGAGCTGTGGGAAAATCGTTCACCAACGTGCTTGCATTTGACAGTGTCTCTCGTCATGTTTGCCTGGCTGATAAAGTTCCACAAGTAACAGATGATAAGCTGAAAAAATGCACCAGATTCTGGTTGACAACGATGGCATTTACGCTTTAAAAGCATTAACAACTGACATAAAAATAAAATAAAGGTGGTTTCAGCAAAGTTAAACTTAAAACCTTCGTCTCCGTTGACTCTCAGCTGGCTTCCTTCGAGGCTTAACAAATCTGGCAAAATCTGCAAAAATGTGAAGCATCACACAACCTTTATGGCGTTTTGTTGCATTATTATAGTATCAAATTGGTAATTAATAATTTATATAAACGCTACATTATTGAAACATACGACAGATAGACATGAAAGACCGGCACCGCATTTTCCTGATGATTAATGATGCCAAATGTAGCACTAGGTGACACGTATGGATTCGTAAGCTTTAAATCCATTAAGTTCTATTAAACTGAGCTCCATTAAAAGCTTTCATATCTTCAGTGAAAGCAAAAACGTCATGTTTAAGGTTTCATGGTGTGGAATTTCAATGCAAACCTTCCTTTTTTCAGTTGACCATTAAGTAAGATGACAAGGTCTCAAAGACAGGGCCCATGCTTCCAAATAGTTTAGAAATTTACGATATTTCGTAACAGTTCCCTCTGTCGCCTAACTCTTAAAGAAAACATGAATATATAAATATATGTTATTTCTATGTCCGATGAATTGCATGACTTTTCTTTTCTGAACAGCCAGCAGGGCTTTAAGGATTTAGATAGTTTACTAAATTAAGCGACACAGACGCTAAATTAGAAACTTCGGGTAGAGTTGTATCTTTCGAGCGCCACATGGCCTGGAAAGAAACAGTCAATTTTATCTGTTTAAATGTCAAACAATTTAATGGATCTAGGAAGTTGTAAAATAGAGCTGGAATTTTGATGCCATTGGCGCTACGTTGACGGAAAAGTGATCATACAATCAAGGAACAGAGGGTAAGCTTGAGCTATTTATGTTTAAATGACATCAAAATTTGAAGATTTTCTATCACCTTGTATTTTCTTGCAGATCGTATTTAAATTTTTAACTAGGTAATATTTAAATGCATGATCGAATATCTGCCCCTTGAGCCTGTGTTCGGCCAGTTCCGTTTTACAACTCAAAGCCGGTTATTTTTAAGATTCAGAACAAGTAAACTAAAGACTTTATAAGTCTAAGTAACTGTTTGCTGTTAGAGAGGTGAACATTACTTTATAAAGATTTTCCTAGTATGGCCACCCTTTTTCCAGGGTGTAGAGCGCACATTTTTGGAACCTCAACCCATATGTGCTAAAACGCTTTTATTATTATTATTAGTTTTGTCAACTCCACTACCTACCACGCACTTAAAAAGGCAAGAACAACCAAGACAAATCTGCTTGTTCAGTTCTTGGCCAAGCTGCTATGTAAGCAAACTCTCTTTTCAATCCTTACCCTATTAGAAAAATAAAATTTACGCATTTAAGTCTTAAAACCGGCCCTAAAATCAATGTTGGCATTTGAAAATCCTCTATTTTTTATTTGCACTGCAATTATTAAGCACTGAGTTTGAAGAGCGAACCAAAACTGCTAAAATGGAATGACATTATTGTTCATATCGACCGTGCAGAGCGATGAACCATAGTTTCTGCAATTTCTCCTTACTTTCTCTTACATTATGTAGCTTTCCACACATCAAGTGGAGGAAATAACTTCCTCAATTATATCACAATCACGGCCCTATCACATATCGCGTGCGTTTCACTCAAAAGTAACTACCGATTGATAAGAGTCAAAATTCTACGGCGGAGGGGCTTTTACTGTGGTCATTTATCTTAGTAGTTGGTGAACCAGAAACTTGGAAAAGCCAGTTAAAAACTGATTAATTACTAGTATGTTTTTGAATTTCGGTATACTTGCTTTCAAGGTGCTGATATCGGAACTTATTTTTCGCTCGTTTTTGAAGTATACCGTTTTACGTAACCGGCTGCTCATGAAATATTAATCAATTTCACAAGTTCACGGCCATGAAGGGACCACTTTTTAACTGTACTGCGACAGAAAATGTTCGTTATATTTCTCTCCAATTGGATAATTTGAGAATGCCACGTGCGCTACAATGCTCTAATTAGTCAGCATATAAAGTCGGAGAGAGGTAACTGCCATTCATTAACGCCAAGTGACGGAAAACAAAGCGTAGGTCTGTGCGTACAGAAAGCATTAACTGAAGCAAAACGACTGTGAAAACACCAAAAATTTGAAGAAGTGAGGAACTGCAGGTATTATTTACACCGGAAAAAGACAGTTACTGTAATCATTTTCTTTTAATCTTTTGGGAAACATAGTGTTAAGTAGTTAGATTTCATAACCACGATTCATTCTTTCAAGTCGTCTCACCATCGCAATTTCGACTTCTTTTTCATCAAATCAAATTGCCTAAAGATTCCCTCACAGAAATGTGATTTAAAGGACCATTTTGTTTGTAGTTAAGTAAATGTGGTTGTTAAAATGCTGAACTACACGATTCAACCCCATCCAAAGTCATCGGTCGACGTACGTTCAAATGACTACTCCACCCTTTAAGTCCCTTGTAGGCTCAGTGAGTAGACGTTCTTTTGTTCAAGGCATCCAATTGGATGCAGAAGTTGTTTTTTACTTTAAAATAAAATCAATACAAGAGTAAATATAAATGTTTTACGCACATTTACTTCTGCCGCAAAATCTTTCAATGGTGAATTTGTTGTTCCGGCTTTTAAATGGTGTTTTCCAGTCGTAGGCCTTTGTTGGCGAAAGTAAAAAGGTCTTTTAGGCAAATTGGATAATTAACTTACATTACCTAAGCTGCAGTGTATTAGTTTGTTTGGCTTCATTCACTTTTTCAATGTGTTCCAGTGAAAATCCTTTTAACCAAGAATAACATGTCTGCCTATGCCAATATGTTACTGTGGGCGTATCCCGACGTGTTTCAGCTCGATTTCAAGTTGGTCATGTCGCTACCGTGAACTGATTTTCATCACACAGATCGCCTTGTTAGCAACAGAAGCGTCCGTTTTTGTCTTAATTAATGTTTGTTCATCTTTACATGTACTCTTCTGAAAACACTTTGCATCTAAACGTGTTCGCTTGAGATGTTTATTTGCCTGACCGATTCTTTTCTTTGTCACAAAACCATTGAAGCATTAGCCAGTTTGGTTGTCCAAGGGCCTCACTTGGTTACTTTAGATGAGTTGTTTTATAACAACTTTGTGTCCTTCAAGTTAGTGGGTTATTAAAGATGTAAACGGACAACTTGTAAGATGCTTTAAATAGCCAAAAACTAAGGCACGCCACACAATGTACAGATGCCGAGGTTTTGTTTCCAAAAAGCGTTATGACTCCGCAAACTAATAAAAAATTATACATATTAAAACTTAACGTATTTATATAGCGAAAAATACATTCTTTTTTTGCTTATGTTGTGTTCCTATGAGTCATTGAAAGCTCATCAAAACTAAGATCCCTACATCTTTGGAATACCGATTTTTGAGTTCCTTTGAGTGCCCTGGGCCACATTCTAAATGAGTCCCATTTTACATTTCGAGTGCTTAGCTTAAGTCTGTCCCCTGTCTATAATCAATATCTGAAAAATGGTAATTCGGCTATAGCCAAAAACTCAACCCAATTTCTTTCGTCAGTTAATTTGGTGTTTTATTACATTAGTCAAAAGCATTAAAACTTTGATCAAAAAATTGCAAAGTTGCGAAAGTAAAATGGCCTTCCCGGCAGGTCGTTCGAGAAACGGTAACAAGTGCTAAACTAACTTCATTACTTGAAAAAAAAAAACTGTTTTCGGAGGAAAAATGAAAACAAACTGTAGCCCCAAAACACATTGTTTATCATACTATTTCAAGTAATCAGTATAGAACCCACCACCCGATTGGTTCTCCCTCCAAAAAAACCGGTTATTAATCACGTTTTTACTAAGCAAAAAATAACATATTCCTAGGACAATGAGCTAGTCTGTCTTGGCGGATATCTCAGACAAACTTGCATCAATTATCATTTTATCTTTTAAGGCTACAAGTTAGAGACATCTAGAGATTGCGAAATAGCGGAGTCATTTAATTGGTCGTCGGTTCCTTTATAACCCTTGCGGCCTTAGATCATAATTAGATTTTTAAAGAATTATTCAAGGAACGAAAAGTAGAAGTAGTATCACGAACCAAGACCTATTTCTCCCATTTCTTGCTCAGGTAAGGTGATCATATACTGCGATGGTGCAACTCATAGCAAGTTTGTCCTGTGTGGGATAAAAGATATCTATTTTGAGACCGCATTAGTATGATATATAATGTTTCGCAAAATGCAAGATAGCGCGCAGGTTTTAACCGAAAAAGTGTGCCATTTAAAGGGAATTGGTTAAACCTGAAACTAAAAAGAAATTCAGTTTCATCTTCCTCCTTGAGTTTTATTATCGTTCTTACTGTAGAAGTGGATTCTTTTTTTTATGTCTGAGAATAAGTAACGACTGTAGGGACCTTAAGATCGATCGACGACAGCGACGGCAAGGACAACGTCAAAATAGCAACAAGATCTTGGAAAGCCGGGAGGCACACTCCTTGCACTGACTAATATGACTATTAGGATTACGGTTAGGTCTAATTATTTATGCGTATAAATTCTCAAAACATCGTCTGTTTTTTCTCTGATGTTGTAAATACTTGTGTTGTTTATATCGAACAAGCAACCGCGGGGAGGGGGGGCGCAGCTATATATCATAGGTTGTACGTAAGATCTTACAGCGCATGTGTCTCACCCTTTTGTTTCATCATTACCGTACGCAACGTATTTCATTCTCTTCATTTTATTCAAGTTATGTATGTAACCGTAGGCTACATATTTCAAAACGCGGCACGACTAGCTCAGATGGTAAGAGCGCTTGACTGTAGAGCGGGAGGTCGTGAGTTAGTTTCCCAGGGGCAGAAAAATACTAAGGGTTAAAATAACCGGGAAATGAAGGGAGTTCATTGCCCTGCAAACGGCTAGACCTTAAGGTGGCTCAAATGACCACGTAAAATGGCGATCTCTTCTCCAGTAGGATAATTAAAAATTGATTTTCCTCAATTAGTACTTTCGTGCTTAATACATCGACATTCAAATAAAGTTCATTGTTTTTTCAGATGGAGGAAATCTCGCCTCAAAGTGGTGTTTCTTCACCTAACTTAAAAGAGCAAATCACTCGTCAAGTTCTGCAATATGTGCTGTATGGCAAAAATTCAGTACAGATGGTTAACACTCACGAGACGAACATAAAGAGCAAGCTTGGTAATTTGAATAAAAAGTTACTTTAGTCTGATTTGAAACGCCCAGGACTCCTTACGAAACTATGACGGCAACGGTTGATACAATAGGCACCTTTAGGAATACCTTCACACCGCACCCAAAGAAGTTATGACCGGCTAAAAAATTTGACCGGACACTTCGTTCTCACGGGTCCGTTCAGTATTTTCGCTCGTTCACACGGACCTTTGAACAGCTAGGGGTCTAAATGTTTGTACAGTTAAGGTGGTACCGTGTGAACGGAACACCTAAACGCACGAATTTTCAACCGGTGGAAAATTCTTCCGGTGCCAAGTGAACGCCACCTAAGAATGCAAAACAATAACTTTCTTTCCTGTCCCTGCACAACTGCGAGGTTCAATGACCAAAATTTTAAGTAATGTTGAACGGAAAGACGATAAATTTTACTGTATCTTTCTGATTTCGGACGTGGTACCCTCTCCACGACTCTAACGTAATTTCTTAGCTTTGAAATACATGAACAAGTTGAGTCATCGCTAAAAGATTTGGAAGAACTCGAAGAATAAGAAAGCGTGAATGACGTTTACACGCTGCCGCTGCTGTTGTGGTATCGTAAGATCCCTTATATGCGTAATAACACAACAACTCGGGTTTTACTTACAATTTGCATAATAACTTCGCTTGCAGAGAACTATTACGTACCGTCTAGTTGTTCATTAAGATTTCTTTTAAGTGGCCATATCAAGTTTCATATTCAAAATTAAATTTGGAAACCACAGTAGCCGGCAACCGAACCTTACTAGTTCACAACTAGGAACAATCAACACTAGACCAGTCATGCTCAAGATTTTTCTTTCTTCTCTTGTGTATCATTCCACTTATTACGGTATTTATTTCACGATTAAAACAGCATGGGAAGCTGTGCAATTATATATTTTTTACATGTGTACTTATTTATTAACTGACTTTGTTGACGATGGTGTTTCCTAAAGAAAGTGGTTGTCATGTGTATTCATTAAAAAGTCCTAAAACTGGCCTGAGTCGGCCTTCATCGCTTCTCTTTCAAAAGACAACTCCCATAATACACAAAGCACTTAGTGAACAGCAGTTAAGGTTACGCTTCCCGGTAGGAAAGGACAGAGTTCGAAGGAGAGGGCTGGGGCCGAGGACTGAGAAGGACCTGATGATGATGATGATATTGACAGTATTGTAATTAAAAGCACATTTATTATCATGATTTTTAGTAAATGATGAAAGCTCACAGCAAGAACAGAGATCTAAGACCGTGACTAAGCTGATGGAGAATAGTGACCCCAACGCTACCACGGAAACTGACAATACGCATGCGCAGTCCGAGAAAGCAAGTATCAATCTGAGCTATGCAATAGCTTCATTCCCGAATGAAGTGTCCTTATGCGTATCGAGTATACCTGGAACGGTTTTTGGAGTCTGCGCAAAACAGCATATTCCCGTGGGAACGTGGATTGGTCCTTATGAAGGGAAGCGCGTGTGTCCTGATGACGTCACGGTCGATATGAACACGTCACACATGTGGGAGGTAAGACTGTTGATCTTTAAATGACAATAATATTCAAGCATATGAAGGGATGTACTTTTGAGGCATGGATGCTACAAAGCATGCTTTTTCAGGTCTGTCAGTTCATTTTCATTTATGTTAATCTCAACGACACTAAGCGATCCTTAATCCTTCTATAGTTTATCACTATTACTGCTCTGGCGTTTTTCTATTTTTTCCTTCAATTTCATGACCATTGAAATTTGTGGGTTGGGGAGATCATAGGCTCCCGACAAAGGCTTCAGGCCTCGTTTATATCGAGAAAAGTTGACCCGAAAAAGAGGGTCACCCTCCCAGCCGAGAAAACTTAGAGAGCGTTCAAATTAGAAAAAAGTTGACCCCTTTTCCCAAGCCAACAACCCTCACGTATTCTCTGATTGTCTCACCTTGACCGAGTTGACGAGTTGAAGGCCCCGCTAGAACGCGACCCGACCATCGAAAAAGAGTGCTGAGCAAGCTAGGGAGGTTACTCTTCTAGCCAAGCCAACTTTTTGTTTCTAATCTAAACGGTTCGCCTAGGAACTGTAGAAAACGTTGTCTCGCCCAGGGTAGCTCGGGTAAGCGAGTGACCCTTCTATCCGTTACAAGTTTTCCCAAACAAACGGGACCTTAAATTTCGTGTGGAAGTAGCCCATAATGGTCTCAAGCACTACAGCACTACTCAGACCCATTTCTAGCGTTCAAGAAGAAAAGGAGACTTTTTTCTTTTCTCAGATTTACGAAAAAGGCAAACTTGCTTATTTCCTTGATGGTAGTGACAAGAATACCTCCAGCTGGATGCGATTCATTCGCTGCGCGCGACATAAGCAGGAGCAAAACCTGCTCGCATTCCAACATAACAAAGATGTTTTCTACCGCGCTTTCCGTGATATTCCCCGCGGTTGCGAGCTTCTGGTCTGGTACGAAGATAGCTATATCAAACATATGGGAATACCCTTTGGAATTGCGGACAGGAGTTCTCCACTTCATTTTACAGGTAGGAATGATATTAGAGGACATGTATGGAGATATTCGCGAATCTCAGTCATCGATAAGGTTTTCGGCAAAAAAGGGCAATGTCCAAAACAGTTATATAATTACAACCGGTATACAGCCAGGGGAAGGAGTGGCTGTGCACGGTTGTTCAGTGTTGTCACTCTATATTTGATATAGACACGGCTAAACTGTACGTACAAGCCAAAATGACCCCGAATCTAAATAGCAGTGCAAGTGTGAATAGATCCACATCAAAAAATTTTTCAAGCCGTTGACTGAACTCACAATTCGAGCATTATTAAGACTTTGTCAAGTTGCAGTAAAATTGGTCAAGCCGCTACATTAATCTTATCTTTTTTCTTAGAGAGAGTATCAAGGGTAAAGCATCCGGTTGCAATCCGTGCTGCTTCTCTCGTCAGTGGGTCACTGCGCGAGGAACAAGAACTCCTTCACGATGTTGACAGTGGATTTAAGCCATGCCGCGTACAGAAAAGGAGATCATCTTTACACAGTTCGCTGGTTGAAGAAGTATCCGATGAACCCGAAAGTGTGGCTATTCAACGACTCAACAAGAGATTTAAAGATCAGCAAGAAAGTGACAGCGACTCACTGATCCACAATGAGGCAAATGTGCGACCGTCTCTCGACAGGGCAGATAACGGCAGAAAGCTCAACACAAGAAAAAATGAATTGACCCCACATCGTAAACTGTTTGACGAAGTGATAGACACCAGTGGAGAGAACGGCGAGTTTAAATGTGGCCAATGCAAAATCATTTTCACGCAGCGTTCCCTTTTAAACAGTCATCTCTGCTCGCGCATGCCCTGTAAGCCCTACAGATGTGGACACTGCCAAGAGGCTTTTGCCCAACCTAAAGAACTACGCATGCACTCAGTGGTGCACGTAAGCGAAAAGCCATTCAAGTGTGGTTACTGTTTGCGGGCGTTCAGCGGGGCTACGACTTTAAACAACCACGTGCGCACGCATACAGGTGAAAAGCCATTTCTCTGTGAAAGGTGTGGTAAGTCATTTTCTCAAGCATTTCAACTGAGTCGACATCGCAGGGTCTGTACACAAAATGGTGAATAAGTTACAATCAGTTTCTCTTAGTTACCTAAAAGATTGGCCATGAAACCTTGTAAACTACTGAAAAAAGTTTTAAAGGTACCGTACTCTACACCATTAAGACTTATGTGGAATTACCGGAAACACATTAACCAATTACATGTTTAGAAATCTTTGTATTTCCAGCAATTTATTTGCGGGTTTAAAAAGCGAAAGACGACAAGTCTTCAAGATGTTTAAGAAGGCTTTATTTAAGAGCAGGATTTTATACTAATATTTTTTATTGACGGCCTTGTCGAACCGATGCTATCATAATATATATCACGTGATTAGGCTCGTTGCAGACAGCGAGATGGGGATAAATAGGTTTGCGAAAAATATAAAAGGTGAAAATTTTGTATACCAGCTTTCTTTTTCGGGAGCTTTAATAAACACATGTTAGCTTAGAGATGAATTGTGTCAATCGAGTTAGATATATCTTTAACTGAACCCAGCAGTAATAACTCATTTTTGTTGTGTGAGAAACCAACTATAGATATATTAGCAGTTAAAGGCTGAGTTCTTTGATACAATTTTCAATTTTCATCGGTAGCTCTGCTTTCCTGTAGTACAGGGGTATTCCCCGGGGGATAGCCATTTTGAATATGTAAGCAGAGAAAGACCGGGCGTTAATCAATGTGATATTTGCGCGCTTAAAAATATCTGCGCTTCGTCTTGTACTTACACCATAAGTGATGCCAAAATTGGCTATCTAAGGCCCTTCACGAACACAAGTTTTATTAACCCTTTTCATATGGGAGCAATCCGCGACCGCCCCCCCCCAACCCCCCCACCCCACTACCTAAATCGTTCGTACTTCATTTAATTACGTCAGCAACTGCATTCCTTCTATGTACTGTTTGATTTATGAATGCTTTTGTGGAAGAATTAAACGAATTTCTTTTTTAAGTTTGGCTCCATCGTAATTAATTTTCCTAGTAAATTTAGGTCAACCTAATTTTTATCTTGTCTGTTCTTTTTACTGTTTGAGAGCTTTGTTTTCTATTCGCATTACAGTGTCAGTAGTGTACAGTGTCAGTGTAGTCGTGCATTTACTATTAAATATCTCGGTATGGTGGTACGAGTAATCGACTACTACAGTTCCTGGGCCTCGGGATAGATTCCCGATAACGCCACTTTTTGGGTGTTTCTTGGTGTTGCGGAAACTACGTTGGTTACCGTGTGGCACGAAATTTTTGCGGGTTCTAATTTTTGCGATTTTTCTAGCGATCCGCAAAAATCAATGCCCGCAAATAAACATTACCGCAAAGATTTTTGCCGCAAAAATTTACTCCAGAGTAAATATTCTCCAACTTGAATTCGCTACACAAAAATACAGTACTAAACAATCGTGTCTGTTAAATCACAACTTGTCTTTTTTTAACGGTATAAAATGAAATACTGGTTTATTGTTTGAAAATCTGTATTTCTATTGCACATACTCAATAAACACGAAAATTTTATCAATGCTGTGTACTGGGCACTTTCTGGAAATCGCAACAATTAATTCCCAGCAAGAAAAACCAATCTGTCGTAATCGCAGAAATTAGTTCCCGCAAAACACAAAAAATCGCCAATCCGTAAAAATAAACTCCCGCAAAAATTTCGTGCCACATGGCAGCTATTGTTTTGTGGTATGGAGTATTGCTCAACACCTTCTCAATCTTTTGTATTACGTCATTTGGTGACTACTCCCATCCGCACACCAAGAAAATATTTTGAAAAGACTTAGCAATGATTCATGTAAGTGTAAATGAGAGGGGAAGGTCAGTTTTGAGGATAGAAAAAAATTATAACCTAATAAGAGGTTTTACCCGGGATGGAGTCTCTGAGTCTTTGAGGAGTCTCTGTGTCAGTCAGAAACTATGTTCACCGCGACCCGAATGTATTAATACCATAGATTGGAAATTAACTTCTATTTAAAGAGATGCATTCACTTATTCCAAGGAATCTAACCAATTTACGTTAAACAGAGAGACCGGTTTAGATACACCCCTGATGGAACGTTGAGGTTGGACATTACAAGAACCGGATGATTATGCTTCAAGGGCATGACTTAGGGATATCTAAAAGTTAGCCTGCGTAGCACGCCTTTCCGCGCGAATTCGTTGGCTTTGCCTCAGGGAGATGACACAGTGACATGTCGTGATATGAAGCGCTTAGGCGTTGGGAACGCGTAGAAAGCGTTTCCGCGCGGTTTATGCTTCAGTGGCATCTCAAGGATATACGGTACCTGGAAGTTTCTTTGAGTGTGCGCTTAGACTATGAAAAATACAATGAGTTAAATTGGTCCTGCGATATGTATAACGCGACGCTCTGAACATCTACCAAGCGGCAAGTGCGTCAAGTTGAACGACTGCGTTAATAGGCAACCGTTGATTTTTAATAGCCCGTGAAATTCGATTGGCTAAAGATTAAGAGTTGCGTCATTCCACGCGATGCTGAAAATGGTACGAACAAGATAAGATTTACTGCGCGTAATGTTGCAGAAACAGAACGAAATTCTGCCCATGCTGCAATAATTCACGTAATATTATCAGGGTTGGTCGAATGTAATTTAGTCATTGCATCCAGGTTGTATCATTCGTCTGCGCCTGCCCATGTGTCCGAAATTTGTGCAATGTTGTCTCCGATGTCGCCTCTCGGCTGGGCTTATGTAACCTTTTGTAAAACTAAGAAAAATGGATTACAGTCGAACCCGCTTTACGGACATCCGCTTATGCGGACACCCCTTAATTACGGACAGTTTTCTTTGTCTCTGGGGAAAGCTCTTATATTTTCTCTAAAATTCAACTCGCTTAATACCGACATCCTGTTAATGCGGACAACGGGGACTTGTTTCTTACCCAATCAACAGCTTCTCATAGAAAGTCAACCTCAATAATGCGGACACTTCATTGTCAACTGCGTGCTGTAATAGACCTTTCCTTTCTGAAAGTAAAAAATACTTTACTTGACATCATGTCGATGTTCCTAGCGATATAGTACACCGAATAGGATGCATTATAGCCGCCAATTTCAGACTATTTCAGCATCAAAAGAGTTATCTATAGAGCGAGGTATTGTTGAGTGACTTTTTAGTGTTTGCGTGGAGTTAGTCCGCGGAATGAGGGCTTCATGAAGGCTAAAGAAGTTTTATTGAAGATGCCAATGTCCTCGTTTTTTTCTTTTAGTATTTTCTTCTAATAAAAAGGTGTTTTACTTTTATAACATGACCGGCTTAAAGGAGCTGTGTCACGGCGAAATTCAGCTGAAATTAGGAAATTACAAACTGCCCGTTAAATTAAGAGAAACCTAAAAATAACTACTTAAAACTTTAAAGGAAGGTTAAAATAACATAACAGAAACAACAGATGCCACGGATGGGCAAAACTGAAGAAGATTGAAACGGATTGATATTACGGTTTTTGAAAACTGTTCAGCCTAACAGTTTTTAAAAGTTGATCCCTGCTGCTTGCAACTTCAAAACTGCTCAGGAGACATATTTGCTTGTCACGAATCTCTGATGATTTTGTCATTTACATGTAATTTCTTTGCTTTAATAGTTTAAGTTCCATAGCGATTGAGGGTGAGTAATTGGCAAAATTAAACAAAATGAACTGGACTGCCGTGACACAGCCCCTTTAATACACCCCGTTAATACGGACACTTTCTGCGACACCTTCAGTGTCCTTATTAACGGGGTTTGACCGTATTGACTTGGTGTGACGCAAAAGTTGTCGACGTTTCTTCATTCCGCCTGACGAGATTGCAATGAAATCAAAAATCCACGCTGACTACTTTCTACCATATATGCATGGTGTTTTACGGAGAATTTAGGAGTTATCACACTTGTACGTCCGTAGAGTCCACCAGAAGTCGATTGTATGACGTTTTATCCCGGGATTTGAAGCATTGAAGTCGTTTCATTCCGGTCATTAACTCAAGGGTATATTGCACTACTTTGTACGTCAGCTCAGACGTAATACGTACGTAAATCCTACATCCTACCGGTAAATAACTGCCGGTTGTAATTTGCTGCTCCAAGTTAAATAAGGTTTAAAAAATCCAGCAGTGATCACTAAGTTAAAATATAAATTTAGTGTAATAATACTTGAATCAGCAAAGTTCAAACTACATTACAAGCTCAGGTCGGGTTCGAGTCGAGTTTTTTGCTATGTTTTAATCATGCTTTTTTAAATAATTATTGTAGGTTTTTGCTTTTCATTTGGTTCCTTTACGTCACTAATATATAAGAAATAAAATAAGCCAAAATTGCAAAATTTCCCTCAATATCACATTATTTTACCCATACTGTAAATTAAAAAGGTCTGTTCAAGTCTAAAAAGCCAATTTAGCTCTCCAGGCGATGTCTGATTCAGCCTCTCCTGGAGCCATTTGAGGACAATTTAAGCCGAAAGAGCAACATCAAAAGCCCATTCAAGCGATTTCAGCCCGTGGGTCCAAATCAGCCTTAGGTAATCAGTGGACTGTATTGGCCTTGCTTAAGTGAGCCAAATTAGACTCTGAAAAATAGTACTGTATTTTACTAACCTAAACGGCCCAATTTTTAAGGCTAAAACGGGCCCCATTTGTTCAAAAGGTGGACAACGATAACGCAGTTGGTTTCTCTAACATTTATCCAATGGATAGTGATTTATCTGATGGATTTTGAACAATTTGGGTCAGATCTTTTTGATTTACACGCTGTATACCCGAAATTATAAGTCGTTTCACTGAAATGAAGAGGACCATCAACCAAACTCGTAAACCGTAAGCCCCAAACATTGACTGTTCCTGTCTTATTCAGTGCTGGAAAGGCATATGTCTAAGGTTCAGTAAATATTCTAAATAGATATTTGCAGGAAGGAAACTCATTGAGTAGCCCGAGTTGATCATACCTGTAATTGAAAAACTAAGACTAGCACTAATGAACCATTGTATCTAAAGCTTTTGATATAAAATGTTGGATAAAGATAACACTTCACTTGTTTGTTTGTTTTTCTTTTAGGATTCGCCCACCGTAACACTTTCGTGTCTCGAAGTGTTAATTATTTGCTTTTTTTGAACTTAATCCAACATGACACGATTTACATCAATGATTTTTCCCGCGTCTATTGCGAAGGTTTTGTTTTCACCCACCAATGCGCATGGAGTCCTTTGTTTCAGGGAATTTTCGAGACAGGGTATTTTAATTCAACGAACAACTCAGTAAAATTCAGAAAATTAAAGGTTAAATCACACTTGACCACATGAATCATCGTGAAATATTATTTGGGAAGGGCCACACCGTGAAAACAAAGAGAAACGCTTTATTTTCAAGTTTAACGCTGAAATGGCCAACAAATATGTAGCTTTAGTAACTTCTAGAATCCGTCAGTTCTTTTCAGACTTCATTTGTTGTGTTGAGTTCACGCTACCATTACTCCAGCAACGCGTTGTGCCGGTGACCACCATTAACTTTGTTTGTATCTGTAGTTTCACAATGGGATTAAAGATATTGAAGACGTTCATCAATTATTTAAGAGGCTACTTCAAATAATTCGTTGAGGTACGTAGCCTTTCTTTCTGGCTCTCCTGGCCGATAACTCGTTATTTCTCAAGTCTCTACCGAGGCAAAGAAACCTCCTTTTTATATTTTCAAAGCTTGAAAGGCTTCGAAACATTGAGCAGTCAACCAAGGTATTTTGGTATTTGACTTTGCACTGTGTGAGAGAAAGAGACCCAATATATTCACTTGTCGACCCACGCTGTCGACTTTACGGAGTCGTATTTTTTCCTCCTCATGACTTTCCAACGAACGACCGCGTGGGAGGCCGTGTTCATTGTAGCGCAGGAACGATAGTTTGGCCGCAAACAGGAAAAAGCTGCACACCATGAAATCATTTGCACAGTAGGTGGTGATAATAATTACTCTGACATCACCAGAGAAAGCGGAAAAAAACTCACCTTCGAGGCATGTAGTTTGAAAAGCAAAATGCAGAATTAGTATGTCAAGTGCGACAAACCGTAAACAACAAACAGCTGAACGAACAGACAAAGTAAATATAAAATGTCGAGGAATTCAAACGTCCTATGTACCTGTGCATATGGATATGGACCCATAAGCAGTGCTGTATGAAACCTGAAACTGCCTTCTCGAACTATCGCGAAAAACGTTGGATTGGCTTACATTTCGATACATTAGGTCAATAACGTGCCGTATTTCATTGCAAGCGGAGCTTAAATCCACTGAGGGGGAAAGTTAATCACGTGACAGGCGTGTCTTCAAATATTACGCAATCATGTCAGTTTAATCGAATCAAATTGTTTATAAGGATGATCGTAGAATTTGGTGTTCAGAGATTAAGAGGGTGTTTAGAGTAGTCCTTGTGAAAACTTAGATGTTATCATGTGTCATTGTCAGGTGACCACCCAGCTTCCCGCGCCACCCCTCCGCAAAGGACTTGGCGCAACAAAACATTCCTGGTGTAAAACGTACGACTCCACAACGAAGTGTGGCGTGTGATAGAGTAAATGCGACAGTCACAGTTTGTATTGTTGAATCCTTAAATTATTCTGCATGAATTTATCAACTATTGGTTAAAGTTTGAACAATTCCTAAATTTGCAGATTTCAAGTATTAGGTATTACTGAGCAAACACGACATTGCTAGGATGACAGGTAAAACTTAAGTGGCCAATTAAGTAAAATTTTCCGTTCTGTATACCACTATCAACACCGTTACGATGGCTTCTTACACAACATTAAGTCGTCATAAGCACTTGCTTACCAACAAACCAGTGACTTAAGAGACAAACTGAGCATAAACTAAAGAAAAAAAGGCGGTTACCGAAAGGATACCATAGTTGCACGACTTCCATGGTGATCAAGAGCAGAGATGACAGAGGTTAGAAGAACGTCACACTTAGAACGTACACTGTTCAAGTTTTTGAGATCCGAACAACCTCAAAACCAAGCAAACAAAAAACGCTCTGAAAGGATTGTAAATCCTCTGCACAACCACAAAATAACTACCGCCGAACTTGTTTTTTATTTCTTTGCTGGGAGAGGAGAGGTTGGCAGGAGGGGGGGGGGGGGGGGGGGGGGGTGGGAAGGGGGAAAAAAAAAGGGGGGTGTTGTGGGGGTGGAAAGTCACCCTTCTCTTTCGCTCTAATTTTTTTTTTTTTAAAATATAACAGTCAGATTTTTAGAAAAAAAAAATATATATAAAAATGAAAAATGGGGGGGGGGGGGGGGGGGGGGGGGGGGGGGGGGGGGGGGGGGTGTTGATGAAAGGGGCAAAGATAAAGGGAGCTTTACTGCGTCTGAAATCTCACCTTTCCTTTGGCCTTAATGTTTGATTTTTCAAGATAACTATGCCAGATTATTGAGAAAACAAATATTTCAGAAATTAGGAAAATCAGTGATACATCGCATTTATGAAAAAACTGCCTAACCTGTACAGCAAATTAACAAATAATATTGGTATCTGTTTCGGTTGGCTGGTTTATCAGTAGTATTCTCTGAAACGCAGCCACAATTTGTAAAAGTTAATTAGCGAGATTTCCCTAAGTGTTATGGCTGTCTTTTCAACTTTCTTAGCTACGAAAAAGATAGTCTTCAAAGAAAGCTCCTTTCTAAATCAACCGTTTAGTTTCCCCCGCCGGCTTAATTCCCGCATGGCGTCAAAACAGCTGTTTCCTGATCATTTTACGTTTCTGGGAAACTGCCCACCTACCCCTCCCCTAAGCGTTAATGTTGTTTGGCTTAGGGGAGGCGTAAGTGGGCAGTTTCCCCAGAAACGTAACGTAAAATAATCCTCTATTTGCCCCTGCACGTTTGCTCAGTCATCCGATCAAAAACATTAAAATAACCAACACACAGGCTGTTTTAAAATTTCGAAATACCTGCGAACTATTGCATGAAATGAATTGTCTCAGTAGTTTATTACAGTGGAACCTCGATATAACGAAGGGCCAAGGGATTGGCAAAGCCTGATCGCTTTTACGAAGTTTCGTTAAATGGAGGTTTTTTCCCATATATTTTACTGCTACGGGGGCAAAAAATATCGTTTGTTATACCGAGGACTTCAAATGCGGGTGGACGACTCCAAGGGGAAAAAAACACATGATTTAAATTGTGTTCACATTCTTAAGGAGAAAAATTCATCGATTTAGGCCTATTGACGTCACCATAAAAAGTAAAAGTATTCTTTCGCCATGTAGAGTAAAAATGACACTCATCCCCCACCAATTTATTCAGCAACATTGTGGTTGGTACATCACGATCCTAGGGTGTCTGCTTGCGTTTGAAGACCGTGATTGCGTTTATAAACCTCTCTCACACAGACTTAATATGAGCGGAGTTTCTAGCTCTTGTAGTAATTAGAGCAATTATTTCTTGCAATGCGGAACTTGGAAATATAATTGAGGTATGCCGCAGTGAATAGAAGACAAAATAACTACCGAAAACAAAAGAGGTAATACTGCTTTCCTGCCGATAATTAACTCGATTTTTTTGCTTAAGCCTTGTGATATTGGTAACATGACATTCCACGGTAGCTATCGGGGTGGCTTTGTTTTTCTAAGATGCTGGTTTAAGCCGACGTCCGTAGAGTAACTTCGCTTTATTTGAGATCTTTGTTAACGTTTTTCCAATCTGATGTTCTTTGTTACGTAATTAATATCTCTAAGAAGAGATGAAAGCCTTACTTAGGTACTTAGCTTGGGCGGAATACATTTTCCTATATTGACCCTTTTTCTGATACTTTGGAAACTTTTCCGCTTTTCCTTGTTTTCAATTTATCGATCTGTTACAGATATAGCAAGAAACATTAAAAAAAATTGAGATTTGCAAACAAGAAAACTTAAGCCAGAGCTTAATGGACGGAAACGAGTACTATATGAGATTGTGATAAATTTTCTGAGAGACACGAATCAACCCGTCCACTTTATATATTATGTATTCTGACGAGTTCAGCCTCCTTGTCGGCCACCGGCGACAGCACTTATATAAAGATAAGCTGATGCGTGATTAGGTTTCGCTTGACTTCCTTCACCCTTCCGATAAAAGCTGTTAAAGATCGAAGTAGCGTTGCTGTCAGTGCAGCTTGTTTGAAAGCAAAAGCCGTTACTTTGAAGTTGAACTGTTTCAGGTAGTACATATCCGTTCTTTACATACCCGCCTTAATACTTGAATCTTCAAAGCATCTTCATTCGTTGTTTTCTTTTCTTTCTTCTTTCAATCTTGGCTCTTGTTTGAGAAGTTGAAAAGCTGCCAATGAAAATGTAATCACGTTTTTGTAGATATTGTACGGTCGCAATTGGCAAATACCTTCTAGTAAAAACGTTTTGTTTTTATGAATAATAATAATAATAATAATAATAATAATAAAAGAATAAAATACGTGACACTTCACTGCGATGTGTAAAAGAAACGGTATGATATATTTACTTTATTTAAACGAGAGAAAAAGGTCGGTTAGACGACTGAAATATATTTATACAAACTAATTGCACATTGGAGAAAGTAAACTACAAAAGCACGTCATGTGACATGTTGTTTAAGGATGTTGTAACTGTAGCCACGAATTTCAAAGCTTTCAGGAATTCAGCAAAATCGAAGTTTTCGGTTATTTTGTGGGGAAAAAGTATATATGTGTGTGTATATATATTGGTTTGCAAGTATTTCAGCACCACAGTGAAATTTTTCGCGAGGCAGCTGGGGGTAAATGATGCGTGAAAGATTTGATACAAAGACACCTGACCATTGATATTAGATTGTCTTGGCGACAAAGAGTTCGCCAGTTGATGTTAAACTTTTACGGCTGAAAACGTGTTTAAACAAAAGCGTCAAAAATTTGAACATTCAGGACGTTCGGCCCTCGATTGAAACAAAATCAGTATTTACTGTTTTTGCCCTAATATCGCAGTTTTCTTCGTTAAGCAAAATTTACATCACAGAACCCGCAAATAATTTATTTTAATTCCTTTATTTTTGCTGAGCTTTTACTAAATGTCTATTCAAAACCACTCTAAAAAGTTCGTTAATTAATCTCAAAGCTGTTTTTTTATTGTCTGCTTCATTGTTCCATGAACCGTGATAGGCCATTATAATAACAAGTGGCAGAGTGAAAAACAAGTCAGGATACGAGGAGTTTTGACATCATAATAGCTTGCACTTATTTGACGCACGCCAGTTGTAAGACGAAGGGTTGAAGGCGGGACGAGCTGTCGACTCATCGACGAATTTCTTCCAAGCGACTTATTCTTCTTTTACAGAAACAGAAAAACGATAATTCCAAAGTCTTAATTTGAAGCTTCCATAAGGTGAAGATTCAACGACACAACGAAAAGTACTGAAAAGGCGCCTTCAAAAACTCAGTTAGGATGATGGTAAGTTTTTTTTGCGCCAAAAGTTACATAAATTAGGCAGCCCTTCGTCCATAACAAACCTCAAGCCTCGGTAAGCATAGAAATTTGTTTCAGATATCTCGAAAGAGACAGTTTCTTTCATACCGTTCTCCAAAACGTGGCAAAAATCAGATCATGCAACTCACAATAGTTTTTCCAAAATAGCTGGCATTTCTGTTGCTCAGAAGTGTGAATTATCTCTTTGACTACCTAAAGAGTTTGGTATTTTTTCCTGTTTGATCCTTATTTGTAACTCACACATCTAGCCTCAGGGTCTTTAATCTACTAACACATGCAAAACACGGGGCAGGTATATCCTTGAAAAATATATTATAACAACAGGCGCCATCTACTCAAATTATTTGATATCACAATTTTATATTGGTTACACAAATGGTAAACGTGTTTATACGGCCGACTTAGGAATTCACGCATGGTCGATTAAGCCTATTCATAAAACATGTGCGACCACTCGAGGGTAAAATTAATTACAAGCATGCCAAAATTAGCACAAAAAAAGACCGTTATTTCACATCTCACACCTTGGCATTATTGGAGCTTCATGGCACAATGCCACTGAAAGAAAGATAAAGATTTACTCTTATCTAACCTAACGAAATCTCTGTCGCTGTCAAAGAAGATTACTTAAGTGTGCTGGTTACAGCTCTATGTTTCTTGACTCTCAGACTGAAATATTGCAGTGGTATTTAATTTATTGCAGTCGGAAAATTTACGACCTGCTTACTAAACGAAGGCTAAACAATATCGCTAAACCGTCTCAGATATATACAGGATCTACCAACCAATCCACTAATAAAATAACACTTTTTAGCATTAGATGCTTTATCCACAAGATAAACGCATAGTGTGGCTTGTAGCAAAGTCATGGTTGAAATATTTTCAAATTTATTTATCCAAGTGAACTTTGCAGTTGATTAAATTTACAGTGTTTCTTCCCACTTGATTTTTTAGACGGAAAATTCGTAATGGGTGCCTTTCGAAATATTGCACTTTCATAATTAAGCTTTTCTAGAGTATGACGTCATCTAAACCCTTTTACATTTTATCAGGTTTTGGAATCTTCAATCTTTACAAATCAACAGAGCGTATATTTGAACAAAGTTTAATTTCACAAAAGAAGACACTGCAAAAAAAAAAAAGCTTTTCCAAAACGTTTTGTTCTTTAGTATAATTCATCCTGCAGTTGCTTAGAAACTATTGTAAACAGGAGCGCGTAAACACATTTAAGATAATAGATCGTAAAGTACTTTCTTTCAGAAAAGAACTCAATACAACTGTTATTAATGGTTCTCAATATTAGAAATATACCGCGTAGCCTTCATCTGTTCCACTGCTCGCAACATGGGGCACTTAAAACAAGTATGTAAAGCCGAAGTAGTTCTATTTCAATACCATAACTCTGCGGTTTATTTCAATTTCCATTTAAGTGCGCAGATAGACCTTTAGCGGTCTAGAGATACAAACGAGAAAAAAAGTATGAAGCTTTTGTTTAGCAAACATAGAAAAAATTTTAGAAACAAGACCATAAGGAAGAATGATCGAGTCTTCAAAATGATTTAATCTGGAGGGATCTTCAGACATCTTCTTAAAAATAGGACATCATCTCAAACAAGTAGATTTAACGCATTCATTTGAATGACCACTCCCCCAGATTTTAAAGTTTGTTCCACGGACTATGCGATTAGAGCCTACTCGTAAAGTATAACGAACAGTACAAAAGGAAAGAGATGCCAGTAACACAAGGTGAAAGTCACCAAGTATTGGATGCTGTATCAGGGACTTCCACCTTGCACCATAGGGGACAGGAAATAATACGCTTGGGCAAAAACAATTTCCGTAGAAATTGTAACATTTCTGTGAATATCCGCAACCGCAACTTTGTAACCTTGTATATTTACTCGCCGCCTTTGAAGTAGCTTAATAGCCTCATAAAAAATTACGACACTTTCAGTTTTTCTTCTTGTATTTTTTGTCGTTGAAATGGCTCTGGATTCTAACTTACACTTAAGTTAAAAATGAGGGAGAAATTTTATAAACTCAGAGAAAAAGGTCAGTTTTACATTTTTGTAACATTCCAGGCTTGAATTTGAGAAGAGCTCACTTTTGCTGAGGTGCCTACACTCAAACAGCAAGAAAGCTAGAGAAACTGAGAACTTTCTAAAATAATTTGTAAGTGTAAAAGTTGACAGACTTTTAATTTTGTTTTGTCGAGTTGTTAAAAATGTTTTTTTTTACGTATTCAGTATTTTCAAGGCAGAATGAAACAATTTTTCGCTTAATTCCGATGATACTCAGGTTCAAATTTAAATTAGTTCAAACTGACAAAAGATAATTTACTTGCTGTAGCTTCTGCTTGCTGCTATACCACGAAAATGCATTTCAAAAAAGTCAAAGTCAGCTTTGATGTTCTTCTTTCTAGAAGGAAACCGATAAACTGTCATGGATTTCGGTCATAACATCATCTCTGGAAATACGAAATATTGGCACTTACATATTATATTGTTTTCAAATATTGCACGTTTGGGTTTTATTGCAGTGATACTTTAATATATGAGTGATAGCCAATATATGTACAGCTACGATAACATCAAGTAGGCATTTTAGTGTTGCATAACCCATTGGAGGCATTTATATCAGTATGTCGAAATTATCCAATACAAAATTTGGCCAAAACAAATAATATCGAAACTCTGCAAAGAATACTAACCACCGATCTTGTGAATCAACGTTTGTTCTTTACACTTCAGTTCAGTGAATGTACTATAAGTAACATCCTTTTAGGAAGACTAGGAATGATTGCATGAATACACATGATTAATGTCAATGTTCAAAAATTGTTTGAAAAACCTTACTTTGTTTATAAATAGACTTACGGTCAATTAACCGCACAGCTTTTTACGTCATTTCGTCAGCACTCCTGGAATAAAAGACTCTCTGTGTTTGCAATAATGCAACGTAATACCAAAACAGTAGAAAAACAACGTTAGATTAAAAGTTCGTAAGATGAGAAAGTTCGTTCTATTTGTAAGTAACCATGGCGAATTTCCAGATTAGTTCAAGTGTAATTTTAAACACTTTCACAACATAACAACAAGTATTGCTCCTAGATTACCTCCTTTTTATTTGTACAAGACTCGAACCCGGCTACAAAATGATAATTGAAGAAAAGTCACAAGTATTTATGTCGAACGAGAGAGAAAATTAATGTAGTCACTCAACAAACTTAGGGCCAATAAAATGCAAGCCATAGGCTTAAAAGACAAAAAAGAGCTCCGTTTTAACTTATGTGGTCGGTGTTTTTTAGTTTTCTGTTAATATTGGCTATAAAAGTTCTCATTTTGCATTTCTTCGACGAAAACGTAAGCTTTAACTCAAATTTTGGACTATCTATAGAAGTTCAACTGGAAATTCCATCATGGTTAAAAATATCGTTTCATCTCTTGTATCTTCCCTTTTTTCTTTTCTTGATAGTATTTTGGTATTTTCATTAGTTTGAAGATTTTTGGATAATTTTGTTAGATTTGACCTCCTTTGAAATAATCGGTATTAGGAACAGGATTTTCAATTAATCCATTTTCTGCTGAATGTTCATGAATAAGGAATGATCAAAGGCGATTTCATATCATCTTCACCTTTGAAACAAAAAACAAGGAACCACATATTGCAGGAAGAGTAAAGATCGCAGCCGCGTCACTTCAAATTAACATACGGCCAAAAGGAGTAAGCCTTCATTCAAGAACGACCAAACGTCTACCCTGTACAACAGAATACTATAGAATTCAGTTTATCTGATTGAAACTAGGAAACCTGAATAAATATTTTTCTAGACGAATAAATTACTTGAGCAAAACTAATATATATTTTATACTAAACGCTCTATTAATCAGTCGAATATCATCCTAATCAATTTCATTCCTGCGTTTTTAAGGTAAATTACGTCAATCTTCACGTTGGCCGATGAGACCTTAATTTTCAGGATAACGCCAAAAGTTACTGAGACTTTGACATCATGTGTTATGCGTTGTATTTACCTGCAGGTCGATAACATCGTTAAAGGCCTGATAAATCAAGTGATAAGTTACATATTCGTTTCAGCCCTGGGCTCGACTTTTAACTGTTTCCAGAGCCGGGAAAAAAACTTACCCCAAGTAGAGTTCATTAGTTCTGATCCTTTTGTCTTAAGATCGACGACACAAAGGTTTTTTTCTTCTTTTTGAAAACTAGTCAAAAGGTGCCGCGTATCCGTCGGGTTATTTGTGTGGTTTCCTTTTGTTTCTTTTCGTCTTTCAATAACCGAGTAAATAAGATACGGAAATAATAAGCTTTGTTTACAATTTCTTTCACGTAATAGCCATTAGTTATATTTGAGCATCTCTGCTAGCGGAGTGACTCTCAATAGTTGATCGGAAACTCAAAAGAGAAGGCCGATATCGAAAAATGTTTTTATATTTTTCATGTTGCTATTTTTGTTTTTTGACTTGCGTTGAATGGGCCATTTGGTATATTTTCGATAATATGGCTAATTCAAAGACTACGTAACGTGTATTGTGTGGGTGCAACTTAATACTACGGCGTATATTTGTTAGTATTTTAGTTTAACTATCATACATTGTGGTTGCAATCTCTGAAACTGAAACATTTAACAACTCTTAACACCGCGTATTTAGTGATAGCAACACTAAATTAACGTTTCTAATCAAAACTTTTATCGTGCTTAAAAGCATACTTCAACGAAAGTGTACATTTTATTTTTGTCCATTTGTTAAAAAATGCAGGCCTCTACGATCGAAACCCAGGCTCCTTCGAGGCCTTCGTTCATCTCTTCAAAAGTAAAACCTCAAAGCGAGGGCAAAAATCCAAGATATTTTGCATTCACGGAGAAAGATTTGTATAACTGCTTGCATCAGAAGAGTGGAAATGTGGAACCAATTGATTCTGAAGAAGCCAGAGGCAAGAAGCTGGAAGAGAATAGCTTGCGAAAGGACACACGTTCTTCATGTAAGTGAGAGCATATTTTTTTCTTTTACAGAAGTTTGGTTCGTTTCGTGTTCGGTTGTGAGTTTTAGAATTACGAGAACGTGAATAGCAAAAGAACCTCACACCAAGAGAAGAGTGTTGTTTCTGATTTGTAATACTGTATAGCTTTCATTTCAAAAGACTGGGCATACTAAGGTACAAATCAGTGCCATATTGTACAGCCATTTCCATTAAACAGCACCACGCACCACAGTAGAGCACTAGCCGGTTTCAGTTTAAAAGGTCACACTTTAGCACAGACTCAAAAGTTACAGCCACATTAAAAATAGGCTACTGAAAATTACAAGAGAATGGGAGTAGCAATACACCGCGACCAAAAACTTGGCCTTGCCCCGCAAAGCAAGCAGAAAGGTCGTTTGAAAATGTAAGGGATTGCGGTGTGGCGCGCACTGAGATTTACTATATTGCGCGAGCTTTTTTTCAAAGCAGAATATATTGCCTAATATCGGAAAGTTTATTATTGATTAAGAAGAAGCAGTGCGATGATATTTGTCGCAGTAAGCTTTCAGGAGCTTGTCACTCAAAAAAATGCATAAGGGAATATATTGCTTTGAGAAAATTCATAAATTGATTTAGTCAGGAAGAGAAAGGTGATTGAATTTAATGTTTCCCTTTGCTTTATCATAGTCTGTAGAACCTGCAACAAAGTGTACGCGATCTGCTGTCCAATACACCCATCTTACAAATCGACCGATTCTGACTCCAACCTGGACTGGGACAGCTATGCCATCAAGTCGTTCCCGGATGTGGTTCAACTGTGCAAGTCCAGCGTGCCTGGAAAGACCTACGGAGTGTGCGCAAGACAGCACATCCCGGTGGGTACATGGATTGGTCCTTATGAGGGAAGAAGGGTGGCACCAGATGCTATCAAGCCTGACATGGACTCTGACTATTTGTGGGAGGTGAGAGTTACTTGGAGCGTTAAGATACTCTAAGAGCCCATTCCCTCAGATTCATGACTTCGTCAAAAAAAATTCTCAATAAACCAAAACGTAAAGGTAGTGCAAGCAATAGGGGACGACTGACATCATCAAAGTGTTTGAACCTTGAAAGCGACGACCAAAAAATTTTTACTAAAGGAATCTAATTACCGTACTTGTTCCACTTTGTTAGTCTAAAAGATAATGGAAACTGTTGAGTCATGGAGCCCTAGATCCTTAGAAAATGGAAGAATTCAATCTACTCACATTAGCTTCTTTTACTGAAATTTCGCTTTGCAAATTTTCGGCAAAATATCTGTTGCCCGCCTATAACTACAAAATGTCAAGTGACAAACATGATTACTGATGACACTTCCAGCCTTCACTTTACTCCTATGCTTAATAACAGTTTACGACGTTATTAAAAACATTGTCGCCCTTTTAATTCAGATCTACAAAGATGGAAGGCTCATGTACTATCTCGATGCCACCGACGAAGAATCTTCTAGCTGGATGAGGTTTATAAAGTGTGCACGCCATAGAAACGAACAAAACCTGTTTGCCTTCCAGTACTGTGGTAACATTTACTATCGAGCATTCAAAGAGATTCCTATAGGAACAGAACTGCTGGTGTGGTACGAGGATATCTACCCACAATACTTCGGCATCCCCATCAGCATACACGACTTAAACTCAATGGGTGAGTCAGCTGAGCTTAGATGTTTCTTCACGGCTGATGCGCAGACAGTAGTTCACGTTCGAACCCTTGACTACTACTGCAATTTTTTCTGAGCCAAATGTTGCGAGTTTTAAAAAGCATTACAACCCTCTGAGTAAATATTATTGAGAAGTAATAATCGCAATACTGTTCCACTGAGTGCGACTATTTAAAGGAAGGCTCCATGCGATACTTATCCGGGCGCTTTTTATCTATATGTAGTACAAAGTGGATATGTGTCCTAAAATTCTAAAGGCTCTGTAATTCTTATTGAGATCCACCCCAGAAAATTAAAACAATGTTTTTATTCACGTTTTTTTTTTTTCTCTAGGTTCGAGGTCTTACCCAGTTGTAGAAGCTTCATATCAAGACGGTCAAAAGGTCTCTTCAATGACTACTCCAATTTCAGTAACTGCAACAGAGGCAACCCAACATACCTCAGCACCGAGCCATAGAAAGTCACCCCACCACGCACCAGTCTCACCGAAACAAAGATCCCGGCTGTCGCCTGGCCTGACGGAAAGAGAAGTCTACGCAAGGAAACAGACACAACAGGAAACGACGTTCAAAAGAAAACACGAGGAGAACGACTCCACTGGCATTCCGAAAAAGTTCAAATCACAGCAGTCTTCTAAGAATATGACAGATGGTCATAAGGAGATGCTGCTGCAGTTAGAGGAAGCGCGACTCAAAGACAAAAAAGATTTGCCTTGTGAATGGCCTCGTGTAGCGGATGGGGAATTCATCTTGGAGAACGGCGAACCAAAAATATGGCATTGTGGTCAGTGTGACAAATCATTCGCACAGCGTGGTCTGCTTCAAATGCACAGTTGCACAAAGAATACAAAAAGACCTTACCAGTGTGGCCATTGTGCTCAGGAGTTTGCCCACCCCAATGAGCTGCGTACGCATGCTGTCATTCATTCAGGGAAAAAGCCATTTAAATGCGGATTCTGTGCGCGCACCTTTGCAGGAGCCACGACTCTAAATAATCACGTGCGCACGCATACAGGGGAGAGACCTTTTTCGTGCAACAAATGCCACAGATCATTTTCACAGGCATCCCAACTCAGTAAGCATAAGAGATCTCTCTATGACTGTTTCGCTTGAGAATTTTAAGTTTTCGTTTGTTTTGTAATATTTTCGTACATAAGTACATTTTAATTGGCTAGTCTAGGGATCTCCTTCATTACCTGTATATAAAAAAGTTTCCCTAAAAGTTGAAAATTTGTGTTAATAGTTTCATCTATGGGTACGTAAACTGAAGGCTGAGATCTGAAATCAAGCTAGTTGATATTTGAAAAATAAGCTGAAAGGTTTCCGCGTAAAAAAAAGCCAAGATTGTTCACAAAGTCCTCGGGCAAAGTGCCTGAGTAGGTTAGTCGCTGGGCAGTAATTTGAAAACACCCTATTTTCATGTAACTAGGCCCGAATTCGGCGGTGCCGGAGTACAAGGTCTCGGCCTAATACACATTTTAGTTTTGTATTAGTTCTTGACAATCCGCTGCTTTGTCTACCCATACCTTCCTGCTAAGCTCACGTTCCAAAATGGAGTCTGACGGCCCGAAATGCAGTAAATATGCCGTTACAGTTACATATCGGGTCAAAGAGTAAACTCAACACCAATTTGTTCAGGTACCCGGGCACTAGTATTCGGGCATCAAGTTTGACCGAACATAGACTGACTTAAGATTCCAGCACTACAATCTATTGTACGCCCGCGCCCTTGTATAGAGCAGCATTGTACAGAACTGTCTTCAAAATACACCGTCAAGGTTGAAACTTAAATCTTATAAGTTTGACTCTTTTTTCTCAGTTTACGGATGTATTACCTACGCAGGTCTCTTTGAACTTATCGTGTTTAAAAGGCGTTATAATTTCTTTCAGTTTAAAAAAAAAAAAAAATTTATAAATGGTTAACAAAGTTTACGACGCATTCATTCATTAAGTAGCTAGTATTTTTAAGTTTCGAAAGAAACAGAATGATCATTCGTGTTTAATAACCAAGAGTTTTTCCTGCAATGCTACCGGGTTATAAGCTCACAATTAGGTATTTTTTGTTGGCTTGCGGAGCTTAATAGTAAAAGACACTTTTTTTTGTCTGTAGTTTAAAACGCGCTTTGTCTGCATTAGCCATAAAACTAAATTACATACTCGACATTGTTTAGATTTAAATAAAGCCGGAGTGAAAAGAAGCATTATTTAATTTACAAATAGTAAACGTACATGTATAGTAGATTGTATAATTATCATCTACGAAAACCGACACTTGACAGTGTCTCAAAGGCAAGGATTGAAGTATATATTTATAGATGTGTTTATATTTGGATATTTGAAACCCATAGTGCCTTTAAAAAAGGTTCATTCACCCAGCGTCACATTAGTTTTAATAATGTGCACTTTCATGAAGATTATTTTGAGCTTGTAAGATATCTCTAGTCGTGTTTTATTAAAATACTAATTGTTGTTTTTGACGACAGAGCTTACTGATCTTTTTTTTTTATTTCTTACTGGTTATAACGGCCTTAAACCCCAAAACAAACCAAACCTATTAATGCTGATCTTGCCTAAGCTCTGTTTACAGGGCAAATTATACTTCCCTGGAGCGCCAACACTAAAACTGAAGCACCTCTACACGCGGAGCAGAAAGAAAGAAGGGAAAGCACTTGGCTTGCTCGGTCACATGACCGAGAAGGGGGTGAACGTAATGACCATTGACACCTTCATGAGACCCAGTACCCTCGCCTCTATCTAAATAAACTCAGGTTAGAGAGAGAGAAGACCAAAAAATTCTATCTGCAAGCGAAAATTTTGTTTCCGTTTTGTCCTTTTTCTTTTGCTAGAATAGTGTTATTGCAGTTCCAGTCTTTCCGCCACCTTTTCTGCTTCCCCACTCAGTCGGTACACTTCCATGTTGTCTTTCAACCAACCTTCTTAACTCTTCGTTCTTTTACCCCTGGGGGATTCTTTATCAGGGGGAGACCAGCCCGAAAGGGGGCCTTTGTAATTCTAGCGGATTTTTGAAAACACTGCCGCCAAATGGACCTTTTTGGTCCAACGCAGCCATTTCAAAAACTAAGAGCGCAACCATTGTTTTTTTTGTCTTCTCCTCCTTTCCTTTCCCTCGCTCTTTCTTTTTCTCCTTTCCTTTTCCTTCGTTACTGTGATTTTGGAGCTTCTCGGGCTTAAGAAACCTGCCTTTTGACGCCTTTTCACCCAAAAGACTGCAAATTTCGTTAGGTTTGTTTTCAAAAAATCGTTTGCAATTAAATTCGCTTGTTGCTGTCTACTCCTCGTTACACAGTCGGTAGCTCAGAAACTCAGGAAAGGGGACTTTAGGAAGTCAAAATCGTAACAATTTCCCGGGGGAACATGCCCCCAACCCCCCTAGAAGCTTGCGCCTTCGGTGCTTGTTAAGGAAATCGATCAGTATTTATCTTAGATCCGCGCGTGAAAACGAAATCCTTCTTTAAGAGTGATATTTAAGACCACGATGCATAGGGATGTGGAAAGGACTGAAATTAAGGAAAGTGTAACCATTTTGTCCAGTTGCTCAAACGTTGGCTAACAACTAAATTTAAATGTTTAAATTGAGAACTAAGGGTTACACAACATATATACAATTTATCGATCTGGGGCAATCGTTTATACGGTCACTTGCGACAACTTTATTCCTTTCGATTTAAAAGAAAATTATAATTTATTGTCCAGTAGAGTCAAACTAATTCCATAGGTTTACGCTTTCTTTACGTTCATGCAAGAGGAGCGAAAAATTCATTTGAATACCATTTGATGATTTTTAAATCGGTTTTTGCCATCTTAGTATCTTCATTGAAAATCATGAACATACCGCAAAACACGCTCGGCTCAACTTTTCTAACTTTCATTTTTAATCTAACGTATGATCCTCGACCATTAGAACTAATCGAACTTCAGTGAAGTTCGATTACGTTCGATCGCTTTTATTTTCTTTTAGAGTTTGACGTTACTCGATTACGCTCGATAAGTTTGAATTGATTCTTGCAGTTACAGCAGCTCCAGCAATGCGGATTCCCTGTGGTTAAAAATGCGCCTGAAATCTTTGAAGCTGTTTCATGATTATTTGGTATTGCTTTAAAAACTGATTCTGGAAACACATTGGAATAAAAACAAACCCGAACCATAATGATTTTCTACTCTACCTCAACTATAAGTTCATGCTATTTGGCTTTCGATGACAACAATGAAAATGGATTGTCACCTGAAATTAAGACTGGGCCGATTTTCTTTAAGTCTATTAACTTTACTATTGTCGAAAAATCCGCACCAAAAGCTATGTGATCACGTTTTGTCTCCCTTTGAGAGATCACAAGGTATCTTTCTCTTAAAGGCCGTGGTACTAAACAATCGAGCACCAGGTCAGTTTTGACCCGAAATGAACACTTCAACAACAACTTTAGAAAGCAATAAGATTTAAGTCTAGAAAGTTCTTTTCATGAAACAAAAGCTTAGTTATTCAGGTTTTGTCCCGAATCAATGATCATCATTTGCAAATTTCATTGAAAAATCATTCAGCATGACAAGCGGATTGCATGATTAATAGCAGAACTACGTCGTAAGTTTTATTTGAATAGGTATAGAGCCAGTTATTGTTCAATATCACTTGAGTTAGTACTTCCCGCGATAAGTGAACTTTCGTTTAAAAACAACCCACCCAGAACAATTCGTGAGTAAAGTGCTATATAGTTTGAATAAAACAAGGACTAAGAATGCTTGTGTAAACTGACCATTTTCCAATAAATTTAGCTTAGATGTACTTAACTATGGCACATTCTGAAGATTTAAACAGACACTTCCCCAGCGTATTGGTTTAACCAGACACGCTGACAGTTAAATTCCCGTCTTGGTTCGCGCGTTATCAAAAGACATGCAAATCTGATATCCGCAATTAGTCGCCCACTTTAAAAGTCCGCAATGGATAACTTGGAGACTCCTTTTCAAGGCGTTTCAATTCAGTATACGTGCAGCAGTCCTTTTGCGTATCATTTCAGTTACAGCTGGTACACAGTTATCAAAAATGAGCAAAAGGCCTTGTTTTTGATTACCAGTTGCAATGCTTGAATGACCTTAGAATTTCTAAAACAATAAACTAACTTTGGCTATGTATGCAAAACGTTTTTGTTAAAACCCAGGCTGCACTAGAAGGTTTACGAAATGTGGGCACAAATGTTCTATACATATCCTTCTACACAGTTTTATCTGATTCCTAAACATTAATTTTTAACTCAAGATAGATGATCCTTTTTTCTGCACTTTTGCCAGGTGCAAAATTTCATTTATAAATAACTTTTCTAACACAACAAGCTAAAGAAAAGTTAGCCAAACTTGAAAGGAACTCATTATTAACCAATCGCATTGCTGTAAACGGCTTATTTGGAAGCCAAGCGTGGATAAGTGACAGGTTTATGAAAAGAACATTTCGGAACTTTAAATCAACGCCCCTTATTCTCGCGTTATCAATTGCATACGACTTGCTTATATAAGTTCATTGGTGCATTTTTCCTGTTGCGTGGCACTGAGTAGCCAAAGTTGCTAAGCGCAGGGTTGCAGAGAAATGTCGTCTTTGTTTAGCGAAGAGACTAAGAGAAGGCTAGAAGTGAATTTGGTATGTGTCTCTAATGATAATAGAATAACAAGTCATTGCGAATAAGTAGTTTTTTTGCTTTCAACAGACTTAATTTGGACACATGTGGATCAGGAATGTTCCGTTTAGTCAAAAGGGGTGGATTAAGATATAATGGGTAAATCTTGCTCTGTTTTCAAATTATTAAATTAAATTGCACCATTTGAAGATCTCTTTTTGGTGAAAAAAACTGGTCTTATGCGAGGTTTGCATGCTATTCCACTGATTCCTCATTTTTCAGGAAACGAAATTCCATCTTTGCATTTGCAATTAAGTTAAGGTCCCGTTTTAAAGACCTTAATTTGCATTGACTGTGATAATTGAATTGGAACCGTTTGTTTCTTAGTTTAAAGCGAAAGTTCTGTTGTAGCTTATCACTACTTGACTTATCTAAGGCCAGTATTTATTTTTTTTTTCAGTTGAGTCAACTGGCAATGCCGGTCAATTTTGAGGCAGAACCACATCAAGAGGGGCGCTCAAGAATGTTCAGCGACAACGAGGTGTTCTCTTTCCTTTATGGCAAAACGAGACCACAGGCAGTCAATAAGGATGTTGTAAGCGCGCAGTCAGTGACACAGGCATCCAATACAGGTAAACTATGCTCTAATATCACTTTGCCGTGCAAACCCTCACTCACTCACGCGCAACTGCGCAAAGATCGATTAGAGCACGCGTGACACTCGCCACAAATTCATGCAATACCGGTAAATGTTGAAATACGTACATGCTTATGTTGATATTTATCCCTTCCACTTGAAGCATGTGATACAGGGGCATACAGTTCGAACTAGAGGTCAGGGGAACCGACTTTAAGCACTTAATCGTAATAATGTGAAGGTCAAGTTTTCCTTTATTCAGCTCAGAAAAATGAAGTCAAGTGATAATTCGAGTGCACAAAATCCCGTTAAAGTCAAATCGCCGAAGACATGGAGTCATTTTGCAGACTGGCTTTTCACTAGTTCATGCAACTTTGAATCATCAGCAACGACATTAAATTACTACGTTATCTTGATGTTACATTTAGTTAGTCGGAGTTAGGCGCTAAAAGTTAATTGCGAAGACAGATCAACAACACAGAAAACAAGAGGAAATCCAACTATATTTCGTGAAACATAAAGGAGTAATGCGAACAGACGTATCGTAACGTCAAAGTAGTCAAACTTGACATTTTTCATGTACGAGCGGTAGTTGAATGTAGTGCTCTGTCAAGGGAATATGTCTATTGGCTAGAGTTTGAAAAGAAGTGGAAAAATTCGAGATTAGCGAGACAAACTTATGGACAGATTGGTATGTGTTTAAAGAGCATTTTATCCGCACGTTCTCTAACCCCGTAATAACATGGTGTTATTTGATTTTCATTATATGTAAAGCTTGCCCTAGAGCTCTGTACAGTACCGCAAATGATCCACGACAATTGTCGACCTTAAATGATCCCGTGAAAAGCAAATGGATTTTAGGCATTGATGGTGAATGGTGCTGAGAACATCAACAACGCTTAAAACAATGAAAAGAGTAAAACGATAAATAACCGATTTGTTTCTCCTCAATCGTTTCTCCTTTCTTTCAAGCATTGGATTAATTAACAATTAAAGAATGAGGCTGAGTATTTTATGAAGAATTATGGAGATCGAGGAGGGTGTTATCCTTCGAGCCCTTAGGCCGAGGCGGATAACACCCTCCGAGATCTCCATAATTCTTCATATGATGCGAAGGCCGCGGAATTCAATAATTGTTTTATTATTCAATCAAAACAATTCCTAGTTTAAAAACATAGCTAAAACATGCTTACCTCCATCGATGTTAAGTTTATCTTGGATAGTGCACGTTCAGGGTTGTTCAGCTCCGCAAATATTCTCCAAATAGCAGATACCGCCCTTCGAGTTGCCTTCTTGTTGTTCTTGTCATGTTTTTAGCATTACTTCGCCTAGTTCTTACTCCTGAAATGAGTGAAATGTCTGCCATTTGTGTTTTCACAACCAAAACAACTGAACCTCTTCACCAGGTCTTCTCGGTTAACGGTGTATTAACCTGCAAGGAAGCTGCACTTTTGACTTCGTCGGTTGATTAATCCCAAAATTCTTCAAAATTTGGTCCGTCACCAGTAGCTGGTTATGATAAATTATGCGTATGCTTTTAGCCAATCAGAATCGGGGAAATGTTTTAATGAATAATAATGTGTTTTAATTCCATCTTTCAGATTGCGATTTCTGTCGAACGATGCCGCACGGGAGCTGTCCCATGCATAGGCATCCCAGTCCATTGCTGCCTGAAAAAGCGCTCACTTATGCAGTAACGTCAATACCACCAGCATGTAAGCTGCGTGCATCGAATGTAGGGAAAGGATACGGTGTTTTCATCAATCAAAACATTCCCCTTGGGACCTGGATTGGCCCATACGAGGGCACACGAATTCGTCCAAGTGATGTCACACGTAATATGGATACATCGCACATGTGGGAGGTAACATACACTTTGATTACGTTTATGCCCACCACCATATTAAAAATCCTCATAAACTTTGTTCACCTCAGGTGAAAAGAAAAAACATACAGTCTAAGAGTACAAACATGAAGAGAGTGTGAAAGAAATAAAAAGTCAAAGACACGTATCCATAAACATGATTCAGTTTTCACACGTTTTTCGAAAGGAGATCAAAAGCGCCATTTTTATTTAAACTAATAGCCCCAAAACTTGACAATCAATCGAAGAACCGACATATTTACCATTTTGAAGCTAACACAGTATAAAGTTACTGTTTCCTATTGGTTAATTTCCAGTTCACCATGGCCAAGCTGTCCCTAAATTACATTTATATTCAACAACTAGAAGACGAGCTCAAGATTCTTATCGGCAAATAGTTAGCAAAAGAGAAAAACAAGAGCAATTTTTGATAATTTTTACTCGATAATCATAGGCTAAATTCCCCATCCGTGTCACTCTATGAGCTGCTAGACAGCGAGTACCTCAGCCAATCAGATTGGAGGATTTATATCAGCAAAAAAGCTTGTCAGCGAGATCCATGCTCTCTATGGATAACAGACATCAAAAAGGGTCCCCTAGTCCTAACTCTTACCTAATTCCTACGGAAATTATAAATAACTGCGTCTAATATGAAGGACCCAAGGTCCGAGTTAAGTGCATTTCAGGATATAAGTAGCCTCCCACGCAGCCTAGTATGTAGGTAACGAACTCAAGGGGAGTCGTATTTCCCTCCTCCCACCTCTCGAGGCCAGGAAATAACTACGCGTTTTATATCACCTCTTAAGAAACACTGTTTCTAAAGAGTTAGCAGTTAGTTACCAGCGCGTCACCAGTAACGATCCCAGAAGTCTTTGCGAAAGCTAACTGGGCCCAGTTTCGATATCGTTCCTAGAGCGGTGAATAGAAATGCAGCACTTTAAGAGAATTGTTCTTTTTGACAGATCTATGAAGGCAACACGCTATCGCATTACATTGACGGAAGTGACGAGAACGTTGCAAGTTGGATGCGTTTCATCCGTTGTGCCAGGCATAAGGAAGAACAGAATCTCTTCTCTTTTCAATACAACGGGAATATATACTACCGAGCGTTCAAGGATATTCCATGTGGCACAGAGCTGCTTGTGTGGTATGACGAGAAGTATCCAATGTACATGGGAATTCCCCTGGGAATGGAAGTGGGCGCTGTGTACGTTCCCACTACCACCACCACCACAGCTCAGCGTAAGTCAACAGTCAGTCAGTTAGGGCCAGTCAGATAATTAGTCAGTCAGTTAGTCCGTAAGACAGTTTGTTCACTCATAGTTAGTCAGTCAGGGAGGCAGACAGATGAAAAGTCAAATGGTCAGTTTGTTATGCAGGGAGTCTGGTACCCTGGTCCCAGAGGTTTTTCTTGATTTTTCTTTGCGAAAGAGATCAAGAGCAAGCCGCGAAGCGGCGACAACGAGTTGCGAAAGCGACGAGGAGAGAGAGAAAAACCTCTGGTTACCTTGGCCTCGAATTTTTAAGCGGGGGTAGACCTGGGGGAAATTATGTTATGAACAAACCATCTCCACTTGGGTGGTAAAGAGTGATTCGTTAATCGGGGTCAAGCTAAAGCATGTGTCAACAATGGGCGACAAGAGTCCAGGAATAAGAACACCACTTAAAGAAACCAACACTGTTCCAAACGACTGCTACAGGATTTGCAGAATTTATGTAAAAATAAGTGGCCGAACTAAAATCAACGTTTTTCGGTATAATAACAACGATTTTTCACAAACGTTGTCATCTGTTACGCAGTTCGCGGATACGCGAGTCCACAACAGACTTGAGAGGACAGACAACCAAAATTATTGCATGGCGAGGGTATGAGTAGCCTCTTAAGGAAAGGTACTTGCAATATACTTTCCATGTCCGGTTGATAAAATGGTGAACACATCCTTTAGACTCAAGGCGGCGAACAACGCTTTTTTTGGTTGCTCAGTGAGACTCAGGAAAGCGCTCATCAAGTACCGAGGTCAAAATTTCTTCGAATATTCTTTCAGGAACAACCTCCATGTCAAAATCTCGAAATATGGAGTGCCTTTACGTGCCTGGGTCCCGTGCAAATGTTATTGCGAGTGCAGTATACAAACAATTTTCTTCCCTGGTAGAGAGAGGCAAAATTTACCTTCAGAAATGAGGTGTAAAAATCTTCTGCGTCCCCTCGGTAGTTACAATTAAACGAGCCAATCAAATTGTTTTGCGTGTTTGAAAAAATATCAACCAATCAACGCCTGAGGGTCAGATCCTGACCCTGTCGTCTGCATGAAAGTGAGATTCGAGGCCAAAGTAACCAGAGGTTTTTCTCTCTCTCCTCGTCGCTTTCGCAACTCGTTGTCGCCGCTTCGCGGCTTGCTCTTGATCTCTTTCGCAAAGAAAAATCAAGAAAAACCTCTGGGACCAGGGTAGGAGTCTGTTTGTTGAGTAGCAATGTATTGGGTGATCGGTACAAAAAATATATTGGCAGATTAGCCTGCGTCGCAGACGTAATTAAACCTCGGTAACTAAAGTCTGCGAGACAGCGCAGATGTCCTTGTTCCGGGCCCCCAACGGACTCAACGAATTACCGGAAGAGCGTTTCCAATTTCGTTTCATCTTGACTGGCAAATCGACAGTGGTATTTTTAACAAGCCAGTCATGGCGTGTACTCAAATCCTGGTACACAGGGCGCCCAGAACAAGGATTTCGGCGCTGTTTCTCAGACGGACTTAACCAGAGTTTAGTCTCGTCTACAGCGCAGGCTATTGGCAGGTCAGGGTCAACATTCTGAACTCTACCAAAACATGGAAAGGAGCAATTCTCACCACTTCTCTTGTCTATCAGTCATAGCTGTAGAATTGCGGTTTTACTAAGTAACTGGAGTCAAAGACACCAAACAGTCAACGAGTTAAGTCAATCAAACTTTCACTGAGCCGATGACAGTTTGTCATTTGCTTTAATCTTCACACTAATTGGGCAGGCTTCAGATGGCATGCAGTCGTTCACATGAGACAACTTTTTAGTTAATGGACAGTTCGACTATTAATGAATTAACCATTAACTTTTCATCCAGTCAATTTTGACACCAATTGTTATCTTTGACTATTGGCTAGTCGCTCTATAAACGGATTAAGTACCCGGTCACTCTTTCATTTAACTTGTCAGTCCACTAGTCGTTCATTGATAAGATATCCTCTTAACAGTTTTTTTTTTTAAATCTCGACTCCACAACAACATTCTTAATCCAATTTGCAGACCAGCCCGAGAGACAACAAAATGCCACAGCATTACAGCGGTCTGACCGATCTTTGGATAAAGAATCTCCACCAATCAAACCTCAAGATACAGCAGGGCAGTATTCCAACACAGCTACTAGCTCCAGGCTCACTCCGAGCACAAGCCCTTCAAGGAGTTACCAAGGTAACGAAATTGTCCAATTATTTAATTTCTTCACTGAGTGTTGGTCAATATGGAAGCTGCCTTTTCGTCCATTTTTCAACAAAGCCTCTCAAAAGCTACCTTACAGTTAACTTTTAATAACGGACTCTTTATAAATCGTATCTGGTGGATGTACTGCCAACAATAAGCACGTTTATAATTACACCGAATGATCTATTCAGGATGTAATATATTGAATTTAACCTTTATATCAATATTAAAAATCCTTCGTTGTCTTTATTGATTTAGTCTCAGATAGAACTTCTGAAATTGCTCTCACTTTATTTATTTATTCGTTCGTTCATATTCATTCATTCAAGTTGAAACTAATACAGTCATAAAGAACGAGCGTCCAGTTAGTGCTGACAACTCAAGAACAATAAAAGAAACTTCCTGGCCCACACCATTAAGACCTTATGATACACGATTTATTTGTTTGTCCGTTTCCAGATTCAAGATCTCCACAAGCTGATTCAAAGAATTTGCCTCCACTTATCCCTACAAAGTCTCTGCCAAAGAGATCTGCTTCTGTTGACAGTTTACCTCCAGATCAACGAACGCCAACAAGCAATGAACCGAATTCCCACTTTCAGCTAAGCGAATTAACCTCTTGGCAGTGCCAGCAATGTCACAAGACCTTCACCCAGCGAGTGGCTTTACAAATGCATGTGTGTCAAAGTCAACCAACCAAGCCTTTTCAGTGTGGACAGTGCGGTAGCACTTTTAATAATTCGTCAGAACTGCGCACGCATGTGGTTTCCCATACCACTGAGCGGCCTTTCAAATGTGGCTTTTGCTCGCGCACATTTGTTGGTGCGACAACGCTGAACAACCACGTTCGTACACACATGGGACAGAAACCTTTTAGCTGTGAAAAGTGCGGAAAGGCGTTTTCACAAGCCATGCATCTCGCGAGACACGCATGCGAATTAAGTAGCGGCTCAAGCGGAATTGAATCAGTTGTTCCTCACCCATTAACGAGCTGAATATGAATCAAAGTTGGGCCAACATCTTTGCGTGCTTTCTTTTGTTAACGGTGTTGATAGGGTGGCAAAACTTCCTCTTGCTTATGGTACAAAAGACGTTAAGTTATGATTAAGTTACCGTGAAGTTAGTTTGGCCCCGCTCCGCTTTTTGCTATGTAAATAGTACAGCATGGTTGTAAATAATAACATGCAAATTTCTGATCTTGCAGGCGCTTCTAATCCGTGGGTAAAAATAGTTTCCGTTGGTTGTCAAACAGTCTGTAAATAGTGAAATACAACAATGAAAATTTTATACAGCAACAGTCTTGAGTTCAGATGATTCATATAATCATAGTCATTTTTTCTCATAACGAGACTACTAACAGACAGACGCAATGCTAGTCTTTACTTTACAAGGAATTCGCAAATTTGGCCCGTTGTGCAGTGATTTTGTTACAAATAGTTATGGTGAGTCCTAGGACTCATCTAGAGAGAGATAATGAGTCCCTGTCCAGAACCATTGAGTCCCAGTTTGAAAAAAACGAGTCCCTAGGTCTTTATGTAACCACACAGTTAATCTGAAGACAAACTCCAAAACTCTGTATTACAGTTTACTGAAATAAAAATGTAGTCCTTCTATTGTCAAGCACAACAAAGACTAAAAGAAATATACGTCGTTAAACAACAGCCAAAAAGAAACAGTATATTCTACAAAAACATCTTCAGATCGATTAATGGATCTTTGCGTCCTACGGGACGCAAACCACGCCATGCGCATACCATGCGTCTTTGGGGATTTTTATGCGTCAGGGACGCAGGACGCAGAGGTAACAAAATCACTGTTTGTGTCTGTGCAGCTAAGAGCTACTAAAACAGGACCGAGTTGCTCGAAGGATTCATTCAAATCCAGGTTTCGTTACCATGACGACTCATATGCTACATTTATAGTTATAAGATTACAAAAGTAAAGCGCGCGTTCCGATTGGCCAATTACACATTTACTAATTACCCATGAGTGAATGCTGACGAAAGCTAACGCGTGCCCAACGCAGTGCGCGACTGTCTTTTGTTGTTGACTCAAGAAGCTTGAGGCAACCACGCTTCCTTCGTGTTAAGCAACTTCCCTCCCACTCCGCGCCGCCCTCCCCACCCTCAACCCACGCATTGTTGACCACCGGTAGTTGAAATGCTGTTGTAATACTGTAAAAAATGCATTAAGCGGAGCCCATATTGAGAGGTCACCCTAAACTTAGCGGGGAGTAGTCTCCGTCATTACTGCTCCTGAACTTTCCTTGCCTTATTTCAGTAAAACTGACTCGTCAGCTTAGCGGACACAGGAGAGAGAGCCGAGATTCATCCGGGATATCAATAACCGATATTTTTGCAGTCACGGTTGATGTATGCCTAGGCACATTAACATCTCTTTATTCTATTCATCCCATGACCTCTTTCTTTTGATTGTAGTCGGCATAATATGGTAATTGTGTTCATCAATGGACAAACTGTTTGTCTGTTGTGAGATGCAGAGCAATCTGAGAAGCAAAACGCATATGTTCGCTGTTTAGTGCTGGGTTGTCGGTGATATCTCTCTAAGCAGAAGAACTTTAACACACTTTAGAGCTACCGAAAATTAATTCTTTCATTTTAACGAAAAAAAAAACCAATTTCTTCAAAAGGCTATCCACAGCACATGGAATATTACAGCTAAAAGTTCTGTTGACACGTTTGAGTCAGTTTCAATTAATTACTTCTGCTAGTAGAGTTCGTGTCGTTTCTCAATTATAAATGTAAAGAATGTTTAGCTGAATATTGCCTTTTGAGCTCAAAAGACATTAAGTTTTATTTTTATATTACTCTTTCTGTTTGTTCTGATAATCTTTTGTTGTCTGCGACACAAAGTTCAAATCCAAGCACTTCACGGAGCGGTGAATTCTTTCTGGAAGACCGGAGACCGGCTAGTTAATAAAGTTTCTCATATTAGTCGCTGTCTGGCAAGACTGGCCAATATAACTTTGGGTTCCGATTTTTATAATTTATTGGTAGTTAAATAAGAAGCATTTCCTTCGTTGGGCGATAATAAATAAATGTTTTTCTTCTCCTTTCCGGCCTTTCAAAAAAAGCAAGGTAATGCTAACATAGCTGTAAGTAATTGTATCCTCAACTTTTTTCAGTTCTCACAAAAGGCATCAAGATTCAAGAAAACCTCTTGAAGCCAATGGTCACTGCTATCAGGAGCAGATTAGGGTTATTTGCTATAGAGATATGTATCTTCAGTCTAGGCCCCTTAAAAAATCAAGTTGTCTTATATATTTTATGCAACAAAACACCACAAAAACGAGCAGAAAAAACGTTACATGAATTCCGCCAGAAGGATGTGAGGACTGGTTTTGGTTAACAATTATTTGAGAATCTCAAGTAGAAATTTAATTCTGTTTTACAGGTAGAAAATAGAAAATATTGCGGAAAAAAAAACCGACATGACCTTTTTTCTTAAAAGTTGTGTTGATTAAGAATAGTTGAACACCAATATTTCAGTAGTTAGGAACAGAATCTAGCCCACCCCTGGAACGTTCCAGGCAACTTACATAAAGATGCACAGTAGCAATGATGTCACCGATTTTTATACACGAGTAGTTTTATAATGTATGATAACTTAGGCGATGCTCATTTGGCGCTAAAGGAATCACTTAATAATTTATGATAAGAAAGGTGTATAAGACTAGTTCAAAAATTGATCATTCAAAAAAGACAAGATAGATTGAGTGAATTCATCCTTAACAGTTCGCTATGTCATTCTTTTTCCATTTTAAAATGTCTCGCCCTCGAGCCTACCATTACACGTTCGGAAACTTTGATGTAATAATTTATTTTGCTCCAAAATGGCGCGAACTTAGCTCAACTGTCAATGTAAATTACTAAATAGAGTACCTCCCTTCTTTTTTTTCAAAGTAAAACGTGATTGACACTAATTATCATGACAACAAAGATCTTTTCATTCAAGGACCTTTAATTTATCACAAACGCGCCAAAATATTAACCGTCCTTGAGCGGTTTAAATTAAAATATTGCAATACACCAGAGCGTGTGTCATGCTGACGTCTCGCTAACTTCTCTAACAATATAAAGGGCATTTCGTTGTTGAAACAAGAATTTACCCCGGCAATTTTGATAAAACGGACAAGGCGAAACGATAATGGATATACTTATGGATCATGAGGTAAGCAGATTTCGCTTAATGCCAAAACATTATATAGAATGAACGCTGAGGCGCATTATACGATATAGCATACCAACGTGATAGTTATTAAACAGCTGATATAAAGATATTTAGCTTTAGTAGCAGATGGCTAGAAGTTAAAGCAGGTATAACTCAGTTATAAAACACAGTAATCTAACCGTTTACTTTATGCAACTTTCGAACGGACTGGCATTTTCTACCCGGTACAGAAATTTACAACCGTTAATCGTTCGCTGACGCCAGTAAACACGAACAATGTAAAATCACGCTTCATTAGCCCCCATGTTTACATCTATTCCATTTCACTGCATTTGCAAACTGTTTTTATTCTAACGTCTAGGGGGCCAACGATTGGAACACACTAGCCACGCAAAAACACCTCAGTTAATGTTGTCACTTCATCAACTTGGATGAAATTTAGCACATTTACTACAGTCGAAAAGTCAACACGCGACGTTTCGAACTTACAAAGCCCTTTGTTAGAGCGAAGCAGGAATTAAAAAAAAAAATACTACTTCCGACGGCCGAGCATAACCTTTGCTTTATTTCCTTTGAAGGATGTTTTAACTAAATAATATTCAGGGGCACGCAACGACTACTTTCTGTGAAATAACTGTTCGAAGGAACACTATTTCCTAGAAATTTCCAAAAATCCAGAAAGGCTAAAAGATTTTGGATAATTGTTCCATTCGTGTAAGATATTTGGAGTTTTTCCATTAACTTACCTACGATTTTCCTAGCTTGTATTTTTCACATTTTATTACCAAGATGTTGCGATTATTTTTAAGAAAGGTCGCCCAATGTAAGGGAATCTGGATTCCGGAGTCCTCGAAATTTTTGCTTGTGGAATTCGGAATCTTGGAAAAATTTGCTGTGGAATCCGGAGTCCTGGGCTTTGGAATCCGGAATACAGCTCAAGAAATCCAGAATGCCACTAACGATTGGAATCCGGAATCCAAGTTCCACTGAGAAAGACCGGAATCCAGTACCCGGAATCCGGAATCCGGAATCCGAGACGTGGAATTCAGAATCTAAGAGTGGATGGCTTGGATTCCCTTACATGGGGAGAAAGGTCTCCTAAAAAAACCGGTGTAACGTACCCTGGCATCTTCCAATGAAAATACGGCTACTTCCCGGCCTCTAACATTTGACCGGACCCACATTAGCCTGTGCCAGGCTCTCAGATAGTATAGTGGGGACGTATTGAAACGAGCAAAGCGAAAATATGACGCGCGCGACTTTTACTGAACGACTTTTCACCACTATTTTAGCCTGCTCCGTCGCCAACGCCCCCTTTCCCGCGTCTTATATTCGCTTTGCTCGTTTTAATACGTCCCCACTATACTATCTGAGAGCCTGGCACAGGCTAGACCCACATCTGAGCAGGTAACAGTTTCGGATGAGAAGAAAAAGCCACTTAAAACTTTCGAGATGACCAAATTTCCTCCAAGGCATTTACATCCGATCAGAAAAATAGCTTTTAATTTAGGGCAGCTCCAGATTAACCATACGGGCTTCTAAAGCATAGAGAAACCATTTGAGACATTTCTGACATATATGGAAACATTCGGTCGTTGGTTGGCCCTGTGTATTGACTCAGGATATGCTAAATCACCGTAAAAAACTTTAAGGGCCAGCTATTTAAATAGAGTTTAGCCAGTGTTTAACAAAACCGCGTTCTAAGCTATTTTCAGTTTGCCAAATGCTTTTATGCACACACCATTCACCGTGAACAGTTTTATGAAACCATATAGCGCAGACTAGAAACGCATTTTTCTACTTACAATAACCCACTAAGGAAGAGATCTGGAGGTCCAAAGATTTCCTAAATCGCGGTCTAAGCTAGACGTCCTTTAAATAATCGACCCTAAGTGTCCAGGTTCCAGAGATTCCGTTTCATTTCAGGCACCGTGGCTGCCTCTGGTTAGATGTTACTGAATCAAAGTCGCTCAACTGTTAACTTGATTCAAAGGGAAAAAGCGAACAAACAAAAAACAACAACTATTTTTGTGCCCCAGTGCAAGGTCGAGAACTTGTATACGGGCACTGTTCGTGATCATTTGCGGTCTGGGGATCATTTGCAATACTGTACAGATTTCGGCTCCACTACGCCGTACAACATGAATAGAAAACCATTATGCCTATTTTGGCTGTTTCGGCCGAGCACCACAGAAAAAACAATAGGTTATACAACAACTTCGATTACATTCGAACATGTGGTAGATAACAGAGCTGAGCGACAGTTTACAAAGAATACTGTCAGAGGGGAGGCCGGAATATACCAACCGGAAAAAAAACCCGTAGGGAAAAAACTCAACAGGAAATCTGGGAAGGATCCATGGCTCATGCTCTGAAAAGCCACTTCTACGAAGGTTACACGCCTGGAGGGTCTCTGCCCACATTTGTTTAGCATGTATTCCAACAAGCACGGTCAATTCGAAATAATTATTCGAAACGAAAACAAGTAAAACCCTCGCGAAAGCGAACTGTCACTAATAAATCAAATATATACTAACAGTAAATAAATAAAAAATAACGTGGGCTAGACGAGGTGTCCGCCTAGAATGTTTTCCCACGTGATAAGCATCCCTTTTATAGCACTCCATTCTACCCATACTGCACTTCAACTGAAACCGTCCCAGTAGTATGGTGTATGGGGGTACGAGCGCATTTTCCATATTTTGGATTTGACCTTGGGATCCGACCACCTGGCCACGAGAGTAAACTCATTTTTATTGTACAATTTTGGAGAAATTGTAAATGCAGAGACTAGGAATGTGCTCAAATAACTTGAACTACTTGCAAAATAAGACATCACGTCTTCACCACATTCGACGCACGTATAAGAAACGTAAAATGTAAAAATAAAAATGCTCTAGAAGTTTTAAAACGTTTTTAAAAAGTTTTTTTTTTTAAATTTCTAGAGCATTTTATTTTTACATTTTACATTTCTTAAACGTGCGTCGAATGTGGTAAAGACGTGATGTCTTATTTCGCACGTAGTTCAAGTTATTATATAATTAGATTACATGAATACTGAATAAAACCGACAGTTGAACTGACAGTTGAACTGGTAGTTGAACTGTTGGTTTTATACAGTATTTGTGTCACCTAATTATATAAAAAAATGAGTTTACTCAAGTGGCCAGGTGGTCTGATCCCAAGGTCAAATGCAAAATATGGAAAATGTGCTCATACCCCCATATACTATACTACTCGCCCCAGTCCCCACTGCTCCCGTGGCACAGAAAAATTTCTTTTCCGGCTAATTCGTATCCACTCAAACGCCGAAAATTCTATTTTACGTAAAGAACAAAACCGTCAGACCTGACCAGTGCTGTCGTAATATTTCTAATTCATTAATAAGACGCAATAAGTCAGTATTTTTCGATGTATCAAATTAGCTTCAAATGAATGAAAATAAAAAATATCACTTTGGCAAAAACACCTGAGAAAATAACAAAGAGGGTTACGGCAAGTGACAAAGAATGAAGGACCGATTATGTATTTGAAGGATATTGTACACTGCTTACAAAAAAAAGGAAAATTAAGACGTAGGCGAGGTGAACCTCCTTCAAGTCAACAAAACTGACGGTTTGTTCTAAACCACTGCATTGTAACAGCTATCTCCACCTTTAGAATGTACTGAGTAACAAAGAAATTCGGCTAAAATTTTTATGTCTTTCTTCATGTTTTGAGTTAGACAACGGCTACTCGAATAACTCGCTTGAATTAAGTTCGACGTCTGAAACCAAGTCGTGCAAGAGTAGTGCTACAATCGAGCCAGCTTAGATGGTTAATAGCAAGACTTATGAAATATTATACTCTCTTGTACTTTCTTTTATTTTTCCATTTATTATTTATTTATTTATTGTTTTGCTTTCCCCTGATGCAGGAACCGAGACTTAATGCGGCAAAAATATTAATTGCAGATCAAGATCGGAAAAATCTTTCTCATCACCCAGCGAAAAAACGTCGTGGTACATTTCTGTTCCCAGAACCAACTGGCCCTCACCCTCAACGCAGGAAAAATCACGATAGTTCCAGTGCCTCCTCATGCGTCACTACAACAAAGAAATTTACTTTCGAAGAACTGCAGAGACTTCTTTTCACTAAAAACGACATTCAAGAGATCAGTGTCAAGCGTCCAGTGGAATCACGGCAAAATGAGTGCTTTTGTGAGTATATAATAGAGACCTTTAGATTCCAGGACGAGGACGACTTCGAGTACGAGATTTGACTTCACGTTTTTTCGCGTATTCTGAAATTATAGACTCCCCGGAAAGCTTCATTTTCCCATTTTTCACTAGAAATGTTAGCACTGTTACCTTTAGTAAAGGAGGTTACACCCTCTCGCGATCGCAAAATGATAAAACTTTTAACATTTGATAACTTGTTTGTGCCACTTCGACATTCTCGCTAAAACTCGTAGTAGAATGACGACGGCTACCACATTTTCCCGCCAAAATGACGCTGGTTCACGCGCCAGCACTACGTAGTATTGAGAAAATCTCGTACTCGTAGTCGTTCTCGTCTTAGGATCTAAAGGTCTCTAATACCCGACCGGGACATTTAACTGCCTTAGTTAGTTTCCACCAGTGATAGAGAGAGGGCAGCGCAAATGAGAGAGCATCTTAAATTTAACGGCAAGGTGAAAAACATTACCTGATCTGGGAACACCTCTGGTTTTCGAACGCCATTTTGAAAAATGTGAATTTCTTCCCTTTTTTGTGCTTACCGAATGGAACTATGGGTAGAAACACCAAGTCAAACCGAACAAATAACGAGCAAAGCCGGTGGGAATACGAAATTATCCGATTTTTGAAATGGCCGCCATGATGTGAAATAACAAGGTAGTTAGCAGTGGGAAAAGGGGGTGTATACAGTCCCGCACACAAGTCTTTCCTTGGAACGACGAGTCCTATCTGAATACAATCGATTTCGCCACTTCGCCTACTCTAGAATTATGAACTAACAATCGATTTCGCCACTTCGCCTACTCTAGAATTAAGAACTAACAATCGATTTCGCCACTTCGCCTACTCTAGAATTATGAACTAGAGGTTAAAAATTGTAAGTATAATGTGGCGAGCAGATGCTGGGCAGTGAAACATCATCTGAGAAACGATGAACTAACATATACGTTTTGCTAATTATAAACCCTTTTATATGGCCGATTTATTGTTGTGAATAAACGACTTCAAGGGAGCGCCAAAATCACCAGTTCTTTGTGATTTGGGTCTTTATTGGCCAGTTTCAATCATACCAAAATAATTTGAAACTGTTTGTGCGCGCCACAGGACACAGCGACAGGACACCCAAGGAACCAAGGAGACCCAAAGATTAGGCTGCTGCTCGCCTGGAGGCGCGCAGCCATTACTCTGATCATAATGGTATTTCAATTGTTTCAGGGTGTGATGCCACTAAGACAAATCCAAACTTTCAATGTCCCATGCATAAGCATGACAATGCAGTCGTGAAGAAGACATCACAGTTACCACTGGCTCTGAGATCACTTCCGCCGGAAGTTGGTTTGTGTACCTCCACTATCCCCGGGCAGGAATGTGGTATTTGCGCCAAGCGAAAGATTCCTGTTGGTGCGTGGATTGGCCCTTATGAAGGAAAATTTTTGAAGCCGAAAGAGCTGTCTTCAACGACCGATACATCATATATGTGGGAGGTATGTTCACGAAAGAGTGGTTATTTCAGTATTTTGCAAAAAAAAGTTTATTTTGAGATGCGACTCTTCAGTTAAAAATAAAAGAGGTCGATAATATGTGACAAGCGCTAAGGGTGGACTATTTAACGAGCAGTAGGAGACTTCATCATCTATCACAACAAAGCCGTAGAATTTTAATAGCATATTGTATAAATCTATTTTTGTTTGGTGTACACTACCCTCTCTACCACCAGAACCTCTCTTACGTAATCGAGAAAGACTCCGCTTGAATCTTTTTTGAGCTTGCGTCTTCAAAGACTTCACTCGATTCAGACAGAGCCTCCTTTTCTCCTGCTTACGGGGGGGAGGTGGGGGGGGGGGGGGGGTGGTACAAAAAACATCAAAAAAAATAACCGGTTCCAATCCATTAATTTTTAAAATTTTTCAAATTGTTGTCCGCAAGGTTAATTTTGTGGGAGGGATTGTAAACCTACAAACTGGGTGTGATTTATTTGTTCTGATCGACACAAAAAGGAACAAAATCTATTTGCGTTTCAGTACTTGGGCAGAATATTCTATCGTGCATTCAAGGATATTCTACCTGGAGAAGAAATGCTAGTATGGTACGATGAAAAATACCCACAATACCTTGGAATTCCATGGACAATATTTGACCTAGCAGCTGCAGTTCCTCCTGGTAGGTGGTCCTAAGGTTACCATTCTTCGTTCTTTTTTGTGTTATCTAATCTGAAGAAAGATAGCATTCAGTTTACATTTTTTTCAAAATGTGAGTTTTATCCCCGCTGCATGAATAGTAGCCTCAGGCGGCCTCCGTTACCCTTTCTAGGACAGTTTAAGAGGACGATGAATCGGATACCCTGTTGGGTACCAGACGTTTTGTTTCTCGCGTGCGGCAGGATGCTTCTGAAGCGGCGGCACAACGAAGTTACGAGCGGCGAAGCCCTGGAAACCGCGCATGAAAAGTCTCTTGCACCGAGAATATAAATCGCACGATATTCCCCCCAAAAATCGTCCCTTAAAAAAGGCCTGTTACTAGGGTTACGTGTTTGCAGCGTGGTGTTCATTTGAATTTCTGAAACGCAAACGCAACGAAGGCGCTCGAATCAGACCCCGCCCCCTCCCACATAATTATATATGGCGGTACCTAGCCGGCGAAGCAAGCGTTTGCGGGGGAGTTGGTGGAGGAAGCTGGAACGATAGCGGAATAAGTCGTGCGGAAACACTTGCTACGCAGGCCCGTCGGCGCCAAGCGAAAGCAAGGAGTCGTATATTGATTCTGGGGCAGATAATAAGTAGGAGGGAAAATTTTTGTGCCTATCACTAGGAGATTTCTAAAAAACCAAACGCAAAATCACTTTTCATATCACACATCAAATCATTAAAAGGAAAAAAACCTATGCTTCATATCTCTCGGTTTAATCTAAGTTAGTAATTTTACGAAAAAAGAGTGTCAAACCGACTATAGAGCCTGTGCACTCTACAAAAGAAACGGAAACAGCTCATGTTAAAAAAACTATCTCTTTGACAACTACTAATTTACAATTTGCTTAAATTACCTCTTTAGGTACCAGTTCTCGAACCGATGAAGTCATAATGGTGTCGCCCGTCGGCAAAAATGATCGACCGCTGAACATAAGCACCCAAGAATCGATTTTCCCTAGTCCTCCTCCGTCACCGCTTTCGAAGCCCAGCAGTCCATGGAAACGAGTATCAACGTCGTTACAAGAGAAACGCTCTCGCTTACATCCATCACAGGACGAAAGACTGTGTTATAGCAAGTCTGTTGCGAACCTTGGGGAAAATCCAGTAAAGCATATTCAAAAACATGGGAATCCTCCAACAATTACCAAGAAGTGTAAATATTCCTCATGTAAAAAGATAACAAGCGCAACAAACAGTTGTTCTCGTGGTAAGAATGTAAAATCACCGCATAAAGCCTACGGTGCCCAGGTCCCACAGAGGCCGTACCGCAGCACTACCCCCGTAGTCTCGTTTAGAGCAACCAATCAACAACGCACATATGCTTTCATTCAGGGGAATGACAGCGGTTACTGCTCAAGTTCTTTCAATAAAACGGTAACTATGGATAACCACATTCGTTCTCAGAACTCAAGAGGACAAATATTTGCCCATGAAATGTCTAAACTAAAAAACTAAGGTCTTTGACCTATTAAACTGACTACAGAGATTGAAATTACGTTTTTTTAGAATTAGAAAATCAGCTGTATCAACTGTATGTAAATTGGAGCTAAAGGCAAAAATGTAAAAGTTACATAAGCAACTAAAATAAGTTTAAGCAAGCTTAGTAGCTACACAAATCTGTGTTTTTGTTTTGAAAAAACTCAAGGCACAGTAATTCGCTATTTAATTCAAAACACGTTGAAAACGTGCTAAAAACGTTGGTACTTAGCGCCTGGCACGGAGAATGCGCGTTTCATAAGATAATGTCAAGAGATTGAGTCAGGCTTGTCACCAGGGTATTCTTGTTTTTCAATATGGTGGGGAGAAGCCCCTGGCCTGGAGACGAGGATGGAGATCGAATCCCTTGAAGAGCGGATTAGTTTCACCATTTGTAGGGACAAATTAAAAACTTGTGATGTAAATTTTATGCTGGATTTTGAATCTTGTGAATATATGTATCATTGCTAACTTTTATTTGTTACTTCGTGTTTTTCAATAGTTGATTTTACGTATGTCTACTACGCCTTTACTGTTCCGTTGACTATGTTAGTCAACTAAAGAAATTATTCAACAGAAAATACTGAAAATATTCAATAAATACGTCTACGAACACACCACCTGAGTACGACCATATAACTAAATTTTAGACAAACCACGTCAGGTGTACCTCTATTGATTCTATTATTTAACAAATTGTACGAATCTGTTAGTCAGTCGCCAGGGGGGTAGTCAACAAACTTTTATACGGGGAGCCTCCGCCCGAGGTCCAACCTCTTACCCTTTTATAGACCATTTTTTGCAGAAAAGGCACCCCTTTCATATACCTTTCACTGACAAATGGTACCCCTTTCACATACGTAGTTTAGAAATTTGCATCCCTTTTCACTGCTTTAAATGCACTGCCTTTTAAATATGAATAAATCACGAACCCAGAACGTTTCCTCGGCTTTTTAAAGCCATAACATTTCTCTGTTAGCAACTGATTTTAGGCACTTTTACAGAACGAAATGACAGATTTCTCTACCCTTTCATATACTCCAACCAGTGAAATCCGTACCCTTTCATAAACCTTAAGCCTTAAAAAAGTACCCATTTCGGCTGGAGCCTCCTCGTATAGGTCATTATAGGGAGTATTCCCCCGGGGGGTCAGTCGTCGCCACTGCATGCATAGTGAGCAGTGGAAAAAGGGAACGAAGCCATCTACATGAACGCTATATACATGACTCAAGACAATAATGCTGATGAAATATGATATAAATAAAAGTATAAACTGAATGACTCAAAATCGCAAAGGCAGCAAGGATTTTTGACTGAAAAGTCTCAAGCAATTGACCTTTCTATATGGCCAGAGAAATTTTGCCCCAGTGTCCCTAATGCATGATTACGTCATACGAGCAAATTTCACCACCACGCCTCGTCTGAGAGAAAAATTCTTGGCATTTGCACTTGTTGTGCTTGGTTATTCTATTCAACTCTATTGCCTTGGGAATTTCTTTATGCAAAACTTCGCCACTTTACAATGGGCCATTTCCGAGTTCCCCCGGGCCTCTGTTTCAAAACGAGAGTAGGTGGTACTCGACCTTTGATATGGAAATCATTTTTCATTCTCATGCGAATAGAACTTATTTTCATAAGAAAGGTTGTGCACCTAGCCTCATTTTGAAACGAGGCTTGGTGGTGAAATTTGCTCGTCTGACGTAAACATGTACAAGGGCCATTATCTTATGGAGTACTTCCCGTAAGCCACTGTAACAAAGCAAAGTAAAGCAAAGTTTGACTGCTCGCCCGATGTAAGGGAATCCGGCACAGTCTTAGATTCTGGATTCCGCGCTGGGGATTCCGGATTCTAGGTACTGGATTCCGGAATTCTTGTCAGTGGAACTTGGATTCCGAATTCGAATAAAAAGTGGGATCCAGATTCTTTGAGGTTCCGGATTTCAAAGCGCAGGAGTCCAGACTCCACAAGAAAAAATTTCCGGATTGAGAATTCCCTTTTATGGGGCGAGACTGCAGCGATCAGTCCACAGGTTATAAGCTGATCATTGGGTTGTAAAGAGATCGCAAATCAGTTTGAAACAAAGTCCATTTATCACTTTATACATCAAGATACATGTTACAGTTGCAAGTCTTGCGGATACTTCGCCATTATAGACACCCCGATAATACGGAAAGCGCCGTAAAAACAACCAGCGTTTGTCGAGACTTGTGACGGATACTCCCTAATAAGGCTCTTGGTATAAAGGACACTTTATAAGTTCCAGAAAGTGTAATTTTTTCTCTTTATGTGAAAAAAGACACCGATAGGACAACATACTTTTTTTCACCAGTAAGTGACACTTAAAAACTGTTTTCTTTTTGGTGGGGTTTACGATTTCCTTGTTACGCATCACTCACGATAGGCCATTTGCACGATGGCGCCTTACCGGAATCCTTCAGGGTTTTCGTTTCTTGTGAAAATTAGGACTTATTAAATACGTGAAAGAAAATACTAAATGGATTCTAGCCTTAGTACCCGTTTACATGGAGGTGGGGGAGCCCAGAAAGGTGAGGCAACCCGCTTAGGTGGAGTCCGCCTGTTCATATAATCTCTCATTTTAATTTCATTACGTTTACATGATAGGTGGGGTAACCATATGAGAGATTATACGGACACGCGGGTTACCCCAACTAAACGCGGGTTACGTAACCTACCTGGGGTCCCCCATCTCAATTTCAACAGGCCCGTAGCAGTTAAAAAGACGTCATCGTGCAAATGGCCTATTGTTGGTGAAGTAAATACATGTTACCTCCTCACTAAAGACTCTCGCTATTAAAGAAACTTCTAGTAACTCTTCGTACCACTCTATAGACCTGTTGATTCACCCAAACTAGCCTGTTTACATGGAGGTGGGGTAACCATATGAGAGATTATACGGACACGCGGGTTACCCCAACTAAACCGGTTACGTAACCTATCTGGGGTCCCCCATCACCGTGTCAACAGGCCCGTAGCAGTAAAAAATACGTCATCGCGCAAATGGCCTATTATTGGTAAAGTAAATACATGTTACACCCATACTAAAGACTCTCGCTATTAAAAAAACTTCTAGTAACTCTTCGTACCACCCTATAGACCTATTGATTCATGCAAACTAGCCTGTTTACATGGAGGTGGCGGACCCCACCCGCCAGGTACGTGAGGTATTCCGCCTCCCCATGCCCCATGTCTCATATGGTTACCCCTCCTATCATGTAAACGTGATCAAATTAAGAGACATATAGACTGTTGGACTCCACCTAAGTGGGTTATTTCACCTACCTGCGGTTCTCCACCTCCACGTAAACAGGCCCTAAAACATTTTATCAAACAAAGGGAACAATACAAATTACTTTGCCGCAGAGTATACCCAGTCTGACCATGGCCAGACCATGATTTGCATCATAAATGAACGCAACACCCGCGTTGTTAAGACGATTGTCGATAACCTTTGCAACGAGGATATATTTTTAGCCTGCGAATACAGCTGTCTCTCTTCGTTTCTCGTCGGTTGCGGGGGAGAGCGACGAGAGATGGCTGTTTTTACAAGCTAGATATAACCAGAATAAAAGTGTGTCGTAGAGAGTCTCTCCATAATTTATCAAAGCTTAGTAAGCCTATTATGCTTAAAAGCATTAGTTCTGGAGGACATAAATGTGTAAATGTAAATGTAAATACCATATTATCCACTCCCCTCAGGGCTTTTCAGGGATAATTTAAAACACTGGTTAGGGGACTTTTCCAGAAATAAACAAAGGGACTGAATAAACATGTTTGCGGTTTGTGTCCTCCAAGGCTCGCCACATGCTGAATTTTAATTCATCGAAAGTGGGCTATTCTAGCTAACTCTTTAGTTAAAATTCATTTAGAGACTCCATGCATAGAATCCGCAAATCAGTGCTCACTGGATTACAAGAAAAATCGCCCAAAAAACTGCGACTGGTGCACCACTGATTTTTCGACGCCCTGAGTCTAAGGTAATTATGATGTTTCCCTGTTTTACAAGGAGGAACTGAAACAGCAAACAGAGCAACTCGGCTTGGATGAAGCATAACTGGACGGCTCATGAAGTCAAGTTCATTTGACAATTGAAACACTGACAATAGATTTTCAGTGAAGCATACTGGAATATGCAGTGAGGGTCACTCTCCCGTGAAATAATCTCAGTAGAGCCACTGCCCGCACTGATGGGGAGAGACAGCTTCTTTGCGTCCTTGTACGTTTTGTAAGAGTCATTAAACACTGAAACGCAAAAATCTCCTTAAATTGTACTGTGCATCCAAAATTACAAAGCGCAAGGTACTGAAGGCTAATTCACACTGCAAAAACTGTATTCTGTACACCGATCAACAAGCGCGGTGGTAAGTACAATTTTTAATGTATGCTCACTGAATAGAACGTCAATATGAGTGTTTACATTCACTTCTAAAGGAAAATGATACTGAAAGGACTGCTTCTAATGTTGGGTTGTTGAGAAGGTTATTTGACCATGTCTTTAGGTGAGTAAGGATTCGCTTTCACTAAAACGCAGATCATGTAGACTACTTTTTAATAGTATGTAGTCTCTCTCGAAATATTCCCTTATGGCTCAAGAAGCTCAGAGGACAAAAACAGGGAGGAGAAGGATTTAGTGTCGCAGGGATCGACGAGTTGACGGACATAACGAGAATAGACAGACTGTAACGAAGGAGTCTATCAAACATATCACACCATTCCTTGTTATACAATAAACTTTTGTCAGTTCACTTCTGGAAAATCCAACGCACACAGTATTTGCAATGAGAAGCATTCCAAAGAATGCAATGGTGTTCAAAGCAAAACTTGTCGTTCAGAGTTATTACTAATCATTTTTTGCTTATGTAGTTGAAAACAACAATCTCACGATCATCATCATTTTCATTTTAAAGGGTCGGAAGTTCCTTTGAAATTGTTCATTTAAATTCAACTGTGGAACTTCTCACGCAAAATTTGCATTCCTTTATCCACCGTTTTGCTTGGTTGATTGTATTCACACCGAGTTCTGCCCAGCCGTTCACGGAAAACAAAGTTGATCCACAAGGAAACGTAATTTGGACTTACGCGGTTAGTAGTTTATTACGTATCCTAGGTTCCTAGGATATCGTTTCTGGGAATGAAGTGCTTTCCAGATGATTCTTCACATAACGCGAGGATCCATTTTTCTGTTTATTTGTATAACCCGAAGATACGCAAACGAATTCGTTCTTGTCGAAAATCCAACAGTGAATGTTAAGAACATATGAAAATTTGTAAAGCGTGAAAAGATCATTCAGAGTTTAACGAAAAAAAAGCAGAGAGGTTACGGATGGATATCCATCTAAGTTGGTTTGGACATGGTATATATTTGATTTTAACAATCAGATATTAGTTTAATTTCACTTAATTACGTCACGGTTTCGTCAAGGTATGCCGTAGGACTTTTGCCAGATGTAAAACTTTCTTATTGCCTTCTTGTTGTTCGGAATTTATTCGATTGGGCCAATACACGCCTCAAGTAGATTCTGTCGCGTTGTTTCATCAAATGGTACATGATTTTTGTTCAAATTATAATTGGAGAGCTTATACTTGAAACTCACTTGTATAATATATTCACAGCTTTCACTGCTATTCCATGATTTTTTTCGTTTCGGTCTATGAGATATAATGAAACTTCTGCTGAAACATCATTTCTAGAGCTTAATGTATTTAAATTAAATTAAACAAACATCTGAACAGGTTTCAAGTTCAGATGGTTTGATTTTTAATTTCAGATGAGTGATGCTGGTGCTTCAAGAATGAAAAGTACAGCCGAGCGATCACAAACTACTCAAGAGAGACCTAAATTTAGACATCGCGCGCCAAAATCTGCCCTTTTCACGCAAAATGATCTTCATCGATGTTTGTACGGGCGAAATCAAGTCATGCTTGTGAACAAAGACGAATTAATATATTCTCTTCTACATGAAGAAGAAGTCAAAAGTTATTGTAAGTTCTTGGTTTAAAGTTTATTAAGTAGATTTTTTTAGGAGAGACAATCTCCTCAATTTTGCAAACTTCTTGTTCAGAATTTCTCAAAAAATCATAGCTTGCCAAATGTAGTAATATAGGCTTCTCGTTATGCAAGCCATTGCATAACTATTTCCTTATCAGTGGTTCGCTTCGCACAATCTGTTATCAGAAATGATACATTTCGATACGGTCAAACTAGGTAGTGACAAAGTTCAATGCGTTGAACAACGTTTGGTGTAAATAGGAAAATGCCGACTTATAGGCTTTTTCGTCTTCTATTTCCAAATTTCTCTATTCTTAGGTCCTTGCTTAACCACCTCCAGAACTTATTTAAGCGGCCGAAAGGTACTCTCTTGACGATATGAGGAGCACTTAAACTAAGTCAAAAACCTTCCATTTAATGTAGAAGCGAACTACATGACTTAATTAAAGCTATAAACAAGTAAGCTAGAAACAAAACCTGCAAGTCTAAGCCCGCATTAATTTTGAATATAATTCATTTGGACATTCTTTGCAAAAATCCCCTGCCAGCACGTGAAGGCAAACCTCCTGTGGGTGGACTAAAACAGTGGAAAGAGAAGTAGACTAACTCAAAAGAGCGGAATTTTGCGACAGTTCGTATGTGATCAAGTTGAAATGATTCCACAGGAAGGGTAAAAACAACTCCTCCTCCTGACTGGCAGTAACAGTTATTTTAACGTCAGATTTGGAGGAGCGAATATGGAGTATTCATATGGAGGAAACAACTCCCCTACAACGGATTATTCTGAGGCTTAATTTTGGAGTTAAAACAACTCCCTATCATTATGCAGTACGAGGTGGTCTCAACTTATGAGTTTGTGGGAAAAATTCTATCGAAAGCTACAAGGTCGTACCTTTAATCTAAAACGTTTTTTATGGCGGGAAGTTGTAACGTTTGAGTCTGAACATGCTTCATTAATATCCTTGAAAGAGGTTAAGTAGGATTTTTCCCTTGGTAAAACTTTAAATTGAAAACATGAGAAGCACATCTAGTGAAATATCAGGTTAGTTTACCTGGCCCCATTGTCTTGTTCAAAAGGTTGATAACGAAAACTCCACCCCGCGATTTATTACTATCGACTGAATATTACAGTTATTGTTTTCTGTAACACCTGTCCACTGGATAGTGATTAATCCGGTGGATAGCGTTATCAACTTCTGAACAACTAGGGCCTGGTACTCCAATGAACTTTTGTTTCTGAAGGCGAGGTTTTTTATATTCGCGTCGCGAAGAGATTTTTTAATCGGCCGAAATTGCTTAGTCAAGGGAAGAAAAATAACGTGTTTCTTGCTTTTAAAATTTTGTGTTAATTGACAACTGAAGTACTACAGTAAAATATTTCGAAGGATCGGAGATGGAAATTATTTCCTTCTCATGGTTAGGGGCGCGTTAGCTCTGGCACAGGCTAGGTCTACCTTTTTTAGACACCCAATTTTTGACACCCAAAGCTGTTTTGGCTAAATGATAAACAAACCTTTTGTCTTGTTTTAGGGTGTAAAGCTTGTAAACAAGAACGATTAGAGCAGTGTAAAATCCACGGACCCCACCAAACCCTCAGGATGACAACAAAAGTAAACAACAACAACAATAATGTAAATAGCAACAACTTACAGTGGACAAATGCTGTGCAGTCGTTTCCAAACGAGGTTGGCCTGTGCAGGTCTGGTATCCCAGGGGCCGGTTATGGAGTATGCGCCAGACAGCTAATTCCTCTGGGGACCTGGATTGGACCTTATGAAGGAGAAGTCCTAAGACCAGAACAGGTGCTTCTTGGAACAGATGCGTCGTACATGTGGGAGGTATTTTCGTCTCTACTTTGACTTCTTTGTTAGTTGGTCAGTCATGAATTTATTGCTTTCTACAGCTAAAGGGAAGGTTGCAGAAGACAGTTTAAATTAAAGACGCACCTAAGTCTTAGTGATAATTAAATGCCGCTACTAATTTTACAATCAAAGCCGTTACAACATTGTAACATTAAGATGGTAGGAAAAAGCAACCAGGCTCTGATTCCGCAAGATCCTTTTGCCAACAGACTCTTGAAAAGGCTTTCAGTTCAGGGACCCACCCTGTTCCAGACTTTAAATAGTGAAATTGTACTATACCCTGTTTAAGATTCAAAACCCGAAAACAATACTCTGTTCAGCAACAATATTTTGGTCAACACCCACTCTCATCATTGCTTTGAGATGGCGAGGTCTTAAGAAACCTTTAACCTTGAAGAATTGAAACTTTGTCACAAAATCGACACAACACTTCTTTTGTTCTCGAAATGAAGGCAACGTTGAAACCGATTGACGCGTCATTTCAACTGTCAGCTTTTTTGTCGTATTGCTAGCTGATGATGAACTTGATATTTATTCTTGAGGAAATGTTGCAAAGTTGAACCCGGCATCGTCATAATCCCTCGCAAAATATAATTATTTCAACAAACGTTGTAGGAATGTGAAGACAATAAGCAAACCGAACATTATGATATGTTTGCCTGAACATTGTTGTCATTACGGTCTGTCAGATATGACCATTGTAAAATATGCCTGTGGACACTTACTGAAACCTGGCCCCAGTTGTTCAAAAGGTGGATGGCACTATCAGATGGATAAATCTCCATCCAGTGGACAACGCAATCGGTTCCCAAATACTTATCCACTGGATAGTGATTTATCCAGTGGATAGCGCTATCCAGCTTTTGAACAACTGGGGCCTGGTCAATAATTTTCGCGGAGTTTTTGTTTGAAACAATCCTTCTGCCAAGTAAAGAAATTTTCTCGGAAAAGTGTCTCCTACATTTTCGCAAAATTAAGTGCCTACATAAAGATGACAAGGTAAGGTTAAAAGTCTTAAACTAATGTCGTTTTTGTTCAGATATATCACGAAGGAAAGTTGCTTTACTACATTGATGGACAAGATGAGAACAAATCAAGTTGGATGAGATTTATCCGCTGCGCACGTTATGGTAGCGAGCAGAACATGTTTGCTTTTCAGTACAGCGGAAATATTTACTACCGAGCGTTCAAAGACATCCCTGCCGGGACAGAGCTCTTGGTATGGTATGACGACAACTATCCACAGTATATGGGAATCCCCCTAGAAATACGCGAAACCTGTAAAGGGGCTACTTCTGGTGAGTAAGATATCTAGTGAGAAATATCTTGAAGCCTTTGAGCACCTTCAAAATTGAAGCTTTATTAAAACATTCTATCTTGGAGCATACCGTGGACAGATACCAGGTGGTGATAGCGTTTGAATCTACAAACCAGGACCCTCCTAGGACTCCTACGGACTCACCTTAGGTGGGGTCTTGTACGGAGCTTCCCCCCAAGGGGTGAGAGGTTATACAAGATCCTAGCCATCTTCTGATCTTGATGGATATATATTTTTGACCTGAAAATTTGACAGGAGACTTAAAACCCTTTCATTTTAGGGCAAACTGGACAGACACTATTTAATCTTACTCTTGTCTACCATTGTTGTCTAGTGATAGACAGGGGGCCATTTAAACAAGGGACCTTGGGGGAGTAGAGAAACACACCATCATTCTCTTCGGGGAGCTCTGAGTTCTATCTTTGTACAATGGTTTTGAACACTTTTCTTATAAAGACACCTCTCTATAAAAAGGAGACCCGCTACAATGAACAGTAAAACTGGTCCCTACCTCTCAATTTTCGTGAGATGTCTCATGGCCCTCTGTAAAGAGGACCCCTCTCTTTGTACTCTACACGCGATTGTGTCCCATTTACTCCGTTTCGTCCTGTCAGGTGCCACTTTGAAGCGTAATCGTAGCAGGGATCTATGGGTACGAAAGAAGCTGACAGTGGTCACAGTGTCTTGAAACTAACAATAACGGAAAACGTGTTCACACGGGCACCCACTGCCACTTTGGCGCTCGAGTACAACGTCTCCACTTTGTACTGGGGCACCAGCACCTTTCCCGAATTCTCTGGTGGGTACTTTTAAAGAGTTTGTTCACACCAGTCCCTAGCAAAAATCGTACTGAGGCGCCGTGTTTGGGAACCAAGCGTGAACATTACCTTGGAGAGAAATGACTGGTGCAACTAACCCTTCATATCAAACCTCTTTAAGAGTAATTTCAAGCAATACTATTTCATTTTGAAGTATTTCACAACAAGAAAGTTCCTATATTTTTTAACTTGGATTTTCGCGTTAATGTTCAATTTCCAAGGTAAAAGCACGTAACTTCGGATAATCGTCGTGTAACGTGTCTTATTATACGGCTATCAAATGGCTAGTTCCGCTAGCCAGTAATTTTGGGCATTGAGTTTATCCTCTGATTAATCCAGTATAAAATACTGACTTCAGTTACGTAATATTTCTTTCAGGATTAAAACAACATTCTGAGATGGTCGTTGCAGTTCCACGAGAAAATTATCAGCCAGGGTCACCATACGGCTATTCAACTTCCCCAAGACTCGTGACCGACAATTCCCAGCAAGTCTTCCACTCATCACATGTACGGTCAGCGGCATCTACTAGCAGAGCAAGTACCCTATCACGTGTCAGGCGCCGCTCTAATCGGAGAGATAGGTCAGGAAGCGAGAATTTACCTACAGCAGATGGCTATAGTCAAGCACATCAAGGATCAAGAACATACGAAGACTCAGGCGCGTCCTCAAGGCTAAATGCTCAAAAAAGGGTAGAATATGCTTTAGAAGAGACCAACCTCTTACCCGAAAACCCAGTTGTTTCTGTAGGAACTACGAGTGGCGTTGCGCAACACATGAAAACCAATGGTCATCGTGACGTCAGAGGTAATCGTGGTAGCGTTGCTGATGATTCCAACGCGGCTAATCCAGCAGCGAAGGAAGGCCAGGTCAGGTCAGCGGATGAAGATGAAAACAGCTCAGATGGTTCAGATGCCAGTCTTTTTAACTGTGGACAGTGCGGAAAAACATTTGCCCAGCGGTCAGTACTGCAGATCCATGTCTGTCCCAACATGCCTCACAAGCCCTATCATTGTGGTCATTGTTCCCAGTCCTTTGATCAACCAAATGATCTGCGCATGCACGCTGTCATTCATGCCGGCGAGAAGCCATTTAAGTGCGGCTACTGTTCTCGATCTTTCGCTGGAGCAACAACGCTGCACAACCACGTGCGCACGCACACTGGTGAAAAACCGTTTATATGCGAAAGATGCGGAAAGACTTTTACCCAGGCCTCGCAGCTACACAGGCACGGGGGATTACCAGGAGATTGTATTCCATATGACAGTTCGCACGATTAAAGCTTTTTAGGACTTTAATTTAAAAAAAGAAAGGGCAAAGAATAATACATTGCAAGGTCAGGAAAACTTGATATTAGGTTAAGTGTGAGAGATGGTAGCTGCTCGTAGTGATCATATGTGTGTTCTGAAGCAAACTTCATTTCACTTGATGTATTTCTTGATGTATTTTTGGGAGCAAGAGTGTTTTTTTTTTCTTTTTTGCTTGTTCAATGTGCACTGTAAAATGCAACTTTCGAAAATGGATCAGTCGCCTTTATTTTAAGAGTGAACATTTTCTTCGACTACTCTTGTATTATTGTAATTAGAAATTGTACTTGAAATCTCTTTGAATTAAGTAAATGACCCTGGATTGTTCACAGGAGAAAAACCTTGTGCTCGATATTCTTAAGTGACCACTTAATCTTAGCATCTTGGATAGTCGACTAGGGTAGGCTCGACAGTACCATATTTTTTGTGGTACTGCCCCCTTTTAAAATCTCTTTCAACATAGTAGGTTGATTATAATATGGTGAGACGAACTTAGAATTGGTTACGTGCTTGGATACCACTTAGCGACGGTTCACTAGATGGCAAACGATACAAGCATTCATTCAGACATTAAAGTGTGATCGAGAGCATTCCTAAGTAAATTCAAACGTCTTTTAACAAAAAAAATTAAACTAGGAATGCTTTGCTCGATCGCAGTCGAAGCTTTGTGATCGAAATGAACGCTTCGATGGCTTGCCATCCAACCAGCCTTTCCTAATTGATATCCAAGCACGTGACCAAGTTATGCAAAGATTCTATTGGTCATTTTGCGGCTGCGCGTGAGACTGGGTCAGTGTTGAGCCGAATTGGCCCATGGGACTGTTTTGGAGACGTCATCGCTTCTTTTATCACCCTAATCATAACCAATACAATTTCCTCAAATTTGATTGGTGCATTAGTATGTGTAATCAACTGGTGATGAGTGAAATTATTCCCTAATTTCACGAGTAAACCGTTTGATTACCTATTAATATCATGGGTGACGAATTACGTTAGCAATCTTGGATTTTTGACATGTTTATCCTGGATTGTATCGATCGAGAACTCCTGCACTCTCTCGAACGTTTAGAACTTACATTAGGCTTAAGTTCAGAGTTTTTCGACAAAATACTTCTTAGAATCCTTCTTGATGTGCTCTTTCGTGTGTTCAGGTTTTCTAAAGCGTCTTTTTGTGCCCTGACATCTTCATTCATGACATTTTAAAACTTCGTCGCAATCTTGACACTGAAGACGTACGGAAGGTTGCCATGGCAATTTTGTAACTTCACATGTGAAATTACAAATAAACGCTGAAATTTCGCGCCAAAATTAAGGAGTAATTCGTCACCTATGATATTAACTGCTTAATTTTGCACTAATCATTGTGTAGGGTTGTAATCGGAAAGTTTGCTGTAATCGGACAGTTACCTCAGCCAATCATATTAAGTGCACTCAGCTAAATCCACCAATCACAGAAGTTATCACAATAACTACAGCAACAACCACTTACCCTGCCAAACTGGGGATTTTCCAAAATGGAGGAATTTGTAACATTAGACAGTGTATCCGCCAGTGATATTTTCCCTAATTTTGGACATTTGGTATTCCATCGCTGTTGCACCAAAAAAAAAATGCATTCATTTTCTTGGAAATTATAACGGTCATGATTAATTGGTGACAGGAGTTCATGTTGTCCAAGTCGCTCTGTAATCATACTCGTGATTAAACAAATCGGCCTCCCGCTTCGTGGTCATCCGATTTTGTCCATAACTCATATGATCACAGACCGAATTGGACTCCACTCAGTCCTATTACCATTATGTACTAGGAGTAAGCGGAGCCTAGGAGAGTGCGTTCGATATGTTTGTTGAGGCGGAAGGGTGGTTGCGATGTAGATAAACATGATTATGGCATATTTTGAACGTAAGGGTTGCGTACAGCGAAACCTCTATTTAAACTGTGTATCATTTTAAGAAGTTTTCAAAAGATATCGTATGGTTCGGTGTCAAGTGCTTTTAATCGGAGGAGACATTGGCCAGCGTCGGACGTGTAAATGGAACATTTTGTTTTACTGGCGCGAGTTACAGGGCGCAGTTTCTCAAAGGCCGATTAGTTCTGAACCCGGGATTCTTTTTCTTTCTTCAAAAACATTTCTTCGGATAATTTTCTCTGTTATTTTTAACAGCATCCAATCATCAACTTGTTGACAAAATGAATTACATTGAATTTACTGGTTTAAAAGTTTTCACATCTGAATTCAAACGTCGCACTAACCCTATCAAAGCCTTCAATGGAACGTGTGTGCGGCGTCAATAACTTTTCCAGTAATTTGGTCGAGCGTGTTGATTTCAGTGACTCGAGAGTGGCGCTACTCTGGGCTGATTTTTAAGTTTCTCCTAATAAATAACATAGAGTTAAAGTGTTCGTTTGTCCGGTGCCGAAAATATCACAAGTCAAGGTCAAATGGCGCCGCCGAGCTTCATATCTCGGTAGATTTACTTTGTGGCACAACGGCTGCCGAGCTACACAACTCGTAAATTTACTTTGTGACAAAACGGCCGCCGAGCTACACAACTCGGTAAATTTACTTTGTGCATAACGGCCGCCGAACTAAACCCGGTTTGATGCATGCACCAGCAGTCGCAGACATTTTCCAAAGACAGTGACGAACCATGCTGGAAAATATGAACGCTTAATCCAAAGTAAAATTTAACAGCAAACTCCTAAAAGATGAACGCTTTGGACGATTCAGCAAACACAGATCGATGTACGCTTTAAGAAGATTCAGCAAACTTTTTAAAAGATGAACGTTTTACGAAGAATATCAGACCTTAGCAAACCTTTGAAAGATGAACGCCGAGGACACAAGAATCACCACATGAGTTAGCGCGTCAAAGTGAGGCAAAACTTAAGCAAGCGCCTCAAAGCGAGGCAAATGTGTGTCGACGACGACGACCAACGAAAATGAATCTCAAAAAAAAAAACTCCCTTATTAATTGCACAGGTCACCCAATAATGCACCGAACACCCAACACAAATTAGGGGTTGCGTTCTCGTACCTCGAACGCAATTAAAAAGTTGCGCCGGAAACTGGGTTCAAATTTGTCCGCAAAACAGTCCCAGTCGCTCGCCGCTTGATAAAGGGGCTGTGTCACAGTTTCCACAATTCCCATCTAGGACTCAGAATTTTTTTTCTGAGTTCTTCTCTCCACATATATCATATTCTGTTTATTATGTGTCACAGCTGTCTGGTTTATTTTATTAATAATGCCAACAACCTCGTCCCCAACGCTCTTTTCCATGGATTTGGGGGTGAGGCGGGTGGATGTCCCCACCTTCACAGCCAGGGAAAAGCGCCCTGGGGACGAGGTTGTAATTAACAATTATTCTCGAGCCCCTCGAGCCCGAATGGGCTCTGAGTCCTTAAAAAAAGTATATAATTGTTTTAGTAAAATTTAACTAGTTGGTCAAAAAAATCGAGAAAAAAAATTTTTTAGCTAATTAAAGCTAGACTTTAATCCTTTTTTGCCGCCAAAAAGCCCGCGCTTTTTGCTACTAGTGGGCTATAACATATAGCCTAGTAGTAGCTCAACCAATCAGAACGCAGCATTGATAATAGACCAATAGCTGGATTTTACTAATGCCAATTATGCGTCCTTAATTGCTATGGAACTTGAGAAATTACTTGAAAATTGCAAAATCACAGCTTCGTGTCAAACAAATTTGTCTTTGAAAAAAAAAAACACAATTGCAACCCGTTTCAATATTTTTAATTTTTTTCTTTCCGTTCCTCCTTTTGTATTTGCTGTGTTATTTATACCTTCTTTTAATGTTTTTAGGAGTTACTGTATTTCTGTTTCACTCGACACTCAGTTTGGTGGCAGTTCCTACTGTTTAAATTTTTGATGAAATTTCATGACACAGCTCCTTTAAACAACAAACTTTGAACGATAGAGCGATTTTCGTCTGACCTTGAAATGAGAACGGGCGAACAAAACAGAAACAACAAACGAACGGAAATGGAGCGATTTGATTGGTTTATCTAAAGGACACAAACGCGCGTGGCTTTTTTGGTTGGTTAAGTGAACGCTCGGGTGAAAAAACTTCACGCCCGAGAACTTTCTAGAAATCAACCGATACTTCGCTTTGACATCATACTGCAACACGATTGGCCAATCGAACAATGCCTTCTCCATATTAGGGTTTTCTTTGGCGGGAAAACGAAGAGGCCATGTTTTGATCTTTTCATTCACTGGCTGATAAAACAAATAATGAACACTTGCCGAAACCATTTTTCAAGGCCATACGACACTCGACACTCAGTTTGGTGGCAGCTACCTCTGTTTAAATTTTTGATGAAATTTCATGACACAGCTCCTTTAAACAACAAAATTTGAACAATATTGGACCGTGTAATACTCTGCGTAGACGCTGTTTAAAATGATGTTGAACATTCAGCCTGGTGAAAAGAATAGGAAAAGCCTTTCAAATTTACCGCGATTTGTACTTCTCTTTGAGAATACATAGCCACTCCAAAATACTTCTTGAAAATGCGAGTGGGCACTTGCCGGGCCACTAATAAAGCTCTATTCAGAGATTTTTGCCAACTCATTCCTTAGGTAACAAACATCAATTATGTCAAAGTAGATCATTAATTTTTCTTAGCAATACTAACATACTTTTTTATATACAACATCTTTCATGAATTCAAAGGATTTAGATGCTAGGGAAGAGAAAAAATCTAAGAATGGTGATAACGCCCTTAAACTACACCAGAGCTAGTCAACCAAATATCAATTGCCGATTGAATTCTTCGCTAAGTGCGAACTACCAGTAACGGGCGCCACAAGGACATGCTGCTGTCGATATTGGAAGCTAAGGACGATTATGCTGAGGCACCAGTTTTACTTAGTTCAAAGTATAAAAAATTGCTAAATAATTACTATATTCTTCAAAGTAAATGGTTTGTATCCTTGCACTCTTCATTGGCTAGACTTAATTTAAAATATAAGCTATTTTTTTCCTTGACCTATTATGGCCAAATAACTGTAACACTGAACGATGTTGTATTGTGGCCATATTTGGGTGTTTCTTGGGTGCTGCGGAAACCATTGTGGGTTCGCTTTTGTGCTGTGGTGTGGGTTCTGCTTTGTATTATGTCATTCAGTGATTGCACCCGTCTGCAATACCAAGTAACTACCCACATTTTCTTGAATTAACCTCATTTATTGAAAACGCGAATTTCTAATTAGCAGTATCATGAAGCTCTATCACCTATTTAGCCCGCTTAGATGTTTGCAGGTAGTACTGTATGTAAGAAACTCGCTAAGGGGAGGGGTAGGTGGGCAGTTTCCCAGAAACGCATAAAGATCCGAAATTCCTTTTTTAATGAAACAATGGGTGTGATAAGAAAGGACTTGATAGAGACTTGACGAAGAATGCAAAGCTGAGTAGCCAGTTTTATCATTGTCGGGAAAACAGGCAAGAAAAATTGGCACGTATTATTCACTTGTTAAAGAAATAGAGAAAAAGGAAAAAGGAAACGGATTACTTTAGAACATCCGTTTTAAAGTAATCCGTTTCCCTAAATTGCCACGACATTTTGGATTCTGTTTCCCAGGAAACGGAAACGCATATTTGACGGGTTGTGAACTGGGACAATAATCTTCATTTTGCAGCAGGAACTATTCACACAGCTAATATCGGGCCTAGAGTTTATGGTGCATAACCACGTGAAATTGAAATCATCCAACATTTTGCTGAAGAAAGTTGAGCAGTTGTCGTGGTAATTAGGGCCTTTCACCGTCTAAAGTTGTCAACAAGGGCCCCAGCACTACTGAAACCCTCAATTTTTTACGTCCGAATATAAAGGACCAGTTCTCTACGCCTTAAGTGTTTTTCCAAAATTAGGATTAGATGCCACGCAACATTAACCTCTCCGCCTCTTTCTAGATTCATATGATAATAGTGAGAGACTAATTAAGAGGGCTGTTGCGAAACGATGAATAGGTGGAAATTGGCAGTGTATTTTACATGCAAATAAACCTCCCTTTTGTTGCGTCGGCTTCTTTGAGAGTAGCTCAAACCAGTCAATATACTGAGAGTTGATGAAAGTCTCGTACTTATCGACGTTCTCTTCTTGGCTTCTCTTAGAGAACACAAGAGCTTTTTCAGTACGAAAAAAGCAGAAAAATAGAAATTGTCATAACAGAGGGACTGCACTTGTCGGAGTCATTGAAACGGAAAGCTTTTTTAGGGTAAAGACATTTAAATGCCTTGGTTGAATGAGCAGTCTATCGGAATGCATCCCCTAAGGAAGAGAAATAAAGGAGTTAAGAAGCGTAAAAGAAAGGAATTTGAATAAAAATAGGCTCAGTCAAGTTCATAGATCTGCAAAAGCATTAAGCTGTGCAAGGTTTAGAAAATGCATTCACACAATTATGTTGTTTTTTCAGCTGTTTTGCACGAAAAAGAGCAAATCGAATTACTCTGAGCTGGAAAAATGCCCCGTTTCATTGCAATGATTATATTTCACGGTAGCAGGCTTGAAAATGATTATCTCATCACGTTTCCCAACTTCTCGATTGTTCCATCTTCCGCTCATATATTCGTAGTGTTCTTATCTATATTCTCGGATAACTTTTCGAGCCCTACTAATGTTACAAGAGGAATACTTGTAAAAGTTAGGACTCCGATTTGATATTTTAAGGGAGTGAGGAGTTAAACTTTGTCCGCTGCGATGGTGATCTCTCGCGCGAGAGAAGAATATGCCCACGCGGGCTAAAGGAAAATAGTAATGTGCTCGTAAATTCAGGCGTGTAGATTCGAGCGACAGAACAGAGCGCGCGTGTTTGGCGACTGGAAGAGACATTCGTGTAAAGACCATAGTATAACACACAGATGAATATATTTAACTAAAGTCGTATAATTTCCAAGCTATGTTAGTTCTTCTTACAAAATGTCATATTTACAACTTAAATTTTCTGCATACAGCAAAAATGTTGTGCAAACGCGGAAATGTCCGTTCCTATGAAATAACAAGATATGTACAATTTTGTCCATGTGAAAAGTGATAACATCACACAGTTACGATAAAAGGTATTTGATTTATTGAACGAGTTTTTTTCCTAAAGAAAAAAATAACTTACGTTTTTTCTTGCTAAAAAAACTGAATGTTTTAAAAGTTTTAGCAGATTCGCGAACTCTTCACGGACTTGATGCTAGCTTTGCATTCACAGTTTTCACTAGAAAAGGTCATGTTTCTTCTTCTTGCGTCTGTCTTTGTCGGCTTCTTATCCTTAAGCTTCTGGAACGCAATCGCCAGGAATTCTGTGATGTCTGCTAAGCTGGGATCCCTGTGTGAAATTCTTCCCGCATTTATCGCACACAAAAGGTTTCTCGCCGGTGTGTGTTCTGATGTGATTGTTCAAAGTGGTCGCCCCTGCAAAAGCGCGGGAACAGTAGCCGCACTTAAATGGCTTTTTACTGGCGTGACTGACCGCATGAGCACGAAGCTCAGCTGGGCGAGAGAAGCTTAGCGCGCAGTGACCGCACTGGTACGGTTTGTGAGGAGACTCGTTACAGACATGAACTTGGAGCATGGTCCGCTGTGGGAATGACTTGTTACACTGACCGCATTTCCACAGGCTCAGCTCAGTGACATTGGAAAACACCGTCTGCTTTGGTTTCAACGGGGCGTTGTGTCCGTCTTCGCTGGTGCTGGGCGAAGAAGTATTACTTCTAAGACTCTCTGGTGAGGGCAGCGGAGGCGATTGTGGGTAATGTGGAGCGGATGAAAAGTCGAAAGCGGAAGGTACTTCACTTTGTAGCCCTGTCAAGGGTTCTCCACTGACAGCTTTAGAAGGAGAGTGAAGCTGATGAGTTTCGGGTGAGAGTGGACTGGAAGGTGAAGGTACAGAGCTCGGAGGGGTGGGTGGAAATTGATTTGTCTCAATTGACACACACTCCTTCGTTTGTGGAAGAACCGTCCCCGATTTTTCCGGCATCCCCTTAGGACCTATCGGAAATAAATACGCGAGAAATGTTAAAATCTCACGTGTCAGGTATTTGGCGAAAATCAAATAAAATTAAAAGAATTAGTAGGTGCTCCTTTCACCTATTTTACTAATTACACTAGTATAGCACGCATATGTATTACGTTCGCCGTCGTACAAGTGGGACTGGTCATTGCTCATAAAAACAAGCAAAGGTGGGCGAATGACCGGACTAAGCTGAATACTTTGCACTATAAACTTTAATACTTTAATTTCCGTTTTTTTTTCTCTAACAATGTTGTATTTAGTTTTTGAAGACGGTACTGAAGTTTATCATCATGATGATTAATTTCATTACGTGATAATAATGATAATGTTAATGATGATCATGATGTTGATGGTGATAAAAATATTAATATTACTTAATTCTAAAACTTTTACCTTTTCCAGGAACTGCACCCAGATCGAATATAGCGCTAGGAATCCCAAGATACTGCGGGTACTTTTCGTCGTACCACACCAACATTTCCTCTCCAGGCAAGATGGCCTTGAATGAGCGGTAGTAAATTTTTCCCAAAAACTGGAACGCGAATAAGTTTTGTTCCTTCTTGTGTCTGGCGCAGCGGATGAAACGCATCCAGCTCGACACCTTTTCGTCACTTCCGTCAACAAATCCTGCTAATTTACCGTCTTTAAAGATCTGCAACGTAAATATCAGCCTTTTTAGATTGCTGCAATAAGGACTTTAAGCCTTTTTTTCCCGAGCATTACAGTTTACGAGTAGTCCTGAAGGAAAAGCAAACTAAATTGCGAGCAAAACACTGCGCGAAATATCGCCTCTCGCAAGGTCACACGAAGCGCGGGGTCTTACACACGCTTTCAAGTGCGTCGTTAAGTTTTCGTCATGTTTTCGAAATTTGTGAAGACAAAAGAGTCGTCCCATTTTTAACATGTTAATCTTCGGGAAGTTTGTAGAGATGAAAAGTATGAGTGCATGGCTTGCCCTGCTGAAGAGGACTTTAAGCATTTAAGTTTTAATATATAATTAATTCCATAGCCTTTGTATGGGCTCCTTCGAAAGATGCATTGGATTAGTGGAGAGGGAAGGGAGGGAGGGATTCAAAGACGAGAACTTTATCCTTCTAACCCTCCCCCTCCCCGTGGAGTATGCATGATGCTAGGCAAGCTAGCGATTTCTCGCTGATACTCACTTCTAATTTAAAAAATAAATCTCACAACATACCTCCCACATGTACGATGTATCCGTTGATGAAGAAAGCTCTTCGGGTTTAAAAAATTTTCCTTCATAAGGACCAATCCACGCACCTACTGGAATGGTGCGCTTGGCACAAATACCATACCCAGCTCCCGGAATACTGGATGCACACAACCCCACTTCCGGCGGAAGTGATCTCAAAGCTAGAGGAAGCTTCGTAGTTTGTGGAGATGCGGGTTTGTTGTGCTTGTGTGTGGGACACTGGAAATTTGGATTGGCTAAACTTGCATCACACCCTGAAATAACAATAATAATCACGAATCAGGACGATACAGTTGTTAAATTAAACTTGCATGATGAATAAAATGGACCGTTATGTTAGCGTGGGAAAGTAACCATCATTGCGCACCCAAATGCTTACACGAAACTGTTAATGAAATTTTATTTATTTTAGAATAGACCCTTCCACGGTTTTTTTTTCAACTTTTGACATAAAAAAGTTAGGGAAAATCCGTCGACACCAATGAAAAGAGAAAATTGCCAAGTTTGAAAGTGATTTGTTGAAACTAACGAAGATATAGCTCATCAAAGTCGCGAAATTTTATAGAAGTTTGTGTGGTGGGGTAACTTGCCCCCCACCATACAAACCTCTGCAAATTTTCACATTTGAAAGTGTTTTACTAATTTTAAGGCGTTCTTTTTAGTGGTGTCGACAGATTTTCCCTAGATGTCCATGTCGAAATTTGAAAAAAAAATCGTGGGAGGGTCTATTAACTACATTATGTATTTACACAAACATTTCTTTTGAGACGAAGCACTTGTTGACTACACTGCGTCTTGTGTGATATTCGTTGTTGACCAAATTATTCATTGAAATAAAGGGGATAATTTTGAACAGAGACCAGGCCAGGAAGAAAACACTTGTGTTTAACAATGCTTTAAGAAATACAATTATATCAATCAACTGATAAACTTCTTACTTACAGAAACAAGTATTGTCCTGTCTTTTGGCAAGCAACTGTTGCATGTTCACTGGACGAACATTTGTCCTCGTAAAAAGGCATTGCTGTATGTCATCAGCAGCAAAACTTTGTTTAGGAGACTGCGTGGGTATCACTTGTAGAGGTGAGGCCACTTTGGCCCTCTTAGCAGCTGGTTCATGGAGCCCACTACTCTTAAACAGATTCTCAAAGACAGGATTTTCGACTTGCAGTACCTGATAAAATATAAATTTCATGTGGTTAGAATATACATGAACGTCCGCGCACGGTACTTAGCGCGCGCGAAACGCGGAAAAATTCTGCCTTGTGTGTTTGGCCTGATTTGGCGCGCTGTCTCTCTTGTTATATCGATAGAGAGGTACTTTACTATCCGAGAAGATGGAGAAGGCGCGTATTGACGTTGAAATACTGTTTTGTCGGGTTTAATATCAAATCAAATTCTTGCTGTGCACGATACAATTAAACGCACGCTAACAAAAAAAAAACACTAAAAAGAAGAAGTCACTCTGCTTGTAACATTCTTTGACAGAATAATAAGCGAATCAATGTTTGATCTTCTGGTTAAACTTTAGCGATCAAAACCTTTAACAAAATCAAAATAGTCCACGTGAGACAGGACTATATTAAATATTCACAAACGTCTCATTTGCTTTTAAATTACCCTGACCAGTGAACCAAATCGTCTTTTTCAAAATAATAAGGGTGAATACACATTGTCCTGAAGTGTTGTTGGAATTTTTCCCCTAACTCTGTTTCCTTCTCGTCAGAAAACAACCTTCCAACTTTCCAGAAGGTGAAGAAGATCTGAAAACAGTCGAGACTCTCTTTCGAGTGAAAATGTTCCAAAAATTTTCATAAAATCACGGCATTTTTTGTCCTTTTGTTTTTCCCCCTTTGAAGTGGGTTCCTTGCATAACAAGTTGCGCAAACATCTTCGCACAATTTTAACACATTTCCCTTATTGCATGATCGTAAAAATGACGCCAAAAAGCGATTTTTCAATTGATGTAACTGCTTTTGAACGGGAGATAACGAAGATTTGCCCTATTTTGATGAAAATCCAGCGATTGCGGTAACTTCGCAGGAAACTCAGTTCGCTGATGCGTAACTGCCGCAGTGAGTGAAGGAACTGCAAAAATCTATCAGAAACTGTGCACTATTTTAAAAACTGAATTTATCTAAATAACCAGAAATTGCGCAAAAAGTCGACACTTCGTACCTACAGGTGTTTTTCTCGCGCTTCCTGGGCAAAGAAGACGCATTTTTTGGAAAATTTCTTCGTTATTCGTCACAGCCCGAGAGCCAAAGTGAGCAACCCCAGACAAGAGTAAACTACTTTACCTTAAAACACTTACCTTGTTTTCGCCCTCCATTTCCAACACTTCAAACATCGAATGAATTCAGTCTGCACAGATGTTTAAATGGCGCTGACTTTTTTTGGTTTGTAGCTGGTGCTGGTTCTTTGGCTAGTTTTACACGCTTTCTCGCGCTTCTACTGGAAGTCCGAATAAGTGATTAGTTTAAAGCGACTGAAAACCAATTTATTGAAAGGCTCTTTTTATGCCTACGCCTGTTTATGCAATATTGACAGCTTCTAAAGACAAATAAAATGAATTATTTTCACGGAGAATTACCACCAATAATGCGTTGGAAGACAAACAGCTAAAGAGCTTCACTGTTAATTCACTTTGCGCTTGGCCGCTGTACCGAGTTATTTTACAACACAATGAGACCTCCTTGATTATCAAAACTTTGTATTTTTCACGTTTTCGAAGTATTTTGACGTCAAGCGGCTTGCAAAAATCAACTTTGAAACAAACTGATGTTTATATGAACTTCTTGATGCGCCTTCGTCAGGAACCGCATAAGATTATAGTGGTCATGTCATGCGTAGATCGACGTGATTGCTCATGTGTAAAAGAATAACTGACCAGTCGCTGTAAAGGCAATCACGATAGATAGTTGAACACTTGCGCTCGAAGGTGTTTGATGCTTCACTTTCACTTGAAGCGAATAAGGCTTTGATTCGCGAACTATATTTACCAACGCAAGCCAAAGCGTCCTTTAGCATTAATGATTTTTACGGTATTCTTACTTTCAAGATCATTCCGTGTCATTGGGGAAAAGAAAACAAAGGGATTGGGGGTGGAAGAAAGTACAGCAATATATAACGGCACGTATTAATAAATGACCTCAAAATTTGCTCGCAAACATAGGCTCCCATCTCCATGTTTGGAAATAAGGACATTATTTCAAACAATAAGAAAAGGCGAAACTGTTTTTCTGCTAAAATTATCAAATATTTTCTTCCTTATTCAGTGATTTCGAAAGAAAATACAGATTCACTGAGCCATGCACATACAAATGCTAAACAAATGAACTCCGTAGTAAAATTCAATGAATAAACTAGAAACAAAGAAGAGAATTTTTCATTTACGGCATAAAGGTTACCGACAGCGAAAAACGAATAAAAAGCAGCTTGACTGAAAGTTTTACGCCGTTACCAAAAAAACACGCAGATATCTAACTTTTAAATACCCAAAAGCAGATCAGGAGTTTACAAATTCAGAATGAAGTATTGGAATAATCTAACGACAGGGACTTCCATCGTTATGAAGTTTAATGAGGTCGCGCATGAAGTAACAGCCAAACCAAGACTGGAAGAACATTTTGGTCTTACGCCCACTTCTCTGCACAGTTTTATAAAACTGTTGCGTCTTCAATAGCCTGCGAAAACAGCCGTTTCTCCTCGCTCTTCGCCGCTGGGGACATTTCGCGGGCTACGTCTTCAAGAATAATGTCGGCATAGGGAGGTGGAATATTGGAATATGATCGTCCGAGTGAGCGTAGTCCTAAATAGGACCGTTCTTGACAGTGTCTGCCGTTTCGAAACCTTTGCGGTAGTCATCTTTAGAATCAATAAGAATGGTATATCGACCAACCCCTCGGTTGAGGTCTTAGAACCCACACGAAACGTCTCTAAATTAGAATAAGCAACTCCCCCCTCCCACCTCCCCTTATAAAACACTTTTGACTGGTTTCATGAATATGTTGAACAGTGTCAAACCAAACTCTTATATCATTTTCAACAATTTTTTTTTAAAACCATTTAAGAGAAGAAACAAAAATAGCAAAGTTTTTTCAGGCAATAATTCAATTTAATGGTGGTCTCTTTCCTTCATTACATTTACAAATATTTAGGATGATAGCTTTATTTATTTTCAGGTGGCAAACTTTAGCAGCCTTAAGAAAATTAACTTATCAATTACCTCCTCTTTGGTACATTTTTTGAAAAAGAAAAAACAAACAAACCAACAAAAACCTAATCAATTCCGCCAAACGATTCGCGGAAAATTTGAGTGCCTCATTTATGACATTCTGTTAATTAACGAAAAAGGCCAACCATGAACACTCAACGGACTCCATTGCAGCGAAACTTTTCACTTAGTTATTTCATTTTCTTTTTTTCTCTATATTTTAATGTTTTGTTTCACACCTTCGTTTTCTACGTTTACCCATTATCGTTTCTGTTCATTCGCATTGCATAATGGTAACATGTCGTTGCCGAAAAGTCATGTTTTTATCGCGATACTTTTAATGCTTTTAAAATTGTTTCTCAATATCTCTCGTTATCAAATTCTGTAACAAAATGACAAAGTCGATATATATTTTAACCAAAGTAAACTGATAATTGAAAACAGAAATCAAACTTTAATTGGTGAAAAACGAACACTTGCTTTACACTCGCGCGGACTCCTCGCGTGTCTAGTCAAAAGTCCAGCTTGGGAGAAAGTTTTGCCGCATTTCTCACAAACAAAAGGTTTTCGTCCCATGTGCGATCGGATGTGATTATTCAGAGTCGTCGCGCCCGCAAACGCGCGCAAACAAAAACCGCATTTAAATGGCTTCTCACTTGAATGTGAGATCACATGCGCGCGCAGTTGCGAGGAACTGGAGAAAGAAACGTTGCACTGTCCGCAGTTAAAAGGCTTGCTCGGTTGGCATGGACACACGTGCATCTGTAAGGCCAGCCGCTGTGCAAAGGTCTTGTGACATTGCTGGCACCGCCAGGAAGCCAGTTCGCTCACAGGACTCTTTGCATTTGGCACTTGGCTTTCGCCTCCATCATTGACGTCACTCTCGGCGTCGCTCAAGGGAGATGACTGCGGGTCTGTGTGATTACTCTCGGTTGATGACCTTCTGGGAAAGAAAGCAGTTCTATGCTGCAGAGGCAGCTGTAATGTCGGTTGTTGTTGTTCTTGAGGTAACTGCTCCTGTTGTTGTTGTTGCGGTGGAGGGGAGGGTCTCTGTTCCACTGATATTGGCCTTTGCATTGACCTACTTCTTTGTGTTTGATACTGATACTGCTTTTCTTGTTGCTGCATCTGTATCAGTTGTTGTTGCTGCTGCAGTGGTGAGAGTCTCAGTTCAAATAGAGGTGGTACCGCTTGCATCGGCCCAGTTGCTAACAAAAAAAAAAGAACAAAACTTGAGAGAGAAATCTAAAATAACTATAAGCTAGTGGAATTTGGTTAATTTGGCCATGTACATGTGTCTGCCGCCCCTCGTATCTTTATCAAAACCAAGTATGAAGTCTTTCATATTAAAATCGAGATATATAATTTATATTTTCGGAACTCGAAAATCACATATATGTAATAGCGTAACAGCCTTTGCAACTGCCCAATAAAGAATTGATGGGGGAGGTTATATAATTTTAAAAACATCCAGTTGTTACAAAAAGAGACTTGAATCCATTTGAATCCATCGGCTTACCTCCTGTGCCTCGAGTCATGGAAGACAAGTCCTGTAGTCCTGTCGGAATCCCGAAGTGTTGAAGGTATTTTTCATCGTACCATACAAGAAGTTCTTCACCTACAGCTATATCTTTAAACGAGCGGTAGTAGATGTCGTCCCTGTACTGGAAAACGCAAAGGTTCTGCTCATCTTTGGAGCGTGCGCACTGAATAAAACGCATCCAGCTCGAATGACCAGGGTCTCTACCGTCAATAAAATAATTTAGCTTGTTGCCTTCGAAGATCTGAAAGAAAAACATGTTACTGGTACTTAGTTTTTGTCTGAAAATGTGGATAAGTGAAATGGTTCACTAATTGCGTCAAACTGAAGTTTCTTTGGCTGAGGAATCCTTAAGTTTCGCTGTGCACCGTAATTTTTAGGGAGTTATTATAACTCCAAAAATGGAGTAAAAATTTTAGGTACAGGATAACCCCTTTTTTGGGGTTATTTTAACTCCTAATTTAACTCCGAATTTGGGGTCATTTTTACTCTTTACTCCTGAAAAAGAGTTCTTTAAACTCCTTTTTGGAGTTAAAATAACTCCACGAAAAATAACTCCACTGTAAGGAGTTAAATTAGCCCCACTAGAGGAGTTATTATAACTCCCTGAAAATTACAGTGTGTACACGATTCCAGGGGCCAGGAACAGAGAATTCACAATTAAGTTTTTAATGGCTTTTTGGTAGGAACAACAAAAAACAAGGGAGATACATAGAGTGGTGAACTGCTTACCTCCCACATTTGTGAGGTGTCAGTGCCTGGTTCGAGTTCATCAGGCCGAACACGCTTTCCCACAAATGGTCCAATCCACGTTCCCACTGGCATGTGTTTCCTGGTACAAACTCCAAACTTAGCACCAGGGATACTTGAAACGCATAAACACAATTCGGGCGGAAGTGACTTTAGAGCGTTGCTTTGATGGACACGAGTGTCTTCCGTTGATTCATTGCTCAAACCGTGCGAAAATGTTTTCCCTGAAAAAAAAGAAATGAAGTACTTGAGAAATATATTTCATAATTATCTATGTGATTATGAAAACAGATGTTAAAAAAGCGATCGGAAGATAAAATAAAATAGGTTCTTCTGTGTGCAGAGAATTCATTGAGAACGTTTTTTGTAAAGATAGATCGTGCTACCTCACTCACACAGTCCAAAGTTTAAAATTGTTTTCCTTACGAACGCTACTGAATGACTTTTATCGTTCCAATTTGAGCACAAACTACAGAACAAGTTAAAATTTATCAGTTCGAATCCTGTGTATACCGTCTGAATGACGCAGAGACCCAGGAAAGGGGACTTAGGGAGTTTAAATCCAAAACAGTTTTTGGGGGAGCATGCCCCCTGGCCCCCTTAAGTAGCTTGCATCTTTGGCATTCGTTTAGGAAATCGGTCACTATTTATTCTAGATCCACGCCTGCTATGTAACAGCCACTGTCCAGTTTTCCGTTACAATTTTTCATCTTTTGACATATGGTTTAATACAATACGTTTAGTTGGTGTGAATGGTGTTCTGTTCTGCCCATGTTTACTTGTGACCTAAGATAACTTACAACAACAACAGAAAATTCTTGTTTCATTGAAGTGGAAATTAGCAAATTTAACCTTTAAATACAAAGACCTTTGCGAGTTACAAAAGACACCAGCGTCTTGATGCTAATGACCGTCCATTTTTGAGCTAGATTTCTTTGCCGCCATGCAAATCAATTCTCAAAAGTTTCACAACAAGTTTGGTTTGACAAAAAAATTGTTCCCCTGTGGATTGAGCAAACATTTAACCGAATTGTCTGTTTGCTCACTACCTGCGGTGCCTTTCAATAAATTAAATAAGCGAACTAAGTGTTTACTTGAAATCAACAAAGGAAGCTAAAGGACTTAAGGTCCCTAGAGTATATTTATTTTAGGTGACCGAGACCTTCGAAAACTTTCAGAACACCTTTATAGGTAAGGATGAGTAATACCTGGTAAAAATTTCGGAGATAAATCTTAGTCCTTGTTTTGATATTGGCGTCGCCTTCTCAAAGAAAGCCCCCCTTTGCCAGGGTGTTTGCAGATGGGCTTGGAATTGTTAATGAAAAGTAGGTTTCGCAAAAACAATCTGCCAGTCCGAGGGCGTTGCCTTGACCAAGACAAGTACAAATTCGCGTGTCTTATGCTAATTAATGAACACCGAGTATTCAGTTTTAAACTAAAGGCTTCAAGAATAAGAAAACTAAAACATTGAACATTCAGTCTCTTGATTTTGTCGTATTTTCAAGAGGTAACTACGAAAAAACGACCCGTTCTTCCAGAATTGCCAACGCGCGCGAAAAAGGTGCAGATTTGTGGCTATGTATGAGATCTAAACTGTTTAAGATTTTGGCACTTTTTTTATAGCAGCTACCGGTACGTTGATTATTTTGCACTTTTACCGAAATCAGCTTAGTAGAAGTAGGCACTCAGAAGCATAGAGGGAATTTGTCAATACTTTCCTAACTTTCAAAGTAGTTTTAAAAATCTAAAGCATCCAGACATGTATTTCAAAAGAGCAATGACAATGCACTACGCTGCTTCAGTGCATTAGGTTTTTACACGACAACACGTGACAAGAATCTACTAGGCAAAGATCACGACTTGAATAAAATATGCTTTCTTCCTAAACAATTTAAAAAAAAACTGTTCAATATCTACAATGAAATTAAAAAAGGCTTTAACATATAAGCCAAATAGGGTGAAACTTCGATTATATTTCAGGTCATTTGCAAAGTCATTCACGAAGATTAACACAACTTGATGGAGCAAGAAATTGGACGAAAGAAATGAATGAGTTATTTTACGAATGGTTTGAAGATGAATAAGAAAGATGTCTGCTAATTCTACAAGCGCTAAAGTAGTAAAAAGTGTATGTAAAGTTTCCGTGGGCGCTATAAAATTTAAGGAACGGAGGCATATGTTTCGTCTCGAATTGTTAACTCGCTTACGACATCTAAGTGTTTTTATATAGCTTCCTTTTTCTTGTCAAACATTTCGGAACTGCGGCTCAATTGGCTTACACGTATGTATGTTTAAAACTCCTCCAACTTCCTTCCGTCCTCCTCTGCGTTCACTGTTGACAATATTTTTAGCGTCTACGAAACCGGGACGGTATCTTCCAAACAAGCAGTCCATCACAGTCTCGGCTGCGAATTGAAGGCGTTTTTCCTCGGGATTCTTCATGATTGTATGGAAGTTAACCTGAAGACATTAAAATTTAAATTAGACCACGCTTGAAAAACTCTACATAAAACTACCTATTTATATTGAGTTGATCTTTGGTGTAACTAGGCGTAACAGTCGTAGTTTTAGAACGTCTTTCGGATAGCAACATTAACTGATTTTTTTTCGCCATACAAGTAAAACAAAACTCTATTATCACTAGCATATATAGGTCACCAAAACGTAGACAAAGACGTGAAATCTGACCAGTGCAATGAAGCATGGGACAATCATTTATTATAAATATGAACATCATAAGGTTGACAAGATAAGCACCGAAAAGAAAATACCAAGGTCTGACACCATTTTTTAACCTACATTTTCCACTTAGGTGTGCCGTGATTCATATAAGGCCTGATCAGAATGACTTAAAATTTGTGGATCAAATTTTGCAAAGGCGACATAAAGGTACTACTACAAAAAACGTGATCATTTCTAGCAAGTAAACCATGGGCATTTTAGGCACTGTCACTGCACATTTTAAATGTTTCTTTTTCTTTTTTTTTTCCCAACATGTTGCACTAACTGATTTATAATAAATTGAACAGTTCATTAATTTTTTCTGCTTTAATTTAAATTAACTCACCGACTGATTTTGCTGTCTTCTGGGCATCTTTTCACTGCACATGAACATCGACATGCTTCCTCTGTACCTTTCCTGCTGACTGATACGCGTTTTGCGACGAGATACGCTATTTACTAACAATCATCTGCTAGCAACCACAGGCTTTCTAGAGTGATCTAGAATCAATGATCTAGTGTTCTTTAGAATCAATGATCATCATTTGTTCGCACATGGCATTGAGCCTTGTTAAGTCAAAGCTACTGATTGGATAATCACAATAATTCAACTTTGGCTGACTGATTTTCTATTATTTCGAGTCTTTAAAAATCACAAGAATTTAAATTAACCCGAACACAATTGAAAAAGATTAATTGCCCGTGTACAGTGACTTGCGTGTTTTAAAATCATTTTGGCCTGCATGATAGACTATTTTACAAGTTCTTAATAGTATCTTTTTCCTGTTGCTTCAGTTCATTCAGTCAAAAAATTTAACTAACGCAAAAAGGGATGGTAAAGGCAAAGAATTCTAAGAAAGATTATCCATGACTGAAAAATTCATTCAGTATTCACGAGTTATACAATTAAAAAAAGGACAATGCAAGAGTAACATATTTGCCCTGCGATCGTGGGGCTGAATTAAAGACGTGCTTTTACTTTACTTTTCTCGAGTTAGGTTTTAAAGACAGACCAAATTATTCAATTCCAAGGGTTTTGCATTCCACAACTGACAGACAAGTATACAAAGTTCCAATGGTTTTTACACTTTTAAATCAGTTTCTTTCTCTTATAGCGGACAGTGCTCAATAAAGGGTGGAAAGTCGTCGCATGCGAACGTGCGAAGCGTGCGTGCCTCAAACGGCTCGCCCCAGTCTACTTTTTATCGCCCCTTCAGAACTTTTGTTTCACGAGCGTTCTCGTATTCATGCCCAACGCAGTCTAAAGTAGTGATCAGAACTATCATATCCAAACGAAATGGCCCGCGTTCAAATCCTGGAGGCAAAGCTATATGAGAGTAGTTGGTTCTGGTCCCTGGCCAAAGATGTTCTTCTACAAGGATACCAGATTTTCCTACCCCTACAAAAAACACCAACATTTTCAAATCCCAATTCGATCTTAATTACTTTTTATTCATTTATTATTTATCGATAATAATTATGGTTGCGACAAGTAATTGTGTTAGTTTACTATTGAGAAATGATGTCCGTCCTGATAAAAAGGAAATACGAGTAAGCACATTCAAGCATGTTTATAATTTTTTTTATTGATTTTATTAGGACATCAAGAAAGGTGCATAATTATTCTATTAGGAAACTGGTTTAAATTTAAAAAAAAATACGCTATTTACAGGATATAATATCTTGGGTGTTTTCACGTTAAAAAGGATGTCAAACAGACATGCACAGTTTATGGGGACGGCGTATTTGCAGCAAAAAAAAACAACAACAACAACAACAATAACAATTACAGTGAGCTTCACCTGAAAGAGGAAATCAGACGACAATCACTACCATAATTCTTTAGACTGTTCACAGTCCTCTTTTTTCCCGTAAGATCGTCGACATCGAGCGCTATGCGTTACGGGCTGTCATCTTGCATGAGTGTCAAAACTACTTAGCGGGCGGGGGGCGGTTTGGAAGGAAGCGAGAAAAATAGTTTCTCGCCCCCTCCCCCTAGAGCTACATGTATAATCCCCGACGCCCGCCCCCTCGGTACGTTTCAAAATCAAGATGGCCGCCATCAGTAAGACGCACAATATCTCGACGATCTCGCGGGAAAATAGGGCACTGTGAACAGTTTAATAATTCTTTAAGTGCGTGCACTGAAGGAAAAACAATAAAAACACAATAACATTTGCCTGCGACATTTTCTGCTTAATGTTCCTACCACATTTCCGTGTATCACCCTGCCAGCAGCACCTTTCTTTTCCTTGCTCGATTTTGGCGTACTTGAGAAAGACTCGGCATGAAACAAGTAAGATCCTTGTTGAGCATGCGCGGCATGTTGCGAGGATACAGTTTCGAACCCAGGCCTAATAGCAATGCGCTTAGTACAATAAACCCTCCCACGCAAACAGTCTTTGAGTTTCGTCACGCGTTCCTTCCGGTAGAGGGTTGCGTGACGAGCCAAAAGAACGTCTGCATAGATTTGTACGTCCAAATGGCACAAAACGTTATCTCCACAAAAGTTCCCCCTTTTGCGACTTCATTCTTTCCAACATGATATTCTAGGCAAAACGGGTGAGACTCACTCACCAACACATCTCCACGCTCAAAACAACATGAGCAAAAATAAAAAAGTAAATTCGGGCAAATTCCGAGAAAACACGCAATGAAGAATCAGCGAGTGAAGGCGACTGTTTCGCCATGTGTTATCAGTACACGGGTAGATATTGCGAAAAAGTACTCTTTACTCATCGGGTGTGCAATACCCTACCTCCTCTGCCCTTTAAGTAACACCCTAGCCCCTCTGCCCTTTAATATTACAGTGTCTCTTTACTTTCTCCCTTTCCTCCTTACCCCAAAAAACATACCTTGTGTCACGACCCCCTGCTAGCTATGGCGTCTCGTATTTGTTTATCCAGTTCAACTATTATACGATCCTCAGTAGTGTACACACCAGTGTGTAACAAAGTGTCTCTTTCTTCGATTAGCTTAGCGATTCTACTATCGAAATCCTCTTCGTCATCTTCAACAACAGACGTTAGCCCTGATGAACGTTTAACAGTTCTTCTTTGTGAAGAGTTCATTATAGGTGGCACGCCTGGGTTTTCTTGCCCTTCAGTTGGTACTTGATTCAGGCGGGCTTTCGCTTCTTCTTGTTGTTTCAGTCTGCGGTAGGAACGGAAGAAATCAGAAATAAGTCATATTGAAAGGTGCACAGGATTCGCCACTTTAGAAACGCGAAGAGAACTAAAGCCGAAATGTGTTCCCCAATTGTTTCTGGGATGGTTACGGGAGATGCGCCGGTCAGCTATTGGTCATCTTTTTCCTCTGTCCCTCGCAACAATCTCAGAAGTCTTTGCGAAAGTTTACTCGGCCCAGTTTCCTTCCCGTTTTTTAAGTGGCGAATTGAGCACCATGAACCAATCAGAGCTCAAAGTAAATGTCACGCGCGGGAAAACGCATGTAACCAAGTCGCGAATAACACTGGCCCTCTGATTGGCTAAGAGCCTAAAGTTTCAGCCAATCACAAAGCTCTGAGGTGTGCGAGCTGCCACCCTATCCGCGCATCCAAGGAGGTTTTGGTCTGTACTTAAGGAGAAAGACACACCCAACCTTGTTCCCAGGTTCTCTCTCCTACTCGTCGTTGTCGTCGTCGTCTCTCTCTCTCTCTAGTGAGTTTACGCAACAGGACGGCAGAAAGAAGAGGAAGCCAAAACGCTTGAGTGTGACAAACCTAACATTGCCATTACTAGCGTGTTTTGTCGGGACATTGATGTTTTTTGTTCTTCTACAAAAAGATCTGTTTAAAGGAATGTGAAGTTTGGCGGAAGGTTTTTCAAACAAAATTATTGTCACGCTTGTCACACAGGGTTTGCCGTCGTCTTTCCTCTCCCGTCCTGTTGCGTAAGTTCACTTCTCGCTCCGTAGGGACGGGCAGGAGAGAACCCTGGCAACGAGGTTGAGTCACACCCTGTTCCACTAGAAGCATATATGCTTCTGGTTCCACCAAGACATATGATGCACACAGTAAGGGACCGTTAACAGCAAAATGCGCAAAGGAGGTAGTGGACCCAGATATCGAGAATAGTTACTGGACGTCCTACTTGTCGTTTCTTTCTTCCTTTTTCATGTGTTCCGAGTATTCACTTTGCACACCTTCGTCGTGTTGCATAAAGGTGTTCCGTGAAACAAAGTGGTTAAGTTCTTGTTGTGGTTCAGATTGCTGTTACAATAGTATGGGACATCGATGACGTTTATGCTTTTTTTGAAATTATTTGTTTAGGAACACTAACGGCTAACCTGGAAAGCTCAAGTTTTATTTCCTCCAGCTCCTCCTTTTCTGATTTTACAACCTAACAATCAAAAGAGAATCAAACATGTCTTTAATGAGACTTGACGACGAATACCACGGATAAATTATAATGCCTATAACAGTGATAACTGACAAACTGATTAAAGGGGGGAGGAAACGCCTGTTCATAAAGACCTCTCTTTTCCAGTTGAGATTTGTTTCTTTGATTCTTTTTTACAAGCGATAAAAAATAAGTAAAACTTGAAATGTACAAGAGACCTCCAAGAGACCAAACTTTACCTCTTTTTCTTCAGCGGCAAGATAGCGCAGGCGCATGTGTTCGAGCTCCTGTTCCTGTTTCTTGAGCCGCGCTCGGGCAGCGGTCTGTTCCTGCTGCTTCATTCGCGCCAGTTCCCTTAGCGCTCGACCCCACTGTTGTTTATAGTGAATCTTCGACTTGTTCGCAGTTTCTAACTTGCGCTCAAGTTCTGCCTGTATGGTTGGGAACAAATTGTACATTACTCAGTGACAGAACGCATAAACTAGGCAACCATTTCCAACAGACAGATAATCAAATTTAGAAGAATGAATTGTAAAGATATAGCATTAAGAGTTGCTCCGGTCCAGCGGCTGAGGATTACATGAATCCCAGCTCTGCGCGACCATGAGAATCTAATATGTTGAAATGGGAGATAAACTTAGTCGAAGGACTGAAGACAAGGCCAATACACGAGTATTCATTAGAGGCAGAGTCGCTGAGCCAAAACTTCATAGCAAGACTGGTGTCACTGTGTAATTTAGGACTGTCAAGTCAGACTATCTTAGGCCTTAGGGATTTTAGGCGTCTCCAGAACAAAAAGACTGAACCCTCGTCCCCAGTTTCCAAGGGACTAGATTGACTAACATACTGTTTCTGGTTACCGTGTTAAGATCGTCCAATGTTGGGTCAGACGTCGAACTTAGGACGCATCGAACCAATCAACTGAATCAGACCAAAAAGCAAGTTTAATATATTTTCTCCCGAGCTTGGCTAAATATACATTATCATACAAATTTTTAATTTATAAGTTTAGTTTGCCGCATGTGAAGATCGACGTTTGGAGACGATTTTCAGATGTTTTATCCGTCTGAAGTAGACTCATTCAGACGAACTCAACTGAGCCAGAAGTCGAACTTTTCATTAACTTAACTAGCAAAGTTTGGTGCTTCTCGTGAAAAGTTCGACATTTTGCTTAGGCCAGAGTTGTTCTCACCTTCTCCATTTTCAGAAGGTTTATCTCAGACTCGAGTTTGACTTCAGGTTTTGTAAGTTGTTGCTCTTTGTACGCCATAAACTCATTCTCTTTTGACTGATACCGTTTTTCGGCTTCGTACACCTGCGAAGTCAGAAGCAAAGTAAATGCATTTAATATTTATAAGATAGGAATACAACGGTCACAGCCGTAATATATTCACGACCTACCTGTTCGACGAGTCTCTGCTTTTGTTGCTCCAGATCTTTCACTTTCATCCTTGAAATAAATTATCAACTTCTTAGGTTAATATGAGGTGTCACTCGTTACCTCGACTTGAGATCACCAACTTCTAACCGAAGACTCGAAGCTTCTCGCCCCCTTTTACAAAAAATGAGGTATTTATCTGTTTTTCTGATGTATGTTAAGAAGGAAAATGCGTAAGAACTGTGCAGTGAAATAAGGTGAAAACGACGCGGTTGAAAACGGTGCAAAGCGTGTTCCACGAGTCCAGTTGGGACACGACGAGCGACGCAAAACGTTTCGAAGATGGGTAAGGCCTGACGCCTGTCCTTTGTTCTCAACATTTAAAGCCATTCAAATAGGGTCTTCCTGCGCACTGCAAAGATAAAGTTGTCCGAGTTCCAAACTTACCTCTCCATCTCTACCTGGTGTGAACATTCGTCTTTCATTCTGCGCGCAGCTTCTCTTATCTCAGTCATTTTCCTGTCGTGTTCTCTCTCAAGTTGTTCTCTCATCTGCGTCACCTGTCGGTCATCAAAAATGTCGTTATCCTCTCACAAGATCTTAAAGGGGTTATGTACAGATATTTCAGTTCTATCCCTTATAAAAGCTTAAGCTTTTTTCGCATCAATCGAATTCCAAAAATGATGGTCCAATTTGTTATTCAACACTTAGGCATTGGTCGTTTTCACACTAGAGACAGATTAACCCTCTGAGATGGATAATTCATCTTCAAAGTCCGTCAAAATTGACGGCTGAGGAATAACAGATGGATAAAGTCAGGCGCATTGTCCATCCAAAATTAGGACCGTTCCATTTTCAAATTAAGACGTATTATCTGAGTGACGCGAATTAACCAATGGATAATCCGTCTCTAGTGTGAATACGGCTGTTTCCCGTCGTCTGTTGCAAAGGTGGCAAGGGTGTGTTCTAATAGGATTGAAACTTGTAAAAATTGGGCCAACGTTTTCAAGTATTCATGCTATGCCTGCATGTGTATAGTCTCCTTCGCAGCCGTTATTAGGGTCGTCACTCGTCACGCAACGCTCCTCCCCACTAACGTTGCGTGACGAGTGACGACCCTAATAACGGCTGCGAAGGAGACTAGCATGTGTAGGGTAAAGGCACTAAGTAATGACTTCAGCACAGAACTGACTTAAAACAGCAATATCATTGTGACATGGCCCCTTTAAACGGGCTTGTGTTTTCGGACCCGATGCAAAAAGTAGGCACGGTAATTTCCGGGACTTTCGAGAAACGGGTTCCTGGTGCATAAAGCTGGGATTCGCAAACCTGTATGAAGCGGCTGATCTGCAGAAAGGCCTTATGCTTTAAAGCAGTTTTTAGTATAAAAGATGTCTTGGCATGGTAAATATTGCTACAACGTTTGGCGTGTTTGAAGCGAGCTACTATATATTCTGGGGAATCTGAATCATTCCAAATAGAAGCAGAAACGTGTTTAAGCATTGACAGAACTAAAAAAAACCCTGAGAAAACAGCCGACATTTCGCGACGCCATAAATGGTCTTTTCCTCGAAATGACGTCTGAGGAACGACTGCAGACTTCTCATTGGTTGAAGTAAATTTTCCTCGCGGAATGACCAATCAGAAAAGATGTGGATAGTGACACGTCATCAGTATGGAATTTCTGCGCTCGTCTCTCAGACGTCATTTCGCGGTAAAACCAGTGGTGGCGTCACAAAAACTCAGCTGTTTTCTCAGACCATAATGGAACATTGTACGTTAGTATCACACTGAACAACACTTTTAATTACACTACTGGTTTAAGTTGAGGGGAAGCTTTACAACAGAAGCTGGAATACAGTCAGCAATGAATGCTAAATTAGTAACATAAGTTAAGAGAGAAAACACGTTTGCTATACCTGTGTTTCGTTAATGGTAAGCTGTTTCTCCCTCTTCTCCAGTTCAGCAATGGATTGTTTAAGCTTCCCTTCAAGTCGAGAATACTCCTCGAGCTGGAACAAAAATAATGGTCTTGGTTTGCTGATATAGTTTTCCTGTGGCTAATGTAATTTAGGCAAAGTAAAATTGCAAGCCAATGCGGTCAGCGGTCTCCTCCTCGAGCGTACGTGATCTGTGGGGTGACCGCAGGGGCCTTTTTCTTATCTTGTGACTTACGTTGCATCTCACGTACGTGTTCAAACGAGTTCTTACGAGCTCCTAGAAGTTCTACAATTAATTTTTCTTTTTGATCTTAAGCGACTGATTTCATGAATGATATAGCCTGAGAAAACAGCTGACATTTGGCGACGCTACCACTGGTTTCCCCGCCAAATGACGTCTGAGAAACGAACGCAGAAACTCCATACTGATGACGCATCACTATCCAGATCTGGGTAGTGCTTCTGATTAGTTGAATCAAATTTCGCACGCGTCACGACCAAGCAGAAGCACTACCCAGATCTGGGTAGTGACGCGTCATCAGTATGGAATTTCTGCGCTCGTTTCTCGGACGTCATTTGGCGGGGAAACCAGTGGTAGCGTCGCCAAATGTCGGCTGTTTTCTCAGGCTATGAATGATATACCCCTTGCGCCATCTAGATACGTTTTCCTATTTCCAATAAAATATTATTAAATATCCATTCTAGTCCCCAAACATTTGTTATAGCAAAAATTGAGAGGCGTTTCGTCTCTATAGCCAAAATTCAGCAAAAGAATAGAAAAATTGTCGACGGGCCTTACCACGATCACTAAGCACCAAATTATCAGTTTTAACCATGTAATCCCCAATGTCAAAAAGCGCATTCTCCGCCGAAGGGCCAGTATACCTTTATGTACTACACTGATCACAACATGGTAGGCAGATAACATTTCTATTTAGCAATGTAACTAGTCTTTTTGCAAGGGCAACATAATTTTTTTTACCTTTTTCTTGACCATAAGCTCACGCTCTTTGTCCCGTTTCTTCCATTCATCAGCCAGCGCTTTCATTTGCGAGTTTTCACGATGTTGCATCTAGTAGGTCAAAACAGAAACACCGACTGTCAGTGTCCAAGTCAAGGAGCCTGTAGCAAAGTCTGCTGAATAGTTGTGGTTGGTAAACTAACTACTACTTAATAGGTTTACGTATTTTTGGGGCGGCACTTTACTCCCTTTACCACATTTCATAGGACATTTACCCTCAAGTTTTCATCTAGTAGGTCAAAACAGAAACACCAACTGTCAGTGGCCAAGTCAACGAGCCTGTAGCAAAGTCTGCTGAAAAGTTGTGGTTGGTAAACTAACTACTACTTAATAGGTTTACCTATTTTTGGGCGGCACTTTACTCCCTTTACCACCTTTCATAGGACATTTACACTCAAATTTACGTTTTCAGCTTTTCAACTTAAACGTTGTAGGTAACACCCTTTCTTAGGATAAAACAGTACTCAGCCTTGTTTGATTCAGAATTTTCTTTGTTTCTCAGCCTTAATTTTTCAGAGGGAACAAAGGAAATTCTGGTTTAATCCGAGAACAGATTTTCCCAATCACATATACTAATACTTTAAAGCCATTACAGACCTTTAGATTCCAGGACTACAAGGAAGAGATTTGACTTGAATTTCTTTACGCATATTCTAAAAAAAATAGACACCCACAAAGCTTCTTTTTCCTTTTTTTTACCAGAATATTTAGTACGGTTTTTTTTTTTGAAGAAGGTTAAGCCTTTTCCCGATTGCAAAATGATAAAACTACTACAAATTAAAACCCCTTGTTTCTGCCACTACGACAATCTCGCTAAAACTCGTAGTAGAATGACGACGGCTATCGCGTCTTCCCGCCAAAATGACGCGGGTTAAAGAACGCGCGCACTACTTAGTATTGAGAAATTCTCCTTCTCATAGTCGTCCTCGACCACCGAGCTTGCCCATCTTAATAAATCCAGGTTTAATGACATCATACCTGTGCTTGGAACATTTCTTCCTGTTGTTCTTTCCACAGTTCCAGTTCTAAAGCGGCCTTGTACTCGGCAGTGTCACGTGGGTCAGTAACCGGGGGAGGTTTGGGCTGAGCTGGTGGAACACGCTGCGGCTCGGCCAGAGGAATGGCACTGGAAGCTTGACTACTCTCAAGAGAAGACGACAAACTGTACTAAAGGAAAGCAGCAGCAGTGAGAGGATTAGTAGATGGTAAGGTCTTCCGCGATAGTTCTATAGTTCTCTTCTTGATGGTGAAGTAAGAAGAGTTATGGAGCTTTCCCAGGTATAGAAGTTCGATTCAAAACAAGACTTCTTCGTATTTAGAAAATGAAAGGAAGTAAACAGTGGAACTACTTGTTTATCGACTTAATAAGAGCCCCAAAGTAGTAGTCAATAGCAAAGCAGTAGGTACCTTGTACACACAGTCCATGCGACCTGGGGCTATTCGTGCCGACACGAAAAGCTATCCGGTATTGCTGGTTTGCACGTGACGTCACGGCGGCCATGTTGATGGTCAAGAACAAAAGCTTTTCTCTCCTCTGGTAACTAAATTCTTTTTTCATGTAAATTCTTCGAGAAAAAATTTTATTGTTTTGACCCCCAACATGGCCGCCTTTTCACGTGGTTGTAAACCAAGAATAGCATGAACAGATCCGACAAGTGACTCTTCACTTTAGAGGTCGGCTTCGCTCCGTTACAGGAATCGCGCCGAAATCACCGTTCTTACGTGTGACCAGAAGCCCTATCCAGTATGTTGCCGAAGCAAAAGTTGTCCAGGTAGTGTGAACACACCCTCAGTGATGTATAGCAAATCCCGCACCCGCTTATAAGCTTTTTATGAAACACCTTTGTTGATTTTTGAGTAAAAGTCGCTCCCATTAAAAAAGTAAGAATTACTTCATTTGCTCCCATGACTTGGTGCAAGTTGACTGGACCCAGGTCCTCCAGGCCAAGAACCACATGCAGCTCACCAATCTTCCTGGGAGGTCTTCAAAATTAAAAGAAAAAAATGTGTTATTAACGACAGCAAAAAACAAGTTTGGAGTGTTGAGATGTTCGGTTGGTGCTCATTCTAGTAAACACTGTTAGACAATTATATAGCAATTTCGGAGTCATGCATTCAACTTGGTCAGCTGTGTGAAAAGCCAGTAATTGTCAGGCCTATTATTTGAGCTACAAAGGTGGGAAAAGAGTGCAACGACACACGGATTAACCGAGAAAGGTAAGTACTTGTTGTGAAGGAGGTGCCCATTAGTCAACTGTATTCACGCCTGTGTTTGCCATACTGTGTACAAGCTTAATTATCAGTGCTGCTGGTAAAAAGTTTGAGGTTACAAATGTTGTTTCACTTTCAGTTCCCTAAACCAACAAGATGAAGGTTAAAGCGATGGCAGGCATCATTTAGCCAACCACAAAGACTCAATGATATGTTTTAGGGTTGGAAACGCATTGGTACATTCAGCATTAATATTGTTCCATGGTACATTCAGCATTAATATTGTTCCATGGCTTGCAATTCCTTATTAGCAGAGACCTTCTTCTCTAGTATTTGGCGGGTGGGAAGAAAATAGACTTGTCATTTTTTTCATTTTGTCATGACCAGGGAAAAGAGGCATCTGCTCAGCGTTTTTTGTCATAACATTCCACATCTATCATCGACTACTTACTTTTCATTATTAGCTCTATCAAATCAAGAACATATCCGAAGCTGAAAGAAAGTCCAAGTTGTCAACAAGATGAAAGTAGCTAGAAAGACGGCTGAATTTAAAGTGTTTGACATACTTTTCTGTGGTAAGTATAAATATCCGCTCATTGTAAATTTGCCGATATCCAGTCACTTGACCCTAAAACGGGATCGAAAAAAGCAAAATAGGTAAAGAATAGTTCGTAGGAAAGTATGCAGAGATTATCTAAAGACGTCAGACTGCCAAGATGTCAAGGTTTGTTAACATCTACCCTCACATAGGTGTGTACAACTGTAGGCAATCTGGAAGGAGAAGTCACAACAAAAACTTACAACCCTGGGACAGTTGACGATATTAGGGACAAAGACGCACTTTACCAAATTAACTCATATTCTTCCTCTTAAAAAAGCTTTGGGATGTTGTTATAAGGGACTATTTCGGCTGTCCCCTTCTCTCCCAAGCAGTGGGAGATTGTGTTGAATTAAAACTTGAATACATAACGTCAACACTCCACCGTGGGGGAAGGGGGGAGGGAAGATGCCTCATTTTGACGAGCTATTGCGTTAGTATCCCAAGAGTTTTAAACCAGGTCTCGGTTGTTAAAAGGCTGGATAGCGCTATCCACTGGATAAATCTCTGTCCAGTGGATAGTGTAATTAGTTTCCCTAATTCTTATCCGCTGAATAGTGATTTATCCTGTGGATAGCGCTATCCAACGTCTGAACAACCAGGACCAGTGTTGTAGCTCTCTACAATGCGTGCAGTAAAAATTTTATTGTATTTTGCTTATGAATATTCCACGCTGATTAACTGCTTCCGGGTCTCTCAGGGTGGCTAATAACCCAAGTATATCGCTCAAATATAAACACTGGCAGATTATTTTTACCTGTGTTAAGACTTCTACTCTATTAGCAGATAAAACAGAGGCTAATAATGCAGTTGAAACTCCGATAAGAACGTTCCCAGCCATGCTGTCTTTATGCCACACCTCAATCACAAGAGGAACTCTGACAGGAAAAGTAGGAATCGCACAATTTTGTTAGAAAATTTCACTTAAGGCTAGGTGAAAAAGAAGAATGAATACCCATGAAATCTGTCATCAGTCAAGTGTCAGAAAAACTGTTGACCAGTGACGACCTTAGTGGCCTCAGCTCTCACGAATCTCCTGTAGCTTAGTGGTAGAGCATCCAAACTTGTTAAGATAGGCCATAGGTCATAAGCCGCGTAGCAAGCTTTTCCGTTTCGTTTCGGAGCAAAGAAAGACCGAGGAACGGGATTTTTGGTTTTAGCTGCGCGAGAAATGGAACGGGAGCTAAAAAATGAGAGAGGGGGGAGGGGGAGGGGAAGGAAGAAAGGTTTCCTTACCTTTCTTCCCCACCCACTCCCCGCTTTTTTACTCGCGCCATTTTTCGAGCGGTCTTTGTTCTCTGCTCCGAAAACGCGTGGAAACGCTACCTTGCTACGCAGGCTAATAGGTCATAGGCTCGACTCCTACTGACTAAAAAACATCTTTCTCATGGACAATAAATTGCTCCAGCTTTGATTTTGGCAAGTTCCCTAAGGTATTAAGAAATAATGCACTTAATTCAGAGAATCTACGAAGACTGCATACAAGATTTGGGCGCAGTGATTTTTAGGGTCATTTTGGTGGACAAGCGTTAATAGTTATGATTGGCCGACGGCATTCAAGGCAACTATAAACTAACGCTTGTCTACCCAAGCGATCCCAGAAATCATTGCGCCAATAGCGTATTCTCATAATTTTTCTTTTAAATAGTTAGTGGAGTGGGTAATATTGGTTTGTTCCTTCACCAGCTGGAGTGACTGACTCAGTGACTGTGAAAGTTTCATCTCAGTTTATAAGTTAACATGTTCTTGCCCACCTTGTAAGTGTGTCTTGAAGAGAATGTGGAGAAGATGCAAAGTCAAATGCACAAAAAGACTTGGGAAGAAGGACCTCTGTGTTACGCTGAACTTGTACTGGAGGACTTGTCATTACCGGAGCAGAGCTACCAAAGAATGGATAGGTATACCTAACAACAAGAGCACTAAGGTTATTCAACATTCTAGTAACAGCAGGGAACAATCTTAGGCCCAGGGTCAATTTTTTGATGAGCTATTTAGTAGTTTTGTGAAAGGTTTGAACCCAGAAGTCATGAAATTTTTATAAGTAGGTTGAGCATGATCGTCCGGGTGAACGCAGATCCAGAATAGGACTGTTATTGATGATCAGTGATGTTTCGACAAGCTGTGCATTCGTCATCTTCAGAGTCAAAGTGCGCCGTATCACCTCAGTTGATGGTACTTAGCTCTGGTTATTGACTACTGACTAAGGACAGACATCTGCTGTGTTTACTGGGCATGTAGAGGGAACATCCACTTATAAGCTGCACCCAAACGTTTGTTAAACTATTGTTTTGTATTAATGATGTAGCATCTGTACCCACATAAGCCACGCCCATAATTTTGGTCCCCTTTTTCTGAAAAAAAAAGTAAGGCCGCCTTTGGACAAATTGGCCCCTACTTAGTCTTGGTTTTCACTTTATGTATAAAACACTGTTACAAGCCACTGCCCACCTAGCATTTTCCCTGCTCTGACACCTGCCTCCAAAGAAGACTTGCTACAAGTCGACCTCTCATAACTCCTTAAAACTGTGCAAAGCGAACTTCGGTGCATGAGGTCGCGCACCAACCAAGCAAGCGACAAAGTCTTGAGGTCTATTCACGCAGGAAAAAAATGATTGACGTATGCTGTGTCAGGAGCAGCGTGAAACATCACTCACCGTCCTATTGGCCAATTGTGGTGACGTCACTGGTAGAATTTTAGACTAGTGAATGTCACGTCAAACAGGTATGAAAAGTCCTTTAAAATGGCATAACCAACCAGGAAGAAAAAAATAAAGGACTTTTAGAAAGTCTACCTCCAAAGTTTCTGTCAATGAGCAACCTGCTTCAACTCACCTAAGATAGCAGTTAACAGGAGAGGAAACCTCAAGATTCGAGATGCTACGCAAATCAATGGAGAAACAGAAATGATGAGCTGATGGTTCTAATGGAAGCCTGGCTCTAAGCGGAGGAACAGTGCTTGGACCTGGATCTGTAACTTGAGGTGGAGGTGCCAGAGCTGTTGTCTTGGACTTTTTTGGTGGAGAATATTGTTGCTGATGGGGCAAAGAAGAGTGAAGCTGAAGGCTAAAGCAGTGTATTTTAAGAACTAACTGGATGGACGGCATATTGTGATGAATTGCCTTAAAATGTAAGATCTTGAGCCCTTTCAAGACCATGCTTTTACAGTCAAGCCAGGTCAAGGGTATCCCCCAAGATTCCAACAATGAATTAAAAATAACTCTCATTTGAAAGTTAAATCCATTGCAGGTGTAAATTTCAGATTCATCTAGATGCATTCCTGCATGCATAACAAACAGCGAAGTCACATTCAGGGTAGTTATGAAATTTCTACGAGCTTAAGTTTTCTTGAATTTGATGTAAAAGTCTCGAGGCAATTTTGTCCATTCAAAGATATTTCAATCTGACCTAATTCAGAAAAGTTTTCATAAAGAATTCACCGCTCATTATGCTTGCAAGAATGCAGCGGATTTGAATTTGATGTTGGTTTTGCAGCAAAGACTAACAGATTCAACTCTTCAATAATAAATTCATTAATGGAATCTTCGAGGGTACACTTGACCTGGCTTAACTGTAATGCAGTAACATTTAAAAGTAAGTTGACACTTGATTTCATGAATGAAGAATTGAGTTGAGAATCAAGACTCGATTCCTGATGACTGCTTTTCCATTCTAGATACTCAATACCAGGAGCCGATAATCGGCTCCTGTCAATACTCAATTTCTGAGGGGAATCACCAAACTGGAATGGCTTTTGTTAAAGCTTTGAGTCACTGACCCTCTACTCTTGATACTTGATTGCTGTGAAAACTGATAGCCTTTGATCAAGTCTTAAGCAATATTGTCTTACTTCTCAAGGAAACAATTTGAGGTTGCTTTTATTTTATCAGGCACTACATGCTTATAACAGGTTTCATGACCTACGGTGCAAAGATTAAAACATGCAGTAACTGTTACCATTTACCTTTTGAGTTCTAGCATTTACTGCACTTGTTGGATCGTGGTGTTCCTGTGCACCATGTGGGGTACTGGAAAGTGGTCGGGGCAGAGTCTCAGATGGATACCCCATTGGTGCATTTGCATTGGCCTCTTTACTGTCTTCTCTGGGTCGCCCTCTAAGAGGAGAGACTGGTACTGAAACCTGTTTAGGTGATGACTTTTAAGCCACCAAAAGGAAGAAAAATATTACTACATGTATTAGGTCATAGTTACTATATGACATATTTTTGCAGTAAGTTGTAGTTTAACCTGCATTGCGGACATAATCTGACCTTTGGTAGTAATGTCTGCGAAGCAATGATGATATCTCCATGTTCTGGGCCCCCAACAGACTCAACAAATTTAATATCAGAAATGTTTCCAATTTCCCTTTAACCTTACTGGCAACCTGACAATGGCTTTTTAACAAGCCAATCATGGTGCATACTCAAATCTTGGTACACAGATGGGGGCCCATGGAACAAGGATTTCTGTACAGTTTGATGTTACTAACCAGGGTCATGTTACATCTGTGACACAAGGTACATGTAGTCGAAGTTTGCTCTTAACTATTACCTGCCCACGCATGTCTCTACCTCCAGCTGGAGATGATCCACTGGGGACATTCCTTGCGATATCTGGTTGTTCACATCTTAGTGACACAGACACCCCAACCCCAGGTTCAGTGTCCTGTGGTGGTCCTAAAAGCTGATGACTGCTACCTGGTGCTACTAAAGGAAACATTCCTTCTATCACAGCAGGCGAGGCTATCGTCTCTCGCTCACTTAGAAGTCCTTGGAAAGAAACCACTGCTTTTCCTAAAATTTGATCTCCACTACACAAATGAATCTGAAAAAAAATAATAATAATATTGCCCAAGTGTGATATTAAAATAACTAAATATAGGCCCAGTTCTTCTTTTGTTTGTTTCTTTGTTTCCAGAAACTATCTAGCTGAAAAAACTCAACAATGTAAACATTTACTCTCTAGCTACTATAGGCACAAATAAAAAATAGTATATATGCTCTCTTGTAAGAGCGGGTGAAGCTGACAGCCTCATGCTTGGGTAACAAAGGTCAATGAACAGACCATGCACTTAACTTTTCTTAACCCTTTCTGTCCCAATATCACAAACAAATTCTCCAGACTAACTCCTTCCAATCCTTGAAAAGTTAGTCAACAGAATTTGTCAAAAGATCAAAGTATTTTCCCTTTGGTGATCACTTTATTGATTCTCATAACCTTTGCATTGATATTGTAAGGAGAAAATAAATATTGGTATTGGTCACTCTTGGGACTTATGGGTTAAGACCTCTATCCTTCTCTTATACCGTAAAATTCCGAAAATAAGCCCCTCCATGTATAAGCCCCCCAAACTGGTAATGTAAAAAACCTTCCGTTAAATCGCATCTCCAAATATAAGCCCTCCTGAGGGCTTGTACTTGGAAAATTGCCCTCAAATACAAAGTAAAACAAAGCAGAAACGGTAAATTTACTTCCAACTATAAGGCAAGCCAAATCCATTTTGAAAATAATGCAAATTTCCCTCCATAGATAAGCCCCTCCAAATATAAGACCCTCAAAAACGGCTTTTGAAAAATATAAGCCCCGGGTCTTATTTTCGGAACTTTACGGTATCTCGATCGCCACTACCTCTAGACCTCTGGGCCGAGTTGTTCAAAGCTGGGTTAAGATAACCCAGGGTTAGTGTGAGATTTGAATTCAGATTTGAAAGCTTATAAAGCATTTCAGTTTAATTCTTTTGGTCTACAAGTTGATGATTGAAAGCTCTAAATATAACAGAGAACATTATCCGAAAAAAAGCTTTTGAACACAAGAAAGAGAAACCTGGGTTAAGCGCTAATCGACCTTCGAACAACTGGGCCCTGGACTCTGCTAAAGGACAGCCTTAAAACTGAGTGAAATGTTACTAAAAAATTAGGAAGAAATTAATGATGATCTATTCTGGAACCTACCTCTAGTCCAGGATGTTGAGTAAAAAACTCGCTTAGATGATCCAAGTTGCTACAAATTCTAACTGAGGCTCTTTCAGCCGGGAAGTTGGGTTGTAGGAGATCATGAAAGACTTCATTTGTCACATCATTTGTGAGTAATGAATAGTAAAAGTAAAATCCACCACCTAAGTTTGGGTCAGTCAAGGTAAACTTTGATGGAATAAGCTGTAACAAGATATTGAAAAGTAATGTATTAAATTAATATGTCATGATAATTGAATTGGGGATGGATTATTTCCAACTTGATGAGGTAACTCCAACAAAAAAAAAGATGTTTTAACATAATTAAGGGAGTAATAGATAGCACCAAACTTGTGCTTTGTTGTGATGTGGTTTATTACAATTATTTCCATTGTTACCCTCAGCAAAAATGGGAAAGAAAAAAAAGGAAGACCAAGAATGGGAGATACCTTATTATAGGAAATTAAAGCTCCATGAAATTAACGCAAATCGTTAAAATTTGCATTAATTTAAGTCGCGCTAATTTTGTTGTGCGTTAATTTCCACAATGTTAATTAAGTGAAGCATTAATTTCCGCGTTCTTAATTTCCAGTATTTTAACCCCAATTTTGGAACCTGTCCAGACATTCTTGACACCTAAAAAACATTAACTACAAGCTTTCTTTCTTTCCATTTACCCTTTATTTTTCATCTTTCACAAAAGCTAAGGCAAAGGTTTACAATATTTCCAGTTCATCTTCATCACTGTTGCTGTCAGAAGTGATGTCAGCTCAGTTTTGAATTTTTTTGCATCCAGTATTGAAATAAATTTGTTCCAGTTGTAACCACCAACTGTGTCTTAATTGCATTAATTTTCTTTATTATGAAATTCTACCTCCTCTTTCGCGTTAATTTTGTTTATTTCCAATACCTTAATTTCATAGAGCATTAATTTCCAACAATAAGGTAGATATAGGATGCTTTCAACAAATCAAAATGAAGTGCTGGAGGACTGGAATCAGAGAACTCTAGAGTGTTTCTGAAACGCCCTAATCTCCCTCATCAGAAATAGAAGGCAAAATATTAAACAACCTTATAACTAAAAAAAATTAATAATTAAAAACTGTCACTAGTAGGACCATAAGTCATGACTAATCTTCAACTGCTGTCTAAAAATTTGCATTTTACCAGCATAAGGAAACAACATTTCTAGGAATGCTATCTTTGCCAAGTTCAAACATTGCTTAGATTTCCTTTAAAAAATTATAGGGAACTGAAGAATAGAAAGACATGATACCATATATACTGCACCTTTGCTAAGTTTGAAGCAAGTCCTATGGTGACAGACAAAACAAATATCTGATTGCCATCTTGTTGTGGTCCAATTTCATAATATCCCTGTTCCTCATTCAGTGTAAACTGTATTGTTTGGGGTCTTGATGAAGGTCTGGACTGTCTCCCTTTAGAAACAACAAATGGAGAAGACCAAAATTTTATTATTGCACTTGTAAAGTTCTACACCAATACTGTAAAATTCCGAAAATAAGCCCCCCTAATATAAGCCCCCCAATCCAGTAACTCAAAAAACCCTCCGTTAAATCGCCCCTCCAAATATAAGCCCCCAGGGGCTTGTACTTGGAAAATTGCCCTCAAATACAAAGTAAAACAAAGCAAAAACGGTAAATTTACTTCCAACTATAAGGCTAGTCCAATCGATTTTGAAACGCAAATTTCCCTCCGCAGATAAGCCCCTCCAAAAATAAGCCCCTCAAAAAGGGCCTTTGAAAAATATAAGCCTCAGGGCTTATTTTCGGAATTTTACGGTATTTTATTTAAAGTACGCATTTATATTCATTAAAAATATTTGTTTCTGATTGGCTCAAATCACACAGCAAATTGTTCATAGCCAGAAAGGGATGGAAAATCTGGAAACTGACATTACCGGTAATAGTTACAGAACAATTACATGATGTTTGTAGCAAACACCTCAGGAATTTTTACTTACCTTCATCTGCTTGTTGTTGTTTGCCAGCAGGAGATTGAGATGGTTGAGTATCATCTTCTAAAGACAGCATCAGCTTTAACTCTGGCTTCAAGCGAGTGTACTTTGTACTTAAAAGCGAATGCCACTGGGCTCTCTGCAACAAGGGCAACCGTGTTATGGAGATCAAAATGTTACCCTTTTTCTACCTTCTTGCCAGGGACTTAGAGGACAAGTAGGAGAGGAGCCTAGGAAGAAGGTGGAACCTTTTTGCCTGACACTTGCCATAAAGACTGACAAGGAATGAGCACTGTCATATTAAAAATAGTAGAAGACCATTGCTTTTACTGAAAAGATTAAAAATACACAACAAAGAAGAGAGGTAAAGACATATGGCACTGAAGAGATGTCCCATACAATTAAGAGCAGAATTTCAAACTACCTGGACCAAGCTATAAACCTACAGCTGTACACATACGAATGTGGAAATGAACTGTCAAATGGAACTTCTTTGGTATCATTGTCCACTGGTTTTAAAAAAAAAATACAGTTGAACCTCCATATGCAATTTCATCTCATCTCATAAGTGACCACATCCAATGAGCGACCACAGATCCAAACATCAATGGTTTATCTCTTTGTTCACCAAATGTACTATACATATGCCACTCAAACTATAAGAAGAACTTTCATTGGCGATTTGAAACCAGACATACCATAAATTAGAAACTGCATCCAAAACTACGATTCAAAAAGTAGTGTGTTGGGGCCGGTCAGAAGAGAACCCCCGATATTCAATTCTCATACATTCTCTGTACATGACACCTCCCATAAGCAACAACTAAATCTTTGTATTTTGGGTGGTTGCTTCAGGAAGGTTCCACTGTTTGGATTTATGTCCTTGAAATAATGGATTTGAGTACTCTTAGCAGACTGTAGGTATTTTTTCTAGCGAAATATTCATTTTATTTAACAAAAACTCTGTATTATATCTGCCTGTGACATTTCACTTTTAAACAAGAAGTCTGAACTTGTCACTAAGTGCCAATGTGAAAACAAATAATCTGTGTGCACAGCCAATCAGAAGAAGCACCTCTCAGCTAACCATCCTTAAATTTAAACTTGACATTTAAAACTGAAATCTGCCTTACAGTACTTTTACTGATGATCACCTAATGCACGAAACTCAAGTTACAAGACAGTGTCTATCTTTAACTCTGTCTTTATAGCTGTACACATGTAAGCATGGGGAACTCCTAGGGTATGTGAAGCATTATTAATCTTCATTGTTTATTTTTAACATTTCACGTTGAAATGCATATCCTACAGAGCTTGTTCATGTACAGTTGCACCTCATGCATGTATGCAAAATAATTACAAATTCCTTAACTAACTTACCGCTGGTTTTTGTTGTGCTGTTCTTAAGTCTAAAATGACATAGCCAACTGGTTCCTTCTGAGAGGTGAGTGTATCCAGAGCATAACACTGTCAAAAGGCAAACAAAAAAAAATTTCAACAAAAAGTAATAACTTACAGTGACATGTTTTCCGCCAATCAAATTTTTACAAATTACCATGTCTATTGTAATGCAAGCTCACAAGGGATCTGTAATGCCCTTGGAAAATCTTATGGATCATTACACATTTCTGGAAAACCGCCACCGACCCCTCCCCTAAGCCAACATTAACACTTACTTCTCATTTAGCACAAAATGCTGGCTTAGGAGAGGTGTGGGTGGGCAGTTTCCCAGAAACGAATAATGATCCAGTCTAACATGAGGGTAACTAGCCAGTGAATGTAACAACCATCCCTCCTACATGTAGCTTGTGAGCAGGTTCACTTGTGTGAATTTGGGGAAAAGTTTGGCATTGGAGCTGTCATCCAGGAAGGAAAAGTAAGCCAGCATGAGGGCTATTAAGTTTTTAATTCTCCACATTGGCTGGTGAATGCAGCTATCTGATTGGTTAAATATGACAGGCCTCCTTTCACAAGCTACATAATTAAGACAAAAACAAAGACACTGGGTATCAACATTTACACATCAACTTAATGATAACAAGTGTCGGTTGGCCTGCAATATTGTTGCCTCATATGAAAATGCAGCTTCGTCCAATTTATCTTTTTTTCAGGTTCATTATTATGCTCTGGAGGATTCTTCATTTGGGCTAAGTAAATTCAGTGGCCTATTTTTGTCACTTGTCTCAAACTGACAGGACATGAAGGTGGTCTGTTTCATGCATTAACTCAGACATGTATATAATGCTTTGGGGGGATTCTTAATTTCTTATTTTTGCTGCTTGTTGAGATAAAGATGGTCTGTTTCATGCGTATTAATTTCAATCTGTGAGTTTTGTTTCTGACAGGATTTCACCTCTGATGCAGTTTAGCATAAACAATAGCAATTAGCAATTAGTTCCTGTCACTTTTCTTTACATTTTCTTTGCTCCTATTGGTTAGTATCTTGACACCTTGAAAGGAGCTAAACTCAAAAATCAATAGCCGACAACAGGCTCACTTTTCCTTGCCAGATGGCACCTCTGCCACCAAAATTATTGCCAAATTTGCACTAGTGAGCCTGCTTGCAGGTTACTGTCTCTTCTTGCTGGTCACTAGGGATGTTTTGCAGAAGAGAAAGCTGCATGTTATGTATGCAGTTGTTACGTATAGAACCTGATCAGGAGCTCTGATTGGTTAACGTAGTAATTAAATTCAATTATCAAACTCTGGGAACACTGAGTGCTGCTTAAGAACAGCCATGTCTATGATGATCCCAGAATATCATAGGGATAATCAATTAAAACAATTTTTCTTTAGTGTACTTTTTAAGTGCTGGTCTTAAACACTGAAGGCGGTGTGGCATTGCACTTAGGGAGTAGCGATGTAAATACAGTAATGACTGGTCCCTTGGGAAAACCAGTTATTTTCAATACCCTTGGGACAAGTCATCAAGAGTTAGGCCACATGTATGCACACAAGAAAAACTTGCTCATATACACATGTTTTTAATTTGTCTTACCTGGACTTTGATAGGTGTCCTCTGCAAGCGATGTTGGTGGAGAGATTTCTTGCTTAACTCCCAGGCAAGTTCGGTTGTAAACTCCGGGCTTTCCACATGATCAATGGGATCGGTGACTAATGTTTCACCATCAAACTTTGTTTCTACTATGATCTTGTGTCGGGGTCGTTTGGGGAATCTTCGTCCTGGATGTTTCAGAAGTTTATCAATAACAAATAAAAACCAAATCTTAAGCTTCTATTAATGAAGTGAAAATGAAATTCAGAATTGATTCTCAATTTCCTTTCTTTCCTAGCCCTAATTACTTTATATGATCATGAACAATTAGGGCAAGGAGACAAAGGAAATTGAGACTCAAACTAGGTTAAAACACTTTTTAACCTGAACTTCAATTTGAACTACAAAATTTAATACGCCTAACTTAACTAAGCAAAACAAAGTCACAATATCTGTAATTTTTGTCAGTTCCTCCATCCTCAAACTTTAGAGGTCAGAAAATTTTTAATCTCTGTACTTCTTAATAACAACCATTACGGGTTCCATAATTTTAAAATTTTACAGAACCATAGTGATGTAGAGTGCTAGCATGAATCATAAATGTACACAAGTCCCGGGTCCAAATTAACATGAACATGGATGAAGGTTGAATGTATGTTTTTTGCTAGACGTACCTTCCAATACAGAGACAACCACCAAAATCGCCTCGCTCAACCCCATATGGAACTTGTTAACTGCTCACAAGGCTATCCTCTTGTTAGAGGTAGAAAAACGCTGACAGGAATGTGCATTCAAATCCGATCACGAAGTCCGCCATTTTTCAAATTCAAAGTTACTACGTCATGTACTCCGCACTGGAATGATACCTTTCATTAAAAATGCCCAGTCTGACAGTCGCCCAGTCTTTTTCGGTAACACGCACACTTTTTGTCAACCAAAAAACAAATTTTCACTTTTATTTAATCCACAATATCATTTTTTGAGGCTTAATTTTCCTAAAACACTTGCTTTCTCTCGACAAACGCCTTTCCTTGACTTTCCCTGACAACAGTCACTTGACTCCGACGATTTAGCTAGAGCCAGTCTTCACCCGGTTCAAAGAGCAACTTCCAACATGGTGGACGACCTTATCGGTGTTGAATTGTCAATCTTCTTGATCTTGTGTACACAGAGGTGACAGCGAAGCTTTCTTGCCGACGAAAATTATTTAATTCAAGGAGTGGCCACGAATCAAATCATAGAATTTTGTTTATCTCAACCTTCGTGCTGCTATCCCGTCAGACAATTCTTATGCAAATGAATTCATTACTTGAATTGTACCGATTAGCTGTCTTCACTTAGCAACATCCGCCTAAAACTAATCGTGGAGTTTATGTAGAAAAACAAGATTCTTTGGCGAGGAGATAGACTGTAAATGGTGAAAATGCATAAACGGGATGAATGATCGTTTAAACAGAGCCAGGAAAAGCTAATTTCAAGAAAAGATCAACCAGCTTAGCGCTTGATGGGAAGGAGACGGCGCGTGTGAATTGGGCGGCCAGCTGTTCTGTTTATAAAAAGTTTACCTTATACAGCTGGAAAGCTAGCAGGATAGCCTTATCATCGCCGCCGACTTTTATCATTTTTAATAGCCGACGGTAGCAAACTCACAAAAAGCGTGCGGAGCTATTGATTACCGAATTGGATCATCTTGTGTGAGTGACCCTAATTGATTTTCATTGAAGTTCTTATAATTATTGCGACCGTCCGATTTCTAGGCCGGTATATAGCCGTTTATATACTGATCAAGGACGTAATTAATTTATAATCAACCATGGCTCACAAAGGGGATCGCGACCTTGATATCAAAGCAAAGCTTTCTCGCAAGATTGCAGAACTCACGATGGTTATACACTTGTTGTTCACAAGGAATCATGAACGAGAGCTGGAAATGGAAGCATTAAAAAATGCATACGAACATGAGATCAGTTTAATACTTGAGGAAGCTAAAGGAAAAGTGTCATGGTTGGAGGGACAATTGGATGACCTGGAAAAAATTCGTGTTTTACTCGACTTGAAAAACACAGAAAACGAGAAAGACAAACAGCAAATTAAAGATCTACAAAACAAGGAAGCAGAATTGAATTTACTGTTAGCGAACAAGGATCAGCTTTTAACGATGGCTGAAAAACAAATTGTGGAATTGAAAGAAAAACTTACTGACAAGTTAGCTTCTGGAGACGAACAAGTTGCCCTTTTGAAAACTGAATTAGAGAATGTTAAGAAAGATAACTGTAACTTGAAAGATAAACTGAAGGCAAAAGCAGATAACACGAAAAAGCTTAAAAGCCAGGTTGAAAGTCTTCAATCCAAAGTGAAAATATTAGAGGAAGAGTTGCGGGATGCTGTGGAGAAAAAACAAAGACTTGAAAATAGTGTCAATGGACTGCAAGGTGATTGGCAGGATGAAATTGATAATCTCAGTCGCAGAATTGCCGAATACACCAAACAGCAACAAGAAGACCAAACAAGAGTAGAAAAATTGGAATGGAAAAATAAACAGTTGATTCAGCAAGTGAAAGAGTTGGACAATGACAAAAGACATCTTGAACTTAAAATTCAACAATATGTTGATGAGAGGAATAAAAAGAAAGAGGCCAAGAGATCTCCAAGGCCTGTTGCTAAGGGCAGCCCTGAGGTTCCACGGACAACACCTGCATTTGATGTAAGTGTTACAGGTCACAATTAAATTGTGGTTGAAGTTTTTCAACAGCTAGGTTGATTCTCAATTTCTTTGTATCCTAGCCCTAATTTCTGAATAATTAGGGCAAGGAGACAAAGGGAGTAGAGAATCAACCTAGGTTAAAAAATTTAAATCTGAATTTAATTTTGACCTGTAACATAAGCAACGGTTAGAGCTATTTGAGAAATTACTGTTATTCCACGCAGTAGTAAGGAATTTGTGATCAAGGCTTTAAGTGACTTTTGATGCGAACAAATACTGAGCAACTTGGAAAGAGTATCTTTTTTATCATCAAAAAATCACTCAGGGCTTTTCTCCATGCACCTCTTTAATTCTACACTTATCCTGCACCTATCAATGTCAACCCTTTAAGCCCCAAGGTCCACATACAAATTCTCCCGACTGATCGCCATACATTTCTTTTAAGAACAGTTGAGAGAATTTGATAAAAGATCAAAGCCCTCTCCCCTTGGTAATCAATTTAGTAATTCTCATAACCTTCACTCTTGATGCATATGATCTGCTGATGTTGTTAGGAGAAAATTGATGTTGGTCACTCTTGGGACCTAAAGGGTTAAGCCCTAGGGACGGTGAAGCGGTAAGGGGGTTGTCTGGGCTGCAGACGTAATCTAACCAGCTTTTGTTAGTTTTAGGGAACCGTAGATTTATAGAAGAAAAAAACATACTGAATGCATGAGCAAAATGATGAGTTTATGCGACAATGTGATGAATGTATACGTCAAATGTAGAATGTAGAACAAGAAACAAACATGAATCTATTCCAGTTACTTTCTGTATTATTCTCGCCTGAAACTAAAGTAAATTGCCTAAAATCCAAAAAATTACAAAGAAATGTCCCAACTGCAAAATTCATGGTTCGTGGCTAAAAGATGTTTTCAAGAATGACCAGTACTTGCTCTTCGTTTTTTCTTTGTTGTCGAAAATATGACATTATTTTTTGTCGTTTTAAACTCACCATTTTGCTCCCACACTTACTTGTTTTTCTCTCTAAAGCTACAGTTCCCTTAAAGTAACAAAAGCCATCTAATCCTATATTAGCAACATCTGCAAAGCAGTACCAAGATCCTGTTCTTGGCCCCCAGTGGACTCACAAAGTACCAGAAAATGCATTTCAAATTTTCCTTCAACCTGATTACCAAATCAACAATGGCATTTTAAATAGGCAAATCATGGCATGTAATCAAACCCTGGTACACGGGTAGAGGCTCAGAACAAGGATTTTGGTGTTGGTTCGCAAACAAACCTAACCAGGCCAGGGTTGTTCAAACGTTGAATAGCGCTATCACTATCCACTGGATAACACAATAATTATGTTATCCACTGGATTGTTTCCGGTAATACTTATCTGCTGGATAGTGATTTATCCTGTGGATAGCACTATCCAGCTTTTGTACAACCAGGGCCAGAGGTTTAGTTTTATCTATGGCGTAGGCTAGGGAGGGGGAAGCCCCTGGGGAATTTGAGAACAGCAGTGAGGTCAGAGTCAATGTAACTAATGCATAGGAAATGATACACCCTAGGGTCAATCATAGTTTGTACAATCTGTAAAGGTCTTGAATTTATTTTAGTATTCATCTTGAAAAGTCCTTGAATTCAGTTAAGGTCCTTTAGTAAAAGTTTAAAAAAAGCTGAAAACAGGGAAACTAGGAAAAAATGCAGTTAGATATTTAATACTATTTGACCATGACTGTGTTTTAGAGAGATGATGAATTGGAGCGCCTAAGAAGGGAAGTGCAGCGTTACCGACTGGAACTGAGCAACAGGGAGTCATCATTTAACAGAATGTTTACTGATCATCACCCTGTGATAGTGGATGGCAAACCAAGGAAAACCTCTTCTGGGTTGATGACTGATTCAGTGAGTAGCTTTACTAAGGAACATTGTTATCAAGAATTTTTTCTAGCAAAAAAGTTGTTTGTGTTAATTAGAATTGACCACTCCAGAAAATACCATAACATACCATAATGCTCTTTGTTTGTCACCCCAACATTTTGCATAAACATAATTGTTTAGAGTTTCTCTTGGGGCCATTTTAACTTCCAGGAGAAACTGACGACAATGCTTCTGCAAAATTTTCGGGTGACAAAAAAAGGGCATTATGGTATGTTATGGTATTTTCTGGAGTGGTCAATTAGACTTGAGCATTTCAAGTGTAAACATCAAAATAATACTACAAATTCATGAAGTACCCCCACCTTCCCTGATCTGGATGATGAATTCTCCTTTCTTACATCTAGTTATTTTATATATCTTGCTTTCACCACTTTAAAGTCTTCTTTTGATTATAATGGTAACCCCTTTGGCCCTTTATGTAGTATTATGTAATGAGGCAAAATGGGTGCAAGTCAAGAAACTAGTTAAAACATAGTCATTTGTCAAGACTGCCCCAGACTTCACCATGATCACCTTTGAAAATCTTTCAATTAAATTAAATTGTTTCAAAATTTATTTTCATTATTTTTTAATAAATAATTTTTTTTGCCTTTGTAGTCTTTCCCAAATCTGAGTGGTGTTCATGTACGGAAAAGGAATCCACATTTGCCGGCACTTGGTGAACAGAGGATAAGCACCAGTGCACAACCTCCATACCATGGATTCTAAGAAGATGACCTAAATTTTACATTTTCTGTGAAATTTGACATATTCTTCAAAAGAACAACTTACTTCACATTTTCACTTACTTATATTGTCTGTACCCAGTGCTCAAAAAGATCACAATAATGTTATTAATGAAGATTAAGTAGGCAGCAGTTTGAGGTCAAATAGATGTCTGCATACTGCTGCTACAGTGTTGTAACGGTCGTCTAAAAAAATTTTTCCTTGACGTCGTCCATGGACCCTTCTCCAATTTGTCATAGACAGCATGTAAAATGAGTTATGGTAAAGACAGTGAGGGCAAAATGAGGATAAACAGAGAGGTGCCTTTCTTGTCCTACCCCTCCTGGAAACTGCATTCAAAAAGGTAATTCACAGAACCCCTTCTCTAAGCTCAGTGTCAAAGATATCTTCCAAGAAGTGGGGAATTTCGGACCATTCATGTCTCTCTCTCCTTTACAAACAGAATAAAGAAATTTCAACATTGCTCCTGCAAAAATATACCCCACAGTACTACCCCACACAGACACATTGCTTTATTAGGTATAATAATTATTGCAGCCTTGTCAAGGGATTTCTCTTTGCCACCAATTTCAATAACTAGAGTAGTCAGTGGACAAAGTTGGCATTTTCAAGGCAGCTTTAATTAATTGCCTCTGCTCAAGGGTATTGAAACATCTTGAGCTGAGTTAAGAAAACATGACGCCAGAGTGCAAATTTATGTACCAAGATATTTAGTGTAGAAAGGGTGTCATATTATTGTATTTTACATAGGTTTACAAAATTATAAATTATTTATTGTAGTCTCAATTACGTTTATATTATTTGTTTGACAATGATAGATATTTACATTTCTAGTCTTTCAATCTCTTGGACGTACAAAGTACTGGTATACCGGTTAATGAATGATGTTTAGAGTCATCATCATCTGATAGGTTACAAAAGTGTGTTACCCTCTAAGAAATCATCTTTACTTACATTCATTTTCAAACAACTTTATATATACATATCTTACAAGAGAAAATTAAAATACCATTAATGTCATCTGTCAGATCTACTTCTTGATTTTCTTGTCTCTTTGCCTGCTTTGAAATCTGCTGTCTGCAATCCACAAAAAGGTTTCTTCTTGTCCAAGTTATCTGTACAGCTACAAAATAAGAACTTAGTTAAGTGAAATTGATTATTAGTACTGATCACAGATGACAAGTTCTCAAAGACAGCATGAGTTACTTTCCATAAAGGACACAACTGTTCAGACAGCTCAGACATAATTTTTTTTGTGCCGATGTCCATTCTTACTGTTAACATGTTGATAAGTAAAGATGGTATGTCTTGTTGTCCTCTAATGCACAACATTATATTACATTACATTACGTTACATTACATAATTTACATTACATTACATTACATGTACATTTAATACAACCACCAGCAACTTCCTTCAAGTTTTATAGAAAGAACATTTTGTCTTAAGATAATCCACCTTGCAATTTTCTCCTGAACTTGCTCCATATCCTTCTCCATTGTATCTATTTCCTGAGGAATAAAAAACTTGTGTAAATGAAAACAACGCAAAAACCAAATCTGCCATTTAACACAATGTTACCTGATGTCCTAGTGTTAGATCCCAAATTATTGTTTCTGCCTACAGAAATGATTCAAATCTGATCTAGATGATGTGAGATTAAAATTTAAAAAAAACACACACACACATTGACAATAGTTCAGTTTCGAGTTCACTATGACAGCTGAATAAAAGAAGTGAAGACACATTCTTTACAGGCTTATCCTCCAGCTGAGGTAAATATATTCACAAATTCCAATGAGAAAAAGACCCTTACTTGCCGGAATTTCTGTATTTAGTGGTAATTTTTAATTCGAAACTGGACCATTGCCTGCCCCTTAAAAAGGCAGTAGTTAAGGCCCTCTCCACACACATCCAGGTATTGTTCATTCTACAGCCAGCACATGCATTTATTTGCTGCTAAAACATTTGCACTAAGTCTCTGACCCTTAAAAAACAGAGTGTACCGCTGTAGCATCATTGCTGTCACAAAGGGCTGGGGCCCGTGGATTTCCCCCGGCTACTATGGGCATGATCCCCTGCTTTTTTGTAGGAAACAAAAGGAAAATTAGACCAAAAGAACTCCTTCCAGGGCTGTTCAGTTCCCTACCTACTAACTGCATATACCCGGCAAGTTGAACTCTAAGTGATGACAGCCCTGAGTATATTGTATTAAAAATGTTATTATCGGTATGACACTTGGTGTATGACTTGTGTAGGTCATTGAGAAAGGGAAAAGATCTATGGTTCATGGACCCGAAAGAAAGGTAGCAGAGAAAGGAGAATCCCATGCACTACTAGGACAAGCCCTGTGAAAAGCATGTGAACAGCATGTTTCAAACCATGTGAACTGAATTTACCATGTGAAATATCCTGTGAAATAAAAATATCTTTTTGGTACAAGAAATGATAAAGAATTTGATCCTGTGAAATATGCTGTGAAAATTTTAACTTAAAATGTGATTTGAGAAGCATCGTGTGAAATTCAGACTCACCCTGTGAAAAGCCCAGTGAAATTTTAGTTAACTTTACAATACCCTGTGAAACCTCAGTCAACCATGAGAAAATACAGTCAACCCTGTGTAATTGCTGTCGACAATATGAAACTTGCGTGTGATAATTATAAACTAGCAAGTCCACAAGGCCAGCCCCTGTTTCCCCAAGAAAGCTACCTCAAAGGCATTAATAAAGTGTTACTTGATACCTCTTGTAAAATTTCTTCTTTTGCCTCCATTTCTTTTATTTCATCTTCGTATTTATTATTTGGCATCATTCTACCCTGTGATAATCATAAAAAACAGGACAACACGCTACATAAAATATACATGTATAATTAAAATGAACCCAGATGGCAGTGACTTGGAAAGCAGAAAACCTGTGAATTGCTGTGAATGTAGAGCTTATGTGCATGATATATCCTTGATAAGTTACCAACTCATGCTATCAAGGACTCTGCACCAGGGATTATTCCTTCTATTACTTCCATTATAAATTCTTCTTTTAGTACTACCAGCACTTTTCCTAGAGGTTGGAAGATTGCTGAAGTGTCACCAGTCTTGAAAGAGGGTGATTTTGATGAACCAGGCAACAATAGACCAATTTCTTTGTTACCTGTTTTATCTAAGGTGTGTAAAAAGGTGGTCCTGAATCAGCTAACACCCTACCTGACAACAAACAAAAGACTGGCAGTGGAACAGAGTGGTAAAAAAAAGTGGCACTCCACTGAAACTTCTCTTACTGTCTCTACAGACACTATACTTGACGCAGTCGACAAGAAAGAGCTAACAGCTAAATCGTCTCTCTGGATATGAGCAAAGCATTCGATAGCATTAATCAGAGCATTTCATTGCAAAAACTAAAAGCCCTTGGGCTGGCCCCATTGGCAGTCCCCTGGTTTGACAGCTACTTATCCAAAGATTTCAAAGGGTTCGCATTAATGCTGCACTGTCTGAAGCTCTACCAGTGATGTGTGAAGTGTCTCAAGGTAGCGTGCTCGGAGCTTTGTTATTTGGTATCTACATAAACAACCTGTCAGCAGTCAGTGAGACGTGCTCAAGTGCGTGTTACATTGACGACACAAAACTAATTCTCTCCTTCACTGTAGAGGAATCTCACACCACCGCTGTTAAAATCAATGATGACCTACAACTAATCCGTGATTGGTGCTTTGAGAACTATCTCTTGTTGAACCCGGATGACACAAAGCTCATGGTGTTCAGCAGTCCACAGACGATTTGTAAACCACTAAACTTTAAGTTTTCTTTCCTGGGCAAGGAACATTTACTTAGAAAAAATACAGACTCTGTTAAAGGCCTGTGACCACTTTTGCACAAGAGGCAGCACTAAACAGAACCGCAGTGTGTTAACTGATGTTGGCACAGCAAGAACTATGTCGGCTTTGGATTTTCCAGGTAAATGATTTAATTTGAGCTGATTCTTGTTGTTAAACCTCTGAAACTACTCATGAAGAACACATCAGTGCATGTTTTTGTCCTTCCACTGATCACTGGCGCTCATGCAATTGTTGCTTTCAACATGTGGCACCATCACTTATTCCTGTATTATCTACATTAGTACTACTCTGAAATAACACAAGTGTATTTCCCAAATTAAAACACATGAACAATTTACTTCAGAAAACCTATCACAACGGATTCACCAGTGAGCCAATATTTTCGAACCAATTTTACAATATTTCAACATCATTTTAAGCAAGACGTAACCTTTTCTATTCTCTTGGTTTCCCTTCAAGCGCAACTAATATTTTTAACAGTTATTTAGTCTGCAGTTTTGGTGAAGTCTTCAGATTTGATCGGCTTAAAAACAATAAGCATTCCTGGCATATTTTAGGTGTCCATGGTTTTCCCAGTGGCACTGTAAAGAGTAATTCGTTACCCATGATATTAATTAAATTGCCTCCCATGGATGTCTGCAAGTCAATGTTCAGATCATGATTAAATGAAATATATTGATCAGCTAACCTGTTGTTTTCTCTTTCTACAATGCATCCTCACATTCATAACTACTCTGTCCCTTATCAGCTTCAGTTTTGTTTGGTAGGCTTCATACAACATGTTGACATCTTGGTGATCTCTTGAATTTAAAAAAAGATAAAAAAAATCAGCAGGGTCCAGTAAGACCTCATTGAAAACTTTTCTCCATACCAGTGGATAGGGGAATTGGGTGGGGAGGGGAATAGCCAGCTTATACCTTCTAATCTGAGATGGTGTCACTGAGTTTAAAAGGTAATAGATGGCATCCCCTTCACTTTTGATCTGAGAGGGGGGGAGTGGGGCATCGGCAAAACCAGGATCTGATCACTCCGATTGGATCAGATTTTGGATTTAATAAGATTGCAGATTGGATCACACTGGCCGTTCGTTTGCTGGCGAAAATCGCGGCCTACTTGGTTAGTATCGGTCAGCTACTCTGCTTAGCATTT